GTGTTGAACTATTACCATAGTCAATTAAAACATTTTTGTCATCTCAAAAAGAAACTCCATGCCCTTTAGTTATTGCCCCATTCCCCACTCCCCCCCATCCCCATTCCTCCTAGCCCTAAGCAACCACTAATTTACTATGTCATCATCCCTCTTTTTTTTGATAAGCTTTTGGTTTCATTGATTTTCTCTATTGATTTCCTGTCCCCTATTTCATTGATTTCTGCTCTAATTTTTATTTTTTTTCTTCAGCTTACTTTGCATTTAATTTCCTTTTCTTTTCTTAGTTTCCTAACATGGACGCTTAGATGACTGATTTTTAGGTCTTTCTTCTTTTCTAATATATGCATTCAATGCTATAAATTTACCTCTAAGTAGTACTTTCATTGCATCCCACAAATTTTGATAAGTTGTATTTTCATTTATTTCAAAATATTTTAAAATTTCTCTTGAGATTTCTTCTTTGACTCATGTGTTATTAGAAGTGTGTTGTTTAATCTCCAAGTATTTAGGGATTTTCCAGCTATTTTTGTCATTGATTTCTAGTTTAATTCTGTTGTCACCTGAAAGTATACACTACATGATTTCTATTCTTTTAAATTTTAAAGGCGTGTTTATAGCCCAGAATGTGGTCTCTGTTGGTGTATGATCCATGTTCCATGTGCTGTGGGTTTATTCATAAGACACCAACAAAAATCCTTTATATCCATATCTTTATTTGAACAGTTTTCTATAATACCTAGGAGAATATCGCATTAATGATGCACATTTACTAAGTACAACATTAGACAACTACAAATTTAGAGCATAAATGTCAACCTGATATTGTTTTGGTTTTTATCTTAGCACTAGGTGATATCTAGTGAAAACCTATGTTTCAAAGGCTGTTGTTGATATGAGGTGAATTCTTAACCTACTTTTAAAAGTTTCATGTGAGATATGCTGGGATGGGCTCAGTTTAAAACTAGAGTTGGTTGATAACGCCTTTCACTTCTCAGTACTTCTGCTTCCTTTTCAATGGATGAATATTTTACCTAAGAACTTTTTAAAGATTAACTATTTCATGTTTTTCTATGTAGATCAAAGGAGAATCATTTTTCCAGATTCAACAATGAAAAATATTTGGAAAACTGCAATGTTCAATTTCATGGTAGTTAAAAGGCATATTCATTTCACAGTAAGTTAACAATTAAAGTTAATAATTAAAATACAACTTGTTAAATGTCATGATCTCATTCTGTGCAACACCGTTAGAGCGATTTAAATTTTCCAAGCACACAAAAAGTCAACGTTACTTCAGGATTCCACAAAAATACATAGCGAGGAATCATAAATTACAACACATATCCACATGGAAAGGAAAAATTCACCATTTGTTGGAAACAATTAAATGGCTCAAGTAATTCAGAGAGGCTGAAATGTAGGCTAAAGTTTTATAACATATGGTAACAATATTTCAAACTGTTGACTCTGAAAAATGCATGAAAATGTACTGACCTACCAGACATTGAATTATACACACGAGTTTCAACTCAAAAAACATTTTTCTTTCAAATATTTCAAGCAGTGTTACAATACTAAGGAAATGTTAGCCATTTTCAGACATTTTATGAATCTAATAACACCCATTAAATTAAGCTAATAAATGTTTGGGCTAGACCACATTATAAAATAAAACAATGTATAAAATGCCTTTGGGCAGATATCTTACATAGCACTTTTCGGGTTCTTGACCTATTGAGAAAGCTACTGTTAACTCCAGGTTGACTTAATTTAGGATAATACAATGGATTGGAACTTAGAGCACTCTTTCCTGTTTTCACTCAATCTTTTATAGTACAGGGTTCTTAAAATTTTTTTTAAAGAATGTCCATGAAAGGTTTTACCATTGTACCCTTTACTTGTATTAAGCACAGGTCGGTGGAAAACAAGCCATTTAAGTATTACTGAGAATCTAACGTCTCTCTCTATTTCTCCCATAAGTTCATTTGCTTACTTGTGACACAGAGCCCCCAAACTCAGGGACACTCTGTAAGCCCACGTTTCACTGCCTCTGAGAGCGCTGCAGCCTCAGAGTTCTAAAATACCTGTTTGGAAATAACAGAAAACAAAAGGAAGAAGTAACGGAAGGAGAGGGTCATGCAGGAAGGGAAGAAAAGAATTAATGGTCTAATGGTCGGAGGCCACACCCAACCAAAGCCCTCACAAAACCTTGAGAAACAGGGCGAGAGATCCTCTCCAGGCAAGACATCCTCTTGCAGAGGGAAAGTTCCAGAGAACTTAAGGCAGCTCTAGGAGGGAAGGGAGCAGGGGTTAAGGCGGCCCTCACGGCACAGCCTGAGAAATGACAGTGCACTTCCCCATGAACAGAGGCCACGGCAACAGAGCCTCTCCACATGCATGCACACAACACACTCCTAGCTCCACAGGACACACTGGCAGCATGCATACACTGTAACATTCAAACACACAGACTTGTATGTGGCCTGTCCAGGCCACAGCCCGCAGAAGGGACCAGGATCTCCGCAGGCCCACAGCTCACCTCATGGCCCTAACAGCGACTCTGAGGGCTGTGTTGTGACCTTCCTCTTAACTTTTAGGAGGCTGTCAGTGCTTCCCGCAGGCTTGACAGCCAGCTGCTAATTAATGACCTAAGCGCAGAGGAGTGCACCCTCCAGGGAGGGCTGATTCTTTAAAAAGTCAAACCTAGTCCCAACAGGTAACTGTGACAAAAAGAAAACTACCAGGCTCTGGGCGCTTCCTCTTGTAGTACAGAGAACTGGGTACTTGCTCAGTCCCCAAAGCCAGGTGCCAACTCCGATAAGGAAAAAGGGCTCCTCTTGCTGAGCCGGGGCACCCCACGGGCACTGGGAGGAACAGAAGGGAAACTCACGACTCTCTAAAGTCTCCTGCCTGGCACCTGCCCTCACTGCCACTGCTGCATGTGGGAAAGTGGTGGCTGAGGTGACCTCAGGCGAGTCACTGACCTTATCGTCTCTCAAATTATCATCACAGAAGAGTGCAGAAGCTCCCCTTTCTACCTTCCAGTGCTGCTGTGAGGACACAGGGAGGTAACACAGGGAAAGCGCTGAAGTAAAGCACAGCCAGACACAAGGGACTGCTTCTACACTGCTTTCGGGAGCAGAATGTGAGGGTCACACACTCATTTTCGCTGTTTTATCCTGAACAGTTGAAGTTACCCCGAGGATCCTTGATTATGCCTCCTGGGGAACTCTACAAACTGGTGAGTGTGTGCGTGCGTGTGTGTGTGCGTGTGTGTGTGTGTGTGTGTGTGAGTGGGGGGGGGAGGGGGAGGGGGAGAAAGAATTGTGTGAGGACTTCTCAGGACAGTGGCCAGTACCCCTTTACCTAGCATAACCAGCAAAGTAATTTCTCACAGCAATCACTCTACTGAATCCTCCAAGTATTTCTATAACCTCCTCCACTGTTATTGAAAGATTTGATCTATATTACACATCATGACTCACCCAGAAAGAGTCAACTCTCAATTATCCATTGAAATGAAGGAAATAAAGCAAATCATATAAACTGACCCGAATCCCCAAATCTCCTTTCAGTTGGCTTTGGAATATATATTTTTGTACCTTTGCACCTGACAAAAGAAGTGTCAGGTATATGAGGAATTCTCAAAACTTCCTCAGGAATCATGAAGCTACACTTCGTGGCTCTTATCCCATGTTAATCTTCCCCTTCTTTGTGGTTACGCTGAGGCAGATCAAAGCCTGAAACCTAAGGAAAGCTACGAGAAGGGAAAGTGCTTCTAATTTTTCAGCTTTGCATTCCAAGGTGTGAGCTGAGTCTGTGTGTAAGGTGAGTGGGGTGGAGACTACTGAAGGGGCTATGGAGACAATGACCAACTGTTCTTTCAAGATCTTTCTTTGAATTTCTATTGTGTGTCTTAGAGGACTTATGAAAAAGCAAATTAATGACAATAGTAAAGAATGTACTGCAGAGAAGTGAGACCAACAAGAACTTGTGCCAAGAATGGCCAGAAGGTAAGCAACCAGGGAGCCAGCAGGGCTTGTGGGCTGACTCCATCCACTGCCTTCAACACCGTCAGGGCAGACGAGTGTGCAGGTAATAGGATCTAGGATTCGGCTGAGGGAGAGGGAAGAGAGAACAGATAAATGGGTGGGTGGGAGGCTGCTGGAGGTGTGTTTGAAGCTGGGTGAGAAAGTGTGGATGGAGAGCGAGAAGGGTGAGCAGTCCTCAGAGTGGCCAAAGCATCCCCACAGTTTGCAGAATATTGTTGCATCCTCAAGAAAGTTGTACACAGCATCATTTATCAGATCTTGGGGTTCTCTGGTTGTATTCTTGGTATGACTAAAGATGCTGAGAGAAGTTACTTCGGATCCCCATCTGGGGTTCTGGGTAGGTCTTGAAGTTGGAGCCCTGGAATAGCATAATCTTTGTGTGGCCGTCCCTGAACAGGAGGGACGCTGGCCCCGGTGTGGAACAGAGGCTCCAGCACTTGACCGCAGAAAGACAGGAGATAGGAGAGAGAGAAAGGCCCAGACCAGAGATGCTTCAGGATCTGGCTGTCTGGGGCTAAGATCAAGGGCTGCAGTGGCTGTGGGAGCCACAGCGTGATCTTGAAGCCCTGATAAGATTCAGGGTGTGCGTGGGACAAGCTACACAGGACTAAGCTGGGAAGGGCCTGGGAGGATTTTGGCGTCTGGGGTGGACAGCCTGTACCATGGTGGGCTTTTTCTAGCAACCCCCAACCCAAGTCCCACCCATGCTCTTAGATGCTGACACATTCATACTAAGGAAATGGTTGTTAAGAGTTAATTGAAAACCACACTGACAACCAGGGAAAACTCAGAGAATCTGACTGAATTAGTAGTGTTTTTGGTTGGTTTTGCAAATTAAATGTATCCAAACTGAATACAGCTGTACATGATTCAATAAAAAATAAACTAACTTTCTAAAAGCATGTATGTAAATCATGTACATTTAAGAAAGGTTATAGCTACACAAACTTGTGACTTTCTATTTTATTAATCCCTCAGAATTAACAGGCACCGAACACTGATCTTTCCATGAGAGGGTGAACTTACTGAGTAAGAGCAGCTCATTTCTCTCTGATCCAGGCACTGGGAGGAGAGGAGCTCAGATGTGGAAGGGACCTTCGGAATCAGCCGTCCAACCCTCTTATTGTATAAACGAGGAATTTGAAGCCCAAATAAGTTGACTATCTTCTAATAACAATTTTTATCACTGACTTGAAACTGTTTGATTTCCATTAATAATATTGCACATATTTTAATAAGATGTCATTTTTTCTAGACCATCTAACAGTTAAATTATATAAATTTATGATTGTAATTCAGATCCACAGTTTCTGAGGAAAGCTAAGAACTTGCTTTTGCACAACCTGAAAGATTTATTGTATAAGATTTCTAGAAAAATGGAGAATATATTTATTCAGATTTCAGAATGAAAACTTATAGAATGTGGGTCTTATTGAAGGAAATCCTCTGTAAAATTCAGCAATCTTCTTATATTCTTATACAAATCTTAAAGTATTACTACTACGATGCTTTTTAAAGTATCTAGTAGTACTGAGAACATTTACAGAAGTTCCACAGCCTAAAAAAACTGAATCATAATTATTTATTATACACCTTCTTTTGCATAACTTATAGGCTAATCAAGTTTCAAGACCTGAATCATGAATATTCTGACAATCCTCTCTAGATAGTGACTGAGATTAATTCTTAATAAATTAAGAAGAAGAAAGAAAACCTGTCATGGTTGAAAATATGCACTGCAGGCATCAGATCTGGGAACTAAAAATAAGTCACTTCACAGAACACTGTCCCCTGATGTGATATCCACCCAGGGAAAACTAACAAGCACATCGGTGTCATACACCCTGAATAAATAATGACACCAACAAGAGCCACTTTGTCTAATTCTACCCCTAAATGTCAAACATTTGGTCATGTTACTGCAGGACTTCCCAGTGTCTGCTACTTGGGCAGAGGAATCTGTAGATATTCGCACATACTCCAGTTAAAACTGTGACCGGACTGAATTGTAAACAGAGTTGATAAAAGAGAAGCTTATTGTTGTAGTGCCTACTAAGAATATCGCTTACATTTTAAAGAACACGGTATGTAGCAGCAATTTAAAATGCTCAGTAAACTACAGTACAAATGGACTTCTATGCTATACAGCAAACCAACATTCTCTTAGTATCTCTGTATCATAGTGACACATATAAGCAAGTTACTTGACCAATTACTTTACATATTGCCAGTTTATTTCTTTGATCCAGTTTGACAATATCAGCATAACTGATTCCTAAACTGATATGATACGTACTCAACGGCGATTTTTCTTTCAGTTCTGCGTAGTGCAGACGACGTTCTTTGTTGGCACCTTCCTAACAACAGCTCATATCTGGAATTTACCTTTTTTATACCATTTAGATGCTGGCATCTGAAGACACATTTATCTTCCTTCCTTTCGTCATTCACCTGCATGTAAACTCAGGATACCTAACTGCTCGCGGATGAGTGTTGCTATAAAGGTAACACAGTACAAAGGAGCCTATCTTTCTTTCCAAGGTGATGAAAGTATTCTAGGGAGATTTCCAGTTAAGAACCTCTTGTTTAGGAGATAATCAGTACTTTCTCTTTAAAAATGTGTTTTCAGTAGCTCACTGGAAATAATGGGTTCTTATTTCAGGCAAGAAATGTACTGTCCCTGTTTGCCTTGCCCTCACGTTCAGACCCGTGATATGAAGCCCAGGCCCAGGCTGGCTGGGATCTGGATGGTTTCCAGCGCGAGAGAGGATGGGTTAAAAGGGAAGGTGACAGGAAAGATGTGTTTAGCATCCATGAGCAGCTGAGGAGAGTCCTTCCTGTCTCGTAAACGCATCTGAGGAGATTAAAAAAACAAAACAAAGAGCATCAGTTCTCTGAATCTACGAAGATTTTTTTTCTGCCAAAAATTCTACCAAAAAGTCCTCGACTAATGAAGAATGTTTATATTTGTTTTAAAATCACTTCATTTTTCCAATAAGCTGTTATCAAAAAAGTTAATGCACTGTAAAACTAAAATGAAACAATACAATAAAAAACATATTATCCTTCAATAAATTATAAAATTTCCATTCAAATGACTGGGTTGGTGAATCAAAGAAAAAGAAAGTTTGGGAGATCTTACCTGTATAGTACGAATAAACGATACAGACACTCGTTCTTCAAACTCATTAACTGGAGTATACAAATTTAACACTTTGACAATCTGTGAGAAATGAAATGATCAAAGTTTTCAGCATATTATCAAAGATACACTAGTGCTTATAATCTGGAAAACTAGAAAGATCTGTGCACACAGTTTTCAATGCTACTCAGGACCGGGTTAGAACAAAAGTGGAGGAGGAGCTGGCCTGAAGGCACATTTACCTTTATGATTTGAATTTTTACAATATGACTGTATTAATCTAATATTTGCACATTTTAAGAAGCAATATAAATTTGGAAAAACATCCAAACTGTACAAAAGAACACAACATGAAAAGTACAAGTGCCCCCACTCCCATCCTCCGAGTCTCCCCAAGTGGCCATTGTTAACAGGGTTCTCTGAGTATCCATCTAGCTACTTTCTGTACATGTTCTGTGTATAATCTATGTGAGATTTCTATGTCATGAGAAATGTGATGACCATTAAGAAAGTCCCCGAGTCAGCACAGAAATAACTGGGCAAAAAAAGGGCCTGTTTATGCCTATGCCTTGCCTCATGCTGTGGACACTGTCCTCAAAGGCCCTCCCCACCTTCTCACTTCCTTCACTTCAAGACCCAGCTTAATGGGACCTCAGTTATTGCCCCTCAGCCCTTCCTTCAGATATCTTACTATAGAACTTGCTAGAACTCTTATGGTAGAATCAGCTGGGACATCTGTCTTCCCTACTAAACTCGAAGTTCCTTTTAGGCAGGAATTGTTCCTAATTTACTGAAGTATCTCCCCCAGAAAAAAGTAAGGTGCCTTGAGATAGGAGCTCAATTGGTCATTTACTGAACTGAAGGAACAAGAATTATCTGTCTTAAAATAGAGAAGTCTAAAGAACCATTCAATTATCAAATAATATTGAAAATTACTTTGTGGAATACAAGCTCCGTGGTATGTCCACCCCCTGAGCAGGGACTTTGTTTTGTTCATGGCTGTATCTTAGTGCCTGGAACATTATGCAGGACACTGTAGACACTCAATCAGTAATTCCTGAATCTTGAATGTGGATGACTGTGATCAGCACTGAAAAGCATTACTTTCTTCCAGATCTGGATAGATGCCTATCTTCTCTGACACAGATACAGTCGGCTCAGAGACAGGAGCAGTAGCTAGAAGACCGCTTTGCTTCCCTAAATATCACCCTCGAAGAACGTTAAACTCTTTCATAAAAGAGAAAGTTGCTTTACCTGGGCAGTAGTTAACGCATTGCACATGGAACAAATGGCTTCTGCATCATCATCTGTTTTCTTTTTCACTTGCAAAAGCTGAGCAGCCTGAATGAGAGGTTCCAGGGTTTCTTTAGCCCCACTGTTCATCAGATTCTTGTCACGCAACCATTCTTCCAGCTGACTGACATTGTACCTATGCCAAAAAAAAATGCAAATTTACTGAATGTTGTCATAAATGTCTTAATTTTTTTGTGTGTGGCTTTGTCCCAAATTTCAGTTAAAATGACAGGCAGTATTTTTGTTCAATTTTCTTAAATTTTATCAGTTGTGCTTAAAAATTTATCATTATAAATAGTCATGAGGTTTATAATCATGATTATATAAGAGTAAATGAATAGAGAATATAATTATCTTTAATGGGAGATAGATATATAGCCATTATAACAAAAGTTATGAAGTAAGACTCGCTGAAAGACAAAATAGAACACATAATATGGCTGTGTCCTTATGAAACAGCTGACCAGAAAACACCTTCTAGCTTTTTTGATAACTTCAGAGGTGAGAATCAATAATCTTTTAAGTACTCTCTCTTCCTTAAGTCAAACCCCAAATTAGTGAACTGGCTAACAAGATCCCCTCACACAGACTTTGTGCTCCAGCCTTCTTTAGGGAAGAGGCTGAGTGATGGAGATAGTGGCTGGGTGATGGAAGGAGAGAAGGGCAAGTGGGGGCCACTGGAAAAGATGAAGACCTCAAATATACAGAGACACGGAAACTACACAGATGCTGAGGTTTCATGAGGTGGTCAACCAAGTGACAGTGGTTCTCAAACTAAAATAAGGCGAATGGACTCACAATCACAACTTAGTAATCAGGCAAATAGGAAGTGTTATGATTTACGACAGGTGTTGCACATGTGTAAACAAAGCTTCTAGAGAAATAGACTCTAATACTTGAGTGGAAGGCATTATCTTCTTAACTACAATGATGTTGGTCAGAACAGAAAATTTGAAAAGAACACTAAAGTTTCCTGCGACTGAGTAACTAAAGACTTTTATAGGAGAAATCCTTTTTTCCCCCTCTTGGTGAATATTCTAGCTGTTTTAAAATAAATTATTACAAAAAAATCAATTCTATTATGATAATGAGGTTATGCTGAGGAGCAGTTGGGCATAAAATTGTGTGCAGCTTTTCTTAACATATAAAGGGGCATGTTTCAAATGTTAGTACAAGATCTACTAGACATATTCTTGTTGCCATAGGTACAAAAAGGTATTTTGTCAAAAATAAATTTCTAGGAGCAATAAAACATTAGAACTTTTCATTACAATTTGATATCCTGTTATTTTACAATTAAAACACACAGAAAAGGAGAGGAAGCAGCTATCTCATCTTTACATATTTTTCACCATCTCTCCGCTCCCTCAAGGGAGTTCCCACCCCAGTGGAGCAGGTTCCTAACAAGCAGCGAGTGGAACCTGAGGAAAGGCACAGCGGGGAGCAGTAATGGAGGACGTGGGGGAGTCCAGCAGGGGAAGGGAAAGCGGCTCCATGCCCGGTCTTCCCTTGCTGCTTGGCCAGGGGCTGCAGACATCAGGTGTCGTGACCTCGAACGCCATCGGCTCTCTGCGCCCTGGCAGGTGGGTGGGGCAGTGAGAAGAGGCCACCACAGGTGTTGGTGTTTGCTCACCTGATCTGCATGCCTTTACTCCAGGAGCACATGTCCTTCCGCAGGAGGAGGTTGTTGAGGGTGATGGCCCCCACAATGTAGAACATCTGCTTGACCACCTGCTTGATTAGCTCGGGGTCCATGCCGTGCTGACACATGACCGAATGGAAGGAGTTGAGCTGCCGGAGGATGGAGTCCAGCGTGTAGGTGCCCTCATCGGCGATGCTGGAAGTCCGCTTTCTTAGCCCTGTGGGCTTCACCCCAGATACGCCCTGAATGGTTTCATGCTCCAGCATGCCAGAGACTGCAGGAGGAGTTCAAGTGTTACAAGAGAAGATCTGGAAAGAAACTTGTTTCATGTGCATACACACACACACACACACACTCTCATATACACAAACACACATTCAATTTAGGAAAATTATCTGAGCATCAAGATAGAGGGAAAAAGGGGCCGGCTCCGTGGCCGAGTGGTTAAGTTCGTGTGCTCCACTGCCGTGGCCCAGTGTTCGGCTCCTGGGCGTGGACATGGCACTGCTCATCAGGTCACGTTGAGGCGGGTCCCACATCCCACAACTAGAAGGACCGGCAACTAAGATATACAACTGTGTACAGGGGGGGTTTGTGGAGATAAAGCAGAAAAAAAAAAATTGGCAACAGTCGTTAGCCCAGGTGCCAATCCTTAAAAAAAAAAGAGGAAGATTGGCAACAATTGTTAGCCCAGGTGCCAATCTTTAAAAAAAAAAATAGAGGGGAAAAAGAACTTCACAAAAAAAGGGCTTCTGGATCTTAAACTTTAAGGAAGAAATAATTCTTAAATACAAAAATTTACCAAGAAATTAATCTTAATGGTGTATTTTCTGAAACATGAAGCAGTAGCCTTGTAAGAGCACAAGTGTGTGGTGTCTTGGGAGGGTTTCTGAGAGAGGGGTCAGGAGCAGGTAGGGAGAAGAGAAGCATTCTCCAGTGCTAGCTGAGCCCAGAGGCAAGCAAATCAAGCAGCGAGGAAGGCGGGAGACTGGGCATGTCTTGGAGAAAACTCAGGCAGGGCAGTTGTGTGGGGCTGGAGAGCTGGGCCCGTCCTTGTCCTGAGCTTGCCACAGGCACAGAGAAACCTCGGGTTAGCCTCTGCCTCCCAAGACTCAGTCTGCTCATCCGGGGCACTGCTGCTCCCTCTACTGTGCTCCCATAGCATTTGGCTTACGCCTCTTCTAGGATGGTTTCGGGAGGCCCACTCCCTGGACTGGGAGCCCCTTGACAGCAGAGGCCATGCCTGATTCATTTTTCTATCTCCTGGTACTATATGCAGTCTTACAGAACCTCAGACTGACTCAAAACGTTTGTAGCTGTTAAGTCACTGAGTGATGGGGGTAGTTGTTTAAAGTGGGACATCTTACAGGCAAACTTCTTGTTCAGCCAATAGAAACAGGCAAAAATAGAAAGGTTGGCTACAGCTGACCTTCTTTGCCTCTGATAGCTCTTGCATTGTAGCTGACCAAGGTTGCTTTAAATGCATGGCCTTTCAGGGAACAACTGATGAAATCACTGCCATCTCCTATGGCTTCCTCAGCCTTTTGTGTTTCTAGTTGTTTAATTGTGGGCCTATGACGGAAAATGTGAGCTAAGAGAAGGGAAATGAAGAAGTTGTGGAAATGTGGAAAACACATGGGCGGGGAAAGAAAAGGTAGCAGGGAGTAGCCTCAAGAGGATATTTGATTATTTGCCCGAGGATAACAGTTTGGTAACTTAAAAAAAATTTTTTTTAATTCAATGCATTCAAAATAAGCAGCCTGTAATTTTTACATGTCTCCTAATTCCTACCTACTTCACACATGCTACACATTCCAAAGGAACATAGGTAGCATGATACATAAACACCTGGAATGACTGCAAACGTATAAAGAGAGGTGCATGGAATCACACACTTAGCTGAATACATATAGAAACATACACACACACACACACACATACCAGTCACTCATCCAGTGAGAAACTGCTACGTTAAACCAAACTGCCTTTAACCATTCCCTAGGGGCCATGAGATGGACAACCCAGCCTGTGGTGTCTGAGACCTCTTACTGCCATGGCAGCCTCCCAACCATTTTACTGCAGCCTGTGAGACAAAGCACAAACCCTTCCCAGGCTCCTTAGTTTTAGATGGAGTAGTGTAGCAGTGTGCCAGCCCAAAGTTGAAAGTGTTTCTGAAAACTGGACGAGACATGAGGTCTATGGCTGGGTATAAAGCATAACCCAAACTTCAGAGCGAGGCATACAGCACTGGGGAGGGAATCCAGATCCTGCTGTTTCGATCATGTGGAAGCAGTGATTTTGGTGTATCCTAGTTAGTCATGGCTAACAGCCCATGTTCTGGGATTCCTCAGCTAATTTTAGAACTGAGTCTTACTACTGTATGTTCCCCATATGAATATGTGCTCTGAAACATGTGTCACTGCTGGTCATCTACTGGTGGGCACATGAGGTGGGCAGACCTCGATGTCAGCAATGCCCTGGCCTTACCGATCATTGGCTGAAGGATGTTCTCTAACACCCGCACAAGCTGCTGGTAGATCTGAATGGCCAAGTCACTTAGCACCTGTCGGTACTCAGCCAGGTCAAAATTGGTGAGGCAGTGTTCATTCTGGCGAGATGTGTTGTGTTTCATAAAGCCCTAGAGCCATAATGCAAAGTTAATGATATACATGAAATAAAATCTCTCTTCTGTTTAACTATCTTGTTTTCATCAGCATCCTCATGCTCTCTTTTCCTCTTTCCAAAGAGTTTCCATCCATCCCACACATAAATGCCAGAATAATCCTTCTCAAATGCTGTATGTATTTGTTTCCATCATATCCCCCTTCCACTTACTAGCTTTTGAATAATATCTAAACTTGGCAACCTAGCATTTAAGCCTTTCCAACAGCAATGTCAATGCAACAAGATGGGGGAACTTAATTTGAAAAAATTGAGTGTTTTCATTTACGAAACAAGATGTTTACTGCCAAACACTAAATTATCTAAAGTACTAATCTCTTAAGTTCAGTTCATTAGTTCTAAGTCCTACTTATAAATATTGTACCCATAGGGCATACACAATCTTAAAATAGACCAGTTTCTATAGAGACCAGTGAATAAATTAAAAATTTCTCTTTTCTGTTTTATGGTATCCATACATGATTTTCAGTCTGAGCTTAGAAAGGAATCTTTTGGTGGTATTTGTTAAAATGGAAAGTCATCTGTATAGGCAGGTCCTTTGTCAGACACTGCCTGACAAAGGCAATTTTCTATGTGGTGGATCCTGCCCATGGTCAAGCGTCTGCCTCCCTACAACCCACTTAACAACATGATCTATAAGTAGGGACCCTCTGGGGGATGCTGGTCTGTCAATCCCATCTCCTCTGGGACAACGTCTTGCTCATATTTGTATCTCCCATCATTTGCCAGGGCAGTGCCCTACCTCTAGCCTCTGTGCACTCAGGAAGTGCTACTGCTCAGCTTCTCTGCCTGTTCACCCAGCAGAGGATGGGGAGGCAAGGACAGCAGTGGGTAGGGGCACAGGCCCTTGGAGGTGGGCAGACCCAGAATCCCAGCTCTGTTCCTTATGGCTGAGAGAACTTGGGCAAATGGATGAACATGACTGAGCTTCAGTTTCCTCATCTATAAAACTGGGTTATAATTCCTGCCTCACAGAGATGTTGTAAGAATTAAATAACATAGTGTATAGTAAGTGCTGTCTGATACATACTAGGCAGCCCTTAGTAAGTGGTAATTATTAATACATTACATAAATTTGAAATATGAAGTCTATCAAACTGATGAACAAGTCACTACAAAACAAAAGCAAAACAGATTTTTGGACAAATTGAAAGAGATGTGTCTTAATCACCTTTCATGTATTACGGCAAGCCAAAATTGATTAATTTCTTTAAATAGTTCAATATTCCTATATTAGTCCTTGAAAAGCTGACTTCCACACATATTGACAAAAAGTTTCATTGTTGGTAACTACTCATTGACCAATGCTCATTTTATTTCTGCTGTGCTTTCTCAAAATACGGACTCTCAGAGGGAAGAACTATGTCACTTCTCAATTCACTGTTTAGTAAATAACAAACATCAAACCAAGCTGTGAACTTCCAGGCCACCCCTGAACTCAGGTTTCCAAGTAACAAATGGTTAACCATTTTGTGCTTGAAAATTTGTCCCTAAAAAGACCAGAGCAAGTATAGCAAGCTGGTTTTATAGTCAAGGTTTTCTCACCTCTTCTCCACTGTACTGCTTCAAGCAGTGCAAAAATCGGCATGTGTTAGAGAGCCAGAAGGAGACAGTTTCAAAATCATCACCTCTTTTCTGAAAGAAAGAATAAGTCTAAATTTGCTTTTTCCTTAGGGAAATAACAACCGGAAAAAAACTCAACAGATACCAGACGTCCCATTTCTTTCAGTTACCATTATAAATAATGATAAAAATAAATCACATTGCAATTGTAAAGTCTTACATCATCACTAGAGAATCTCAACTACTTGGGTTTATTGGTTGGTTGTTACTTTGCGTGGCATCCATTTTCTTGCCATTAGAAAATGATGCCCAGTCATTCAGTTGAGGTAAGCACAGCAGTCCCTTTAAGCAGTAAAAAATTCGCCTAGCCACAGGTTACCCAGACTTACTTCCCTCGGGGTTACTGAAGGGAATCAGAAAAGACTAAAGACATAAAAGGGAATCACAAAGATTGTGAGGCACTGAGAGCCAGAGTAGGTTAAAAATCTTGTCACTGATACAGTTTGTGAGCAGTGGATCAGAAATGGCATGGAGCAAGTCCTGTGCAGAGCAGTAGAGACAAGGGAAGCTGCTTGGCTCTTCATCAGCACTGGGCCACATGTCAAATAACCAGCTGCTAAATCAAAACGGGGATGCAAGATGAATACATTTCAATTCAAAACAGGGATGTAAGACAAATGCATGTCAATTTTAAATGATATCAAAAAGGTGTTATGTTCCAGGTACCCACTTCTTTTAATCTTTATACAATTTGCTACAATAATTAGTCAAATTAGATAAACATCTTCTTGCAATTAAGATGAGAGGGAGAAAACTTTGTGATTTGGCTTTGTTGTCTTTGTGGGACCTGACGTAAGAGGTAGTAAAACTTGCAGTCTATCTAAGTGCAATATAGTATCAATACACCCAAAATCAAATGAGTTACATTCAGAAGACATTCATCAACTTTTAAATGTTAAATCTTCAGAAACTCCATGCTTTAGTAAGCACTGCAGAATGTAATTACACAGAATATCTATCTGCACAACATGGACTGAGAACCAGCATTTGTCAGAAATTCACTACCAGGGGTTGGGGGGAGGGTGTGTTTAATGGGTACAGAGTTTCAGTTGGGGACGATGAAGAAGTTCTGGAGATGGATGGTAGTGATGGTTGCACAACAATGTGAATGTACTTAATGCCACAGAACTGTGCACTAAAAAATGGTTAAACGGTAAATTTTATGTTAGTATATTTTACCACAGTTACAAAACATAGTTCATGAAAGACATTTTAGACTTGAGAGAGTCCACTGGGCACGTTAACTATTCACTTATCTCCATCCTAAAAGTTCTCAACTACACTTGAACCTAATGTAATGTCACATGTCAATCATACTTCAACAAATCAAATCAAACCAAATGAGAGAATATTTTGATTCAAAAAAAAGAGTTCTCATTAAGTTAGATAATCAGAAAGCAAAGTACCTGGAGCACATTCTCTTAGCTCCTCACAGAAACAGCTGAGTTAAAACTAAGAATAAGGTTCATTGTTTTTCTCGAGAGTCAAGAGGCGGATTATGCAACGTGACTCAGTAATTACCATGTTATGTAGGGCTTTCTGCTCTATTATATAATTTTGCTGTCTCTTGCAAATCTTCCCTCTCTGATTAGTATCTGTGTGTTGCTTCTTATACGGAACCAGGCATTTCAGGTAACAAGGAAAATTACGGGGAGTTGGAGAATAACGGGAAGAAAAGTTGGAAGAAAAATTTTAATCTTTTATCAGACATCTTTTTATATGAATGAGCCATGTATTATTGAACTTATGTAATACCTATTTTAACTACAGCATCATATTCCCTATATATATGGACTGCACGACATATTTTCAATTCAGTTCTAAGTAAGACCTCAAAGCAGACTATTTCTGTCTATGAAGAAACTAAATTTACTCCACAATTAAATGCAATTATGTCAAATTAATTTTGATTACTGTTCATCCCGAGCCCTGTTTTGAAAGATGGTATATAGACATGTGGCAAGAAAGACTGTTTCTTACAACGGAAGGTGTCGGTTAAGACTGGGAAGTGTTCATAACTGGCAACTAAGCTAAAGTCTAAGGAAGGAAAAGTACCTCTGTGCAGATTCTCTCATCAATAATATTCATTAGGAGAATTTGTTGACATGAACTGACCTTTAATACTTTTTTGATGCTGTTAATTGTTGATGTTAGCAATGACCTTACTTTCTGATCATCATTCAGGTAGTCAGCATGTCGCACACACATAAAGAGGATATATGCTGGTAACCCTGGAATTAAATTGACTGCTACACCACGCGGCTTCAGTTCTGAAAAGAGAAAAGAGGAAAAATAATCTTATAGCACTCTGAAAGTCTTCATGAGGAATGCTTTGTGAGATATAAAAGCACAGCTCTCATGTAAGAGTTCAATCATTCAGAGTAAATAAGTCATATAAAAAAGCATATTTTAATAGCTCATTAAGTGGAGAAATTCCTGAGGGTGGGGACATGTGAATCCTGGTTGTCTATACAATGACAACTCCGCAATTTATATCTCCTGCTCTGACTTTTCCCTTGGATTCCAGTCTCACGTCAACTGCCTTTTGCCATCTCTGCTCAGGCATGTCAAACTGAGCCCATTCCAAACCAAACTCGATTCCCTGTGGAACCTGCTCTTCCAGGAGCTGTGCCCATCTCAGTAAGTGGCAGTTCCAGTCTTCTAGTTTCTCAGGTTATAAACGTTGTCATCTTCCTTTCTTTTTCTCACAGCACACATCTTTTCCATCAACACATCCTGTTGGTTCTACATACAACACATAGCCAGAATCCAACTACTTTTCTACTAGCCACCCTAGTCTAGGCCACCATCATCTTCTCCTGAATAGCGAGGGCTTCCAAACTGGTCTCCTGGATTCATGCCTTGCTCCCAGGAGGACATCTGTCACACCACAGCCAGAGTAGTTCTATAAAACAATGTAGGTCAGATCACATCACTTCTGTTCAGAAAAGCTTCCAAGTAGCTTCTCATCTCTTTCTTTCACAATACCCGAAATCTCACCATGGTCTGTGTAATCTGCCCATTGCCCCTCCCCAGCTCACTGTGTTCCAGTTAACTGGGTCTCCTTGCTGTCGGTTGAACATGCCAGGTATGCTCCCACCCCAGGGCCTATGTATTTACTGTTTTCTGCCTGAAATGTTCCTTCTTCAGATCAGCACGACTTGCTTCCTTCCTTTGGTCTCTGTCTGAAGATCACCTTATCAAAGAAGCCTTTCCTATCAACTTTGTATAAACTAGTACTCCTGCTTTGACTCTTTCTCCTTCTTTCTCATTTCATCTTTATTTTATCCCCCCTCATGTAAGCTCTATGAGAATAGGGACTTGGCTTTGTTCATTACTCAGTACCTAGGAAATGCTTAGCACATGGTAGGAGCTCACTAAATATTTACCGAATCGATGAATCTTTGTTACCTCTATGCTTAATAACCAGTGGCTCCTTCACAGTTTTGCTAACTGACAATCATGTTGAAACTTAAGCGCCTCTGCACCTATATATAGTACTAAGTTCAATGCCATGAACCATGGGAACATTAAATTAGGTATAACTGCCAATCACATTGCTGTCGCCCTGGCACCTGGCGGGAGGAATGCTATGCAGAGGCTGAAAGGAGAGGATTCTAGCGTTTTCAGTTCACAACTTAAGGTCTGTGTGCACTCCCTAATCATTTCCCATCTCCCTAAAAGGTCTTTCTGCAGAGCTAGTGGGCTCACACCCAGTCTTAGGGGCCTTATGCTGCTCTGAAATGCTGCTTTGACTCCCATTTCCTTTGTCTGCTCCTCTCCTTCCATTGCTGGAATCTTTTCCTTAATTCTTTTGTTTCTTCCCTATAACTGAACTATTGTTCTTGATATATTTAGTGATGCACTTTTCTAGGGAATTAAGGAAAAAGAGAAATTCAGGAACTTAAATGGCCTAGAGCTATGGTGTTCAACATGGCTACACTTCAGAATCCCTTGAAAGATTGAAAAAAACACCTCTAGACATATCCAGGCTCTTCCCTTTAGAGATTCTGATGTAATTAGTCTGTAGAGGGGCCCATACGTCAATACTTCTCAAAAGCTTCCCACGTTATTCTAATGTGTAGCCCAAGCTGAGAAGGCCTGGTGTCAAGGGACCCCCTGGGGTGGGTCCTAGGCAAGTGTCCCTGCAGTTTGACTGATAATGTGTGATGTGATCAGGATGCTACCAAAGCATGTAATGCACAGTCGGTAATGATGACGACAGAAGTTGGTGTTGACTATTTCAAAACTTAGTGCTAGTCTCCCACTACTCACATATGTACCAGAAAGACCTTTAATCCTATGCAGAAAATACTTGCCCAGAATCAGGTTCTTAACAAGTTTCTGCTCATCCTCCTTCTTGTATTCCAGCATTCCTTGGAAATCCTTTTCTTTCCTGGGAATGTTGACTGGACGGATGGGTTCATCAATGATCTGTCCTGGGGAGATGTTCTCCATCTGGCCCACTTCACAAGAAACAAAAAAAGGAAACATGTTTTCCAGATAGAAAAGATGAGAGGGTTCCATGTTCCTCTAATTTTAAATGAACTCTACAACAACAGAAACTTGCTGTATTTGCCAATTAATTGTCCTTTCTTAAATTTTTTTTGCTAAAATTGGGTGGAAAGATGGCAAAATTATATGGTGCTTGGCTACTGTCAACATAAAAGAACTTTACTTGATACAAAAGCATTTTTTTGTAATAAGGTTTACTTTGTATTAAGACTAAATGTCCCCAAAGTAAGTGATTTAACCTCTTAGTTAACTAATTAGAACCAATCATAAACGGTTAAAGATATTTAGGCCTTAATTCTCAGAAGGAAAAAACAATATTCTCCAAAGAGGCAGCAAGAGTACAAAAGATTATCCCTCACCTTTAGTTCTATGAATCTAGTCATTAAAGAAAAAGAGCAATTTCTTTTACATGTATCCTTGCAATCAGTTTAAACCACATCAACATAGCTGGTAGAAGAGGATTTCTTCACACAAGTCCATGTGAAATGTTTATTTTTCACAAAGGCTTCAAATAAGGCAAAGACCTAACTTTCCCCTGCCAGCCCTCAGCCCCAAAGAAATCAAGGGCAGATAAAACAGCCTTTATTTAATATGATTTCCTAAATATTACTGTCTTTTGTTTCTTTGTTTTTAGTAAAGTGCCCAAAGTCCTACCATGAAGATGCAAGCGTTGAAGCACAACCACTGGTTAACAACCCTTTCAGATGTCAAAAACGGTTACGACTGTCAATGGAAGCTGCTAGAGAAAAGTTATGCTAAGGGTGAAAAAAAGTTTCTAATTTCATCTCATAATTGAGAATTGAATGGGAAATGCAAGGGAAGGGAAGGGAACACACGATTATGATGGTATTTGTGGAGATATATGCTAGTAAGCAGGTTTTTAATTCTTTTATCTACAGGAAGAGGGGCAGGTAAGAAATCTATGTAGGCATGGATTAAGTTTGCCTTCAGAGATTGTACTCAAACAAACAAAATGCAGATCAGATGCATTAGAAAGTTTACTGTTGCCGACTCCACAAGGTATCAGAAGTGCTTCTCCTGTCACTCTGGGCAATTTCCTGTGTTAGTTCTGGGAAGCCAGTTCCACAGGACGAGGTTATCACAGAGAACACCAATACCTGCCAGTGCCCTTGCTTATGTGGCAGAGAGCCTGGTGACAGCCCGTCCGCCTCCCGCTGCAGCATCACACCCCGGGACTATCAGCGCTGAAACTCACCACCGTCCACCAACACTATGATACCTAACGAGTGATCACATTGTGAATGGACAGATCAGAGTTGAGGCTGCTAGTGTTTCATCTGCACGATGCAGACACAAAAGGTACGCCTCTATACAAGAGACAGGAGATTCAGACTCTTGAGTCTTACGTAAATTATTTCTGGAGTCAGTTTAAATACAACACCATGAGGACCTCGGAATCAGCACACAGTGGCCGTCCCAGCTCATGTACATGCTGCGTATAAAATACAAAATAAGAAAATCCCTGCCATCTATGTTACTAGTCGCTTTAAGCCACAGAAACAATCCTAAGAGGGGAAACTGGGAGGAAATAGATTCAACACCTAAGTTTATCAATAAATGTACATATTTGGACTCCATATAATCCAAAGAGAATGTTTTAAACCTACTGATCTCATCATATCTAAGGTGCCATTGATGGAGAGATAGACCATTATTTCATATAATAGTGAAGGATGATCACTGCCAATTAAGCTACAACCCATCAGCGCTGTAAGACACATCCTAATTTCAGAGATGCTAAAATGTGAAAAAGTGTGCACCTGAGAATTTATGAAATATGGTGAATATTTTTAATAAGAGTTTTATGTTTTAAAAGAAAGCTTCACTTTCCTTTTGCAAAATCTCTAGCCAAGATATTTTTGGTTCTGAACAAAAATGTCAGACAAAATGTGCCATACTTTCATTAAAATCTTTCTTTCTGCTTTTGAATTCTCCCCAGAGATTTGAGTCTACAAAAACTCACAGATAAAATATAGCTGTCAGCTCAATATAACTTTGATTTATTCAGCAGATCATTTACTAATTAAAATAAAATGTCAAGCCTTGTGTAAGCCCAGATACCACCCCAGTTTTCAAAGACTCAAGACACTCTGGGGGTCATTCAGTCCAAGGGTCCATCTAATAATACAGACATCCTTCTAGAAAGATCTGAAGCAAGCTCTATTTCCATTTTCTAGATTCTTTGTACTTGAGGGAAAAATATTTCTGAAACTTTTGTCCTGGAAAGGGAAAGGAAGTTTTTTAAAAAATTTATTTTTCATCAATTTAGTACCAGGAAGTGCTTGATCTCAGGCTTAATCAAGACAGTCAAATAAATTCCTGTAAGTAGAGAGATTCTGTTGGAAAATATGAGACAAAGGAGTGAAGTCCTCAGAAGGCTTGGGTTCTAGTCCTAGTTTGGTCACAAACTGGCTGAGACCTTTGAAGCCACTTATGGTTTCTGAGCTTCAGCTTTTTTTCTCCAATGAAATAATTAACTGATTTCTAGAATTCTTTTAGGTCTAAATTCCCTGAGAATGAAAATTGAGATGGAACACCCACTCCTAGATTAAAATATAGCACAAAGCAGATCAAATTTTGAAACACTCTCCATTTAACTACATAATTTCTGCTAAAAATTATATATGTGGCAGTTAAAAAGAAAAGTCTTCATTGGCTTTTAAATGAGTCTCCTTAATTAAGTGCAGCCCATAGGAGGAGGCAAGTCTTGCTATTTTAAGATAGAAGAATTTAAGCATAATAAAGAAAAATATAAAAAAAACTTTTAGATATTATAAGGTACTTTGTTTCACAAGGTTGCCAGTATTTTCTGTATAATGCGGGGATAAAGGGACAGGAAGAGAACAATGTTGGAGGAGCTTGTCCCCTTTATTCTCTAATTTTGGGAAGGGGTGGGGACACTGTACTCAGCAAGTACCCAAGTCACATAAATCGATTTCATTTTATTCTTTAGACATAACTTTTCTTAAGAATATTAAAATGCCTTTTTTGTTTAATCTATGAATTGCCTTCTCAAATGCTACTTAAAAGTTTAAGAACATAGCTGGCAGGATAGTTTAACGGATGAACTTGATTTATGATTGATAATGGCTTAAAATTGCTAATATCTTGAAAGATTCTAATTTACTTTTTCAATTAAAAGTATACATATCAAAGAATGCTGAGTAAAAGCTTAAAATAGTAAGTGACTTTTCTATTTATCAAAATTTACTAACGTATGGCAAAGGAACCATTATGGGTTTTAAAAATAATCTCACAAGTTAATACCCTTAAAATCAGTTTCTTTCAAGCCAATACTTTACTGTCTAATTATCACCTCATGATATAATTAGTGCAGAGTTAAGTGCAGAAAGGTTCTCTGAATAAAGATTTTTTAAATTCTGCCAACAGACATTATAGCCCATGTGTGTGTGATTTGGAGGCTCAAAATTTTAATGTAATATATGAATCACATAATGCTAAAGGATTATATATAAATATGACTGCAAAGTAATCTGTCTGATTTCTAAACAAATATTTTAGCATTTGCACATCCAAGGGAATATTACTGTCTTCAAAGCAAGCATCCATGTTGCTATTCTAAATATTTCTGAAACTTATTTATTCATTCAACAAACATTTATGGGATGATTATGATAGGTCAGACACTACGCTAGGTGCTGTGAAAACAAAGGGAAATAACAGGTGGTCCCCATGCTTGGGAAGCTCACAGTCCATTGAGGAAGCCAGTAATTCAAACAGAAAACCTGCTGAAAATATGACAGGGAAAACTACAAAAGATGTGAGGCAAATTGCAGTACATAGAGGGCAGAGCCATCAGATCTGTCTGAGTGATCAGGAAAGGCTGCTCTTGAGGATGTGACATATGACTCTTCTCAAAGGATGAGCAGGAGCTGAGCAAGAGAAGCAGGAGGACCAAAGAGAAGGAACAGTGATGACGGGCCTGGCATGTTGGAGGACTGAAAACCACATCAGAGTTAATCATGGTAGATTCTTTTGAACATTCCCAGTGATGGGGAATCTTCACCCTCTGAGCCAAGTAAAAATTATGCAGAGTGACACTGAGAGAATAGATGGGTAATCAGACTGCACAGTATCATTTTTGGTCAAAATGACAATAGCTTGCATAGGTCTGAAGGCAATTCCACAAAGGGTCTCTAATCTCTTGAACGACGAGAGCATTGGTTGGAATAAGCCTAGATTCTGGCTTTAGCCCTGGTCACTGCTATATCCCTGGCACCTAAATAAATACTTACTGAAGGAACAAAGACACTAATCCACAAGGCAAGATTCATTTGTACACAACAACTGATATCTGGTTATTTCTCAAGGTGTTTTCCCATCATCACCATATAAAACTCACGAGATGTTTTAAAAAATCTTATTTCTTTATAATCATAATTCATTTTTTCTTATTTACCTCTTTTTTTCTCCATTACATGGTACGTTCTTTGAGGACACAGACTTTATCTTACTCATCTTAATAATAAAAACAACAACAATAATAATAACTAAGTTGTGTATTGCATCTACTATGTGTCAGGAACTATACTAAATACATGGCACATATTAACTCACTTAATCTTTACAAACCATGTCAGGTAAACAACATTATCATTTCCACTTAACAGGTACAAAAACTGAGGCATGGAGAGGTTCAGTAACTTGCCCAGTATCAGATGACTAGTAGTAGAAGACTCAAGATTTGAACCCAAGAAACTTGGCTCCAGAATCTATGCTCTTAACCTCTATGCTATACCGCCTAGCACAGTGCCTGACATATAGAAGACAGTCATTAGATGTTTGCTGAATGAATTCTCTCCCTTTGTAAATTATTACTACCATGAAAAGAACATTTTCCCCAACCTTGCAGTGGAAATTTCCACTCCACAGAGACCAGGTTTCTAAAAGTCATTTTTGTTATCATCCCTAATATTTGCATGCAAACCTATTAGGCCACTAGTATAGTAATACAAAATCAAGATTCAGCAATTGGTGTAAAAACATGTTTAAATACCTTCTAGTTCACCAATTTTTTTGGCAAATACTTTCAGTTGTTTTTTCAGTTTCCGGACAGTCTTATCTTGTTTTTCAAGTTGTTCCATCAAATCCTAAAGATCAAAATGAGAAATATAACAGAAAGATCAAAATAGGCCTTCTAAAATGCACAGAAGGAAAGCAGACACAAAATCACAAAAACAGCAGTTAGTTTTACATAAAAGCTCGTTGGTGGAGCCACCATCTGGCTAAAACTGGCAGGCGTGGGAAACGCAGCTACAATAAAAGCCAAATGTTAAATATATACAATGCGGTAAAATCCATTACAGCGTGATGGACAGCAGGCTTAATTGGGGAGCCTTTGCCAGTAAGCTCCATGTGGGTAAAACAATTAAATGCTCATAAAATGCATGCTATTCCAGTGGAAGGTTTTCTTTTAAAAGGGAATGGGCAAAATAAATTTTTATGAACACACAAAAAGCTCTGAGGGAAGTTTCAAGGCTGGTTGAACTTGGGTAGGAGTTTCTGACCGACACCCACGTGTGTGAAGCGCTGTCTCTACGACACCCACCCTTTGGAGAAGCTAAAATTAGTTCTGTAACCTAAGCAAAGTTAAGAAGTTTGGGGAATTAAAAGATAACTTGAAAAAATAACCACAGAGAACAGGATAAACAGCGGTCTACTGACCTAGGACCAGGTGGCAGGCGGCAAAACACACCCATAAAATCTCGCAAGTGATATAATTTTGCTTATAGAGAAAAAAAGAAGGTAATTCCAAATGCTTTCTGCAAAAAGAGAAAAAAGAAGCACATCCAAGGGGAGGGGGTAAAAAGGTTTGTGATGACTGGCTCTCTATTTAGTCAAGAGTTCTCTCAATGACAGGCATAGTTAAAAGATCGATAATTAAGAAGACACTGGACGATAACATCCTTGAAACTTAGAATGGAAATGAATCAGTGATATCTGTGGTTGTTATTCAGGTTATGGGGAAGAAGTGTTTACAAATACAAATATTCACTCATTCTCCAGCTTAGACAGGGCTGACTGAGATACTGGAGCTGTGATTCCAAGGGAACAGTTGCTGACATCTCAATGTGTTCAGTTCTGCTTCTTGGATTTCACTTTATCTTTCTAATCACATTTTGCTTCCATCACACTGTAAGCCTAGCGTTAATAACAAACCAAACGTGACAACAGACGCAGGACACTGAGAGAGGTGACACCACGGGCTAAACACAGCTGTGGGGAGAAACAGGTTTCACCAAAGAGACTTCCTGGGGAGGGGCGGGCAGGAGTGTGCTCTTCAGTTACAGAGGGCCAGAAGTAGCGACAGAAAAGCACTCTGAGTTTACATACAATCATCCGTTTGTACAGTGAAATCCGATATGACTGATACTTCTTAGGGTCATCTGCATATAATTCCTCAAAATACTGAAAAAACAGGCACAATGGACATTTGTTTTTTTTCTGTGTCTTTGAGAGGAATGCTACCTCTCAGCAAAATCAATTTAAAAATATTTTAAAACACAATGAAACTGTCTCTGCTCAAAATGCTCTGATCTGTCATCTGCCATTGCCCTCTGATCTTCCTAGTATAGATGATTCTAACTATCTATATACATATATTTTCACATGCTCAGAGGAAACAGGCTATGGCGAGGGTGCTATCATTTAGCAGGTGAACAGAGCGCTGGTCCGTATTCCACAGATAAGGCTGCTGTTTACTCCTTAGACCTGCTCACAAGCTGTTGCACTTTTTTGCTGCCAGCAGCAGCAAGAGGGAGGCAGGCAAATAAAATGAAAGCGTGAACAACAGCAGTGTTGGCAATCTTGTTTGAAGGTAGAAGGGCTGGTGAGAAGCCGTGTGCCTTCCTTCCCTGAAAGGCAGCATGGGGGAGGCCTGGGAAGCACGTTCATTAGCTGAGGGAGAAAACTGTCTTTGTCTTTGGGTTGGGGGTAGGTGTTGGGGGGGTTAGGCAGGTAGAGTTTCCAAGAACACCAAGCCTAGGTCCACTGCTGCTTTAATATCCTGCTTAAGTGTTTCCTAAAGAAATGCACATTGAGATTAAGAAACTATAATGATTTTGAACAAGCGCATCATTCCCTGTGCTTAAGTTTGAATCCATTCTCCTGAATTAGTAGTCAGTGAAGCAGGAGAAGCAGCTGACCTACGAAGGGCTTTCCTAAAACTCAGACAAACTCATTAACTAGACTCTACCTTTGGGGGCTTAGTCTATCTTTGATTAGCTATGAAAAACTGCCAAGAAAATTAATACTGCAATCAAGGTTGCAAGGGAAATCTTAATCAACTTAGTGAAAAAACTCTGGGAATCTGCCACCCAAAAGCATCTTGATTTCATGGTTTCACCTTGTATTTTAAGACAATCATTGATAAGCACAGAATTTATATGCTGACCAATTGTTATTATATTATTCAGGATATTTATCAATTTGCCGGCATTAAAGCATGGTTAGTTTAATTTAAGCAACAATATACTTGAGAGCAATAAAACATTTCAAAAATATTCCATGAATCAGAAAATTTTCCCCCACAAATTAGTGATATTTCAGTCACTTTGGAAACACTTGCTCTCACCCTCTTCCACTCCCATAACGGAGCCTCACTCAGCAAGCCGTCCTCAGAGGGACAGACAGACTGTGAAAAGAATGCTTTTAGGTTTGCCTCTAATTAATATAAAACATGGTTGAACAGATGACACTAGAAAACTATTTGTAATGTAAATGATCACTAATGGAGTAATGAAGGGATAATTCAGCTCGTTAAATCTTCAATGAAAATTCAAACTATTTTATTATAGGTCATTAAAACCCTGAATTGAAACAAAAAAGGGCAAATCACCACCAATCCTAAACAGGTTTTCTCAAAACCAGGCTGACACTACAATATAGATTTTACATAGAAATGTGGAATTATAACTTTTCAATCACTTAATTTAATAAATATATTTATCAAACTTAAGTAGATTAAAAAAATCTGTAAGGGTCTGCCCTGGTTGCCTAGTGGTTAAGTCTGGCACACTCTGCTTCAGTGGCCTGGGTTTGGTTCCCGGGCAGAGACCTACACCACTCGTCTGTCAGTGGCTATGCTGTGGTGGTGGCTCACATACAAAAAAGGAGGAAGGCTGGCAACAGATGTCAGGTCAGGGCAAGTATTCCTCAGCAAAAAAATCCCAAAAAACAAGCCCAACCCCAAAAAATCTGTAAGTCTGTAATAAAAGTTATTTTGTGACTGAGGAAGAAATATTTTCTGCAAAAAAAAAAAGAAAAAAGAGGAAAAAAGTAAAAGAAAAAGAAAAAACTTGGACTCTCTGCCAGCCTTCAGAATCTGGGAAGGGAAAAAAAAACCTTCTCATTCACTGCACAAATTCTATCAAAAAGAATCAAAAACGTATAATCTTGAATCTTGAGGTTCTTCCTCCCTGACCTGGGAGCTCCATCCAGTGTCAACTAGAGCCCCGACTGGCTCTGGCAACCACCTGCCCTGACCGTAATGCTAACCCCACTTGTCTGCTGGAGATGGAGGCTGGGATAGCCTCAGCGGCTGCTTAGGGAGCAAAGGTGAACAAAGCTTGCCCCCAGTCTCTGTTGTGACAACCACATAATAAACCTCCTCAAATGGCAGAGAATCAGCAGCTGAAGTGGAGGAAGCAGGTCACCCGAGTTCTCAAGGACGTCCAAAGCCCAGCACACAGTCAGGTGATACCTTCTAGACTCTCCAGGTTAGGTCTGAGAATGCTCAGACGTGCCAGAGCCCTCTGTGAGAACAACGTGCGCACACCACCACTTCCACCACCAGTCATTTTCCTTACTCTGTCTCTGCTAAAGTGAGAGCAGTGAGTTTTCCAGCCATGAAAGATGGGTTTAATCAAAAAGAAACTAGGACTGGGGCTGGCCCCGTGGCCGAGTGGATAAGTTCGCGCCCTCGGCTGCAGGCAGCCCAGTGTTTCATTGGTTCGTATCGTGGGCGCGGACATGGCACTGCTCATCAAACCACGCTGAGGCAGCGTCCCACATGCCACAACTAGAAGGACCCACAATGAAGAATATACAACTCTATGTACCGGGGGGCTTTGGGGAGAAAAAGGAAAAAAAAATAAAATCTTTAAAAAGAAAGAAACTAGGACCGTCCTGCAGGGCCAGGCGCTTCTGGCTGAGTGTGTGGGCCCAGGCACCTCCTCTTACCAAGTTTTCGTTGGTCAGCCGGGTGATCTCATGCTGCAGGCTGGCCTCGATGCGGGCCTCTGGGGGCAGCTGCAGGTTCTGGGCCAGCAGCTGCTGCTGCCGGTTGTTCTCCTCCTTCAGGCTCTGGATCTCCCCGCGGAGGGCTTCAGCCTCATTCTCATGGCTCCTCTTCTGCGACTGGAGCTGGGATTCCAGGAGCCTGTGGAGAAGCCACACAGGTAGGAAACGGAGATGACCCTAGAGTCCCTGCCTGGTGGGTGCAAGGCTTCGTGCTCACTTGCAAGGGCAGGAAAAGTGGGTGCTCTTTAGTGTCTGTGTAACTTCTGACTTGATTAAAGTCAAGAAATTCAAACAAAGGCCAGAAATGAATGCTCTCATATTTGTGTCTTTCTGAATTCCTGCTACAAATACAAAGTTCTCAAAGGCCCTGAGAAACAGGAGCATTTTAGCTCTTTTGAAAGGTTCATAGGAAATGGTGACTAAAATAATCAATTAAAAGACATAGCTTTAACCTGGCTTACCACATTTACAAACTAGCATTTAAGTTGGCAAAGACAGGACCTTTCCTGCAAAATAACTCTGCACGATAGAGGGCTAGGTTACAAACTCCCCATCCAGTTAAATATGCCTTCAAGAATTTCAGTGTTAACAATTTCAGGCAGAGGGTGTGACCAGGGCCCATTTTTACTTTCTACTCTTATCTCTGAAGGACAGAAAGGTTGGAGTGGTACTCTGAAATATACACAGATTTACCCAAAGCAGATAGACAGTTCTGGAATTTCATATATATATTTTCTAAATTTGTCATCTTTTCTCTCCCTATAAATTTCCATATTAGTAACAGAATCCTAACAAGACATGTTTTTAGAACATAAATATTAATAGGACCAACAAAGTGGTTACTGGTTCTCTGAGCAAACATACAAGTCAGCTGCGTCCCCAAGCAGGCTGGCCACTGGCAGTGAGAATACAGAGAAATAGCATCCTCCCTTTACCACACACCCTGACTTCTACATTCACCCCTCTTCCAAACACAAACAACGTTATGGGTAGGAATTAACCAATATGAAGAAAGAAAAGACACTCTTTTATTCTAATCCCTTTGGTTACCAACTGCTGGGCAAAACTTACGATGCCATTGCAAGCAAACTGTTAGCAGCAGACTAAAAATATTTTAGTGATTATAAAATTTCAAAAGGATTTGAACCAATAACACCACAAAGTTAATGACAATGATTTATGATTAGAACAAACAAAGCAGAATAAGCAGAAGCCCCCTGAATGAATAGTATACTGTTTATAAAATTTAATCAGTAAAATGGTATTTTTATGAGATTTTTAAGATACAAATATCACTAGAGCAGAAGAGTGTCTGTGCTGGAAAGGTGTCGCTGTTTCAGTTTTGTCTGCTGTCTCCTAAACAGATTTAACATACTGAGTTTGGGGAATTATTTTGAACTGCAGCAATGCAGGAACCCCTCCTGATTTGCTGTTTCATAAATTTGAATTTCATGATAACCACACAGAATGCCAAACCATGTACTTAATACTGCTGTTAGGCAGCATGATAATCATATGTAAGAATGTAGCCACACTGCCACAGGCACATGTATCCTTTAGATTGATCATCATTCCAAACAAGCAGCTGCCAAGTAATCGGGATTAATCTCTCCAACAGTAGTTTGGGCTCTAGTTCAAAGGTTTTGGCTTTCTTCCAACTCCTAGTGAGATATTCACAAATTTTTAGCGTCTGAAGAGAACTCTAGGAGCATCCTTCACTTATGGGCCGCAACTCTTATATTCACCATCAATCCATTTCAACTTTAATAGCATCCCTTAGTGGAGAAGGTTTTTAAGAATGTTTTTGGTTGAATGTTCTAAGTTTTACTGAAATTTACCCAGGAAGACAATTAAAGTACAAGAAATACAGAAGTTAAAGTCAGGACGCCACTGTTAGTAAGAAAAACAACAAATTAATAACATTCCATTGTGAGGAGACAAATATAACCTGTTGGCTTGTTTTAACCCTTCATAAACCAGCCACAGCTCTCCATCCTCATTCAACTCATGGCAATCCATAGCAGATGATCTTCCATGCAAAAGGAACAACAATGCAAAACACAAAGGGACACAGGATGGTAATGAGATGATGATGGTCAAGAGGAGCACATGGTATTTCAATATTTTATTGTCAATAAGATTGTTTTTATTAATTACAGATGACTTTAAGACGTTACCACAGAAATTATTTTTGGTTAATTTAAAAAAAATGGGTAACGTAACATCACACATAAATGGGTATCCATTAAATCAAGAAAAATCAAGGATCTAGAGCTCTTTTTTCTGCAAAATAAGAAACGACTGAAAAGGTGAGAAAGAGGTTCATTTTTAACATTTTATTCAGTTGGCAGAATGATCTTATATGTCACATATTATATTAGAGACTAACCACACAGTCACACATATGGAATGAAAACTTCAGCTACTGTCTTCATGTGGCAATCTTCCCAATCCATTTCAAAACGAAGTTTTTTTTTTTTTTTTTTTAAGATTTTATTTTTTCCTTTTTCTCCCCAAAGCCCCCCGGTACATAGTTGTGTATTCTTCGTTGTGGGTTCTTCTAGTTGTGGCATGTGGGACGCTGCCTCAGCGTGGTCTGATGAGCAGTGCCATGTCCGCGCCCAGGATTCGAACTGACGAAACACTGGGCTGCCTGCAGCGGAGCGCGCGAACTTAACCACTCGGCCACGGGGCCAGCCCCTCAAAACGAAGTTTTAAGTCTTCTGGGTAAGAACTTGTTTTAGCTTAATAAAATCTGATTTCCTATTTTCAAAATTGTTTTAAAAAATTCTTACAGGAGTAATTTATAAATAAGAATATGTCCAAAGTTCTCAGCTTTTATGACACAACTTTTAAAACATTTTTGCATCAAAAATTAATTATAAGACCTGGGGAAACTGCTTTTATATTAGAGAAATGACAGATTTTATTAAAAGTATGTATAATTAATAAATAATAATGACAAAGTTGATCACAGGATTTTTCAACCTAAGGTGTGAAAACAATATTTTTGAGTGTTTGCTAAGTGTCAGACACTGTTCTACATCCTTCCACATCTATTATTTCGGTTAGTTCTCCCAGTAACCCAATATATATGATTTGCCACATTGCAGAGGAAGACACGGAGGCTTAGAAGTAAGATACCTGTGGAGGTTACAGCTGGCAAGTAGCGGAGCCCAGGGCTATCTGACTGGAGCCCAGGTTCTTATGCCTCCTCCTAGACTTTTGTTGTTGATACAAAGTTTACACAAAACAAATTCCAGAGAATGCTCTTCTGTTTTCCTTCTACCATCTCTCCCTGGAGAGCTGACCTATTTGCATGGCCTCAACTGCATTATTATATGCTGATGACTTCAAAATTTATATATCAGACTACACATCTCTCCTGCTCCAGGTCTATATTTTCAACTGTCTAATGGATTTCTCTCCTTGGATGTCTTTCTAGTTCCTCAGATTCAATATTTGTAAGTCTATTGATTATTTCCACACCCCAGACGTAGGATCATGAAATGGCATCAGTGCATCCAACCAAGTACCGGGGCAGACACTTCAGTCACCCTCCACAAGTCCCTATCCCTTGTGCACACGTCCAATAAGCCACAAGGCTTCCTGACCTCATCTTCTTATGTATGTTTCAAAGTGTCCTGTTTCTCTCAATCCCAACTGCCACCAACCAAGTCAAAGTCACCATAATCAGTCATTCAGTTACAACAATAGCCTCTTAACTACTCTTTACGTTTCCAATCTTGTCCCACTACAATTTATTCTCCAACATAAAAGCCAGGGCTGGCTTTCTAAAATTCAAATATATCATTCTCCTACTTAAAACCTTTCAACAGCTTCCACTGTCATTGGAGTGAAATCCAAATTCTCTTGGCTGTCTCTCCAACTACCTATAAACTCTGTGAAAGTAAGGATTGTATTTACCTTGCTTACTGCTATACTCCCAGTGTGTGACACAGGGCCTGGCATGAAGCAGGCACACAACACATATCTGGTGATCGAATAGCTGAGTGGATGGATGAACAGTACAGTAGAGCTCTTGCTATACTAAGACATTCTTCGATAGAAGATATGCTTATAATTTACCTTCATAAATTAAAATTTAAGTTTAACCAAGTACTTCTATAAAGCATTCTCCACTCTTGCCCAAAAAAGAAGATAACAAGTACCTTACATTTTGCATGACAATATTCTGTAGTTTGTGAAGTATTTCTGTATACCAATCCTGATACTAGGCATCAGGAGACCTCAGCTGCACACTGATAATACAAATCTCCAGAACTGTCTTTCTCTGTGATCATCGCTGACCACATTCGTTTAAGCATGCAGTCTTTTAAGTTCAGAGTTCAATAGAATGAAGGCCCTGTTGAGAAGTAGGGGGTGGTAGGAAGGCTGAAAGAATTCCACAGATGAGCCTTCACTTTGTGATAACCTCAGCTATAGGGAAAGCTTTCGGGAAAGTTCAGTCATTTAGTGACCGTGTAAATCCTGTACTCTCAGTCAGCCCACCTGAGGCTCTTAAGTGAATAGTGATGGAACTAAGTGCCGTCTGCAACTTCACTCATGTTACAGTAAATGGGATAAAACCAGAGTTAGGATTTTCTCAGAACCTCTTAGAAAATGTGACAAAAACCTGGTCTCGAATATCAAGATCCCACCCTAGAAGTCATAGTACCATTTTAGAATTAATTATATAGCCAACACTGACGTGATTGCAGATACTTCGTCACTTCTCTTCACACTAAGTTTCAATTAGTGAGAGCTGCAGTTGCCCCTACAAACCTTCACAGATAACCATCGTGAAGAACGAATCAAAGTGACCATCCACGACAGGCCAACAGTGAGAAACTGGTTTTCTTCTCAAGGCAGTCTCTCAAGCCTAAGACCCAAAATATGCAGAAATATATTCCCTGATGTAAAGAATATTTTCCCTGACATCTCTCATCAATAATGCTACCTTAAATTTTGAGATTTTAACTAGGACTATTTGGAAACCTTGGATTCCCAGTGAAGGTCAGTTGATGTCTAATAAAGCAATGCATAAACACTTTGACTATATAAGAGGCTGGCTTGAAGACTAAGGATCGATATGATTATACATGAATTGATATAATCATTGATGTGATTACACGAATAAAAGAAGTATCAACTTACCTGTTTGTTTCTTTCAAACCAATGTATGCTTGTGCTATTTCGCCTTTATCTTTCATTTTTTGTACATCTTCCAAAAGTATTGTGGAATCTGTCATTGTATTCTGAAGGGGGAAATAACACATATCCACATTAAGAGTCAACTCAAAAGCCTGGGACCACATACAACATTTTTTGTTCCTCCAGAATAGGGAGGTTTAAGTACTCCAGCACACGTCTGCCCCACCAGAATGTCAGCCCCAGCTTTGTGCATCTACAGAGGAGAGTGGGGCACACGCAGTTAAGAGAAAAAGGCACCTTCAGTCCCTCTGCTTAGAATCCCTGATGCTCTACTACAAAACGGGTGAGATTCCAGAGTACCACTGCCCTGTAAATAAAATCACTGACAGACTACGTGTGTTTTACATTATGTGAAATACACATATTCCATTAAATAGTTCCTTGGTGTACTTGCTTGATTATTGTTCTAATGCTGTGTGTGTGTGTGTGTGTGTGTATATATATATATTATACAGCATTATATTTATATATAGCATAAATATATATTTCTAAGTGTATATATACACACACACTTTATATATAAATATATATATATTTCAAAGTATATATATAACATTAGAACAATAACCAGGCAAGAACACCGAGCAACTATTTAATGGAATGTACAAAGCTGTTCTTTCTACTTCTTTCTAACCAGTTATAATAAAACAAACGTCCCAATAAAACACTAAAAATTTGACATAAAGCTCATTTTTCCACTAAAAACTCAGTACAAAAAAGGTGGTGTTCAGATGATATGCTTCAGAAAAGTTTTTCTCCCATCTTTGAATATATATAAAGGGGAAGGGTTTAGCTCCTTGTAAATATCTACCACCTGCTGTTATTCTTCTTTCCTCTGTTACAGTATAGCACGGTACATAAGCCTTTGAAATAAACATCTGGCAGGTTTTGTATAATGATTTTGTATAAAAAGGACTATTTTCCTAACATTTTTACTTCATGTGTTATTTTTCCTTTTGGGTTTAATCTGTCTGACAACCAACATAATTTCAAAGTCTTGCTTCTACTCAGCTACTCTTTATCTTTCCTAAAGCAGGGCAAAAAGAGACAATAAGAACACTGCTCCACAGCCTCTAAACAATAATACACTTGAGAACCCGGGGCCCATCCTGTCTGTCTAAATAGTCTACATCGGATTCTTTAGTCGACGTTTGCTCTAAAGCCAGGCCTCAGGAGGAGGTGGAGTTAACAACACACACTTCAAACACCAGGATCTCCGAGACCAGTTCCAAGGCGACTTTAATGCCAACTAGAGGCCTACAAATACCTGCTTTTCAAATTCAGTGTTTATAAGAAATATCCTGTAAAAAAATCCTGTCCTTTTGTGAGTTTATAAATGCATCCTTAGTGAAGACCAAATATAATCTGATAAAAGCTATTAACAAGAACTCATATTTTACTGAATTTTAAAAATCTTTCCCATGAACACCACACGCAGCAGCATTTCTTTTTTAAAATTATTTTATTTATTTATATATTTATTTGAGGAAGATTAGCCCTGAGCTAACTGCAGTCAATCTTCCTCTTTTTGCTGAGGAAGACTGGCCCTGACCTAACATTCATGCCCATCTTCCTCTACTTTATATGTGGGACGCCTGCCACAGCATGGCTTTTGCCAAGTGGAGCCACGTCCGCACCCGGGATCCGAACTGGCGAACCCCGGGCCGCTGAAGCGGAACGTGCGAACTTAACCACTGCACCACTGGGCTGGCCCAACAGCAGCATTTCTTTAGCTATGTTTTATAAATATTTTAGTACACATTTCACAGAAAATTTCTTTTCCTCTTTCCCAGAAAGGCATAAAATCTTTCTATTTGATAAAGGGCCATACTCAGATTTTTAAGTTTTAAGTAATAACTCTCAAAGACTCAGTTTCTGTATTAAATAATGCTACACATATTTTCTGATATCTGAGGCCCTACATGATGTGGCTTTGAACTTTTAGTAAATTAGGTAACTTGGTCTAATTAACTAATCCAAAGAAAAGACAGGCTTCTTAGCATACTGTTGTCCTGGTAGCAGGTAAGCAGCCAGTCCTTCCCTCGCCTGGCCTGCCTTCGCTAAGGAGCGGGGGCTGGGGCACGGGATCAGACTTGGACTGCCAGCACTAGGAAGTTCCTGACTCACTGCTCAGTTTGTGTCCCGAGGCCAGTGACCAGAACTTCTGAAAGGGTTGCACCACGTAGGAAAATCCCACCCTTTCCAGGAAGGGTGTGCTCAGCTCCTCAGGCTCTTCCTCACCCTTGGCCAACAAACCCACAGCTGGTAGAAATGAGATCACCGGAGAGCCTGTGGTTTGAGTGCACTACAATTTAAGGGCTTCCCTCCCCTGCCCGTGGATGGCCTCCCATAACTACCACAGTGAGTCACAGAGCTGACTATGAACTAGAAGTCACGGAGAGCTCTCTGTGATCTAGGTTGGTGCCTACTGCATTCATTATTTTCCCACTGACTTTCCAAATAGGAAGGGTCAAATAGGATATTAATTTGTAAATATCAAAATACACTTAGTGGCCAGAAAGCATCAACTGCATATATTGGAGGATACTTATAAACCAAAAATTAGGATTAAATAGAAGTATTTACTAAAAATTTTATAATTACCTTGTCATCCTGAAAATCACAAGTCAGCATGCACAAAAAACAAATGGAGAAAACAATAAACCCTTAGTTCCACAAATAAATTCCATCAATGAGTCCCCATCATAACAGACAAAAGCTAACTGTAAAAACAACCATGAGCTGCTTCTCCTAAAACTAACTCAGTATATAAATTAGCATTCATGGAAGTGGCATAAGGTGGACATTAATATATATTTATGTGGTGGCAACTCTTAATTCCCAGGAACAAGTGATTGAGATTCTTTTTGAGTTGTTTTGGTTTTTCTAATTATAAAGTATTTGTGAGTATGTAAGAAAATGACCCTGCTGTTAATGTATATGGTGAAATTCTTAGCCAGGTCTGTGAGAGTTACAGTAATGTCCTGATAGGAGGCCCTTCGTCCGAGTGAAGCCTCCCCGAACACTCGTGGAGGCGGAGCAGATAAACCAGATGTGGCTGGGCTGGATCACCACCCAGCTCGCAGGGTGTCACTCACCACTGCCCTGCAAAGGACTTGTGAAATGATGTGTCTCTCTGACTAGAAACTGAAGGGGACAAACAGCCCTGCATCTGAAAGTTCCCAATCACTGTCATGGGCATTTTTCCTAGGAAAGAACAAGCTGCTGCCATGCATAGATTGGGAGCTTGGGGAGCAGGGATCTTGGTTAGACAGGACCAGCCCATAGGGGCTGGAGAGCAGTGGTCACACAAAATATGTGAAATGGGTAAGAGTGTGTGATACCAGAACTATGTGCTCTGTTTGCTGGATTGTTTTTATGCTCCTTGGGTCATTGTCCTTTTCCTTTCCTTTAACTTTTACTAAAGTTTCTTATGAGTATACCAGTTTGTCACAAGGAGACCAGAGAAAGGAACCTGGTTTTGGACTCTGCTCCAGTTAGCATGCAAAGGGAGCCATGGTAATCATGGGAACCAAACTGAGACAGCCTCGGGGAAGGTGGGATGTATAGGGCCAAGCCAAAGGAGAGATTCCCCTTCTGAACTCTTCTCATTTCAGACTTCCGGGGTTTGTGATTTGTTTTAAAATACGGAAGCCCATTTCCTTTTTTTCTGGGAAAGACTTACTCTGAGCTAACATTTGTTGCCAATCTTCCTCTCTTTTTTTCCCCTCTTCCCAAAGCCCCAGTACATAGCTGTATATTCTAGTTCTTCTATGTGAGCCGCCACCACAGCATGGCCACTGACAGACGAGTGGTGTGGTTCTGCACCTGGGAACCGAGCCAGGGCCACTGAAGTGGAGCGCACCAAACTTTAACTGCTAGGCCATCAGGGCTAGGAAGCCCATTTCTTTATATACCTCCACTTGTTACTGGGATTTCTTTTCCCCCAAGATTATTTAGTCAGATATCTTGTTTTCAGAATTTGCTATTTTCTGGATCAGGGTTGGTCCCAGGTGTGAAGTGTCTTTATCAAATCCAAATGTTAGGTGCCAGGTTCAGTATGTTAACCACATGCAGAACTATTATTTCTAAGACAAGTATTCTCAGATCTCTCAGGCATCCAGTTCATTATATATCATAGTCATTTTTTATATGGCATGCCATGCAGCCAGGATACTGGATTGCCTGAGTCTCGGTAACACTTGGCTGCATGAACATGGGCAGGTACACAGGTCAGGTTTTAATATATTACTCAGATTCCCTCTGATGGCAAATGACAAAAAGGCCCATTTCTCACCAGCACATGGCGGCCTTGGGTCCCAAATTACCTGAAGGCAGGGGAGGACTTCAAAGGGCCATCTGGATCCTCCAGCATGGGTCCTTTCAGTTGAACCAATAACACAGCCCCTCCCAGCAGGGACAGCTCCCCTATTAAACAGAACTCCCTGAAGTGAGCAGAAATCACCTCCGGGTAACTTCCACTCACTGATGTCATGTCTAACCTTTTCATATGCTACCTTTCCAGCTAAACAAGCTATTTTCAACAAATAATTTTAAAGTTATATTTACTGCTTTTCACAGCAAGGCAATTTATGGATTTTTGGTCAAAATTTATTGTGGCCAGATTACTACAAAAAGATTCATTTTAAAAGCCCTTTGCTCATAAGTGAGAGATGAAACTTTGAAGATGATTTTGGATTTCACTTGCTTTTTGCTCACTCCAGTTGGCATTGGCAACAGTTTTAAAACAACATTGAAATTTTTTAAAAAGGATGATATCCTCAACTAGACTAAAAACTGCTCTTTAGTGTTTGCTTCTTTATGTATTGGAGGGAAAGGAGAGGGAGAAATGGAGGCCAGCACCTACTTTACCCTCTTGCCCACGCTTACCTTGGGTTGGATGGCCTCTTTCTGGCTCACCAGCTGAGACCTCAAGATGAGGACCTCCTCCTTGCGGACATCGAGCTCCTCACTCACAGAGGTCAGCTGCTCCATGAGGACACGGTAGGCTGGTGCACCTGGAGCGGTCACCTCCGGGGCACTTTTCTCACTGAGTGCCTTGCGTAACTCATTTAGCTCATTTTTCAGTTTTTTGTTTTCTGATTCTAGTTCTTGACGCTGTGTGAAGAGACAAGGAACAGTTCATTGCTGTCGTCCTCAACTTTACATCAGGATACTCACCTTCCCCGAAGATGGCAGAAGAATTCTGCTGGAAAAGACTGTCAGAGCTACCCTAGTGAACGGCTTCTAGGTGCTACTGGGAACTCTGTTCACTAAATTAAGAAAGTCGTCAAGGGGAGTTGAGCAAGGTGAATGGTAGTTTGCTTCATCAATCCAAATTCCAGAGTCAAATTTATTCCAGGCCTGCCCAGGGTGTGTTCACAGGCCTGGAGAGATTGCTGAGTCCCAAGGGGTAAGTTTAGCTAAGAAGCCCAGTTTTGTTTGTGGGTAATACTAGGGCAAGTATGAGAGTCCAGTTGGTCAGGTTACTTCCAATGAATGGTTCCGATGAGCAGATCCCTGAAACCTTGAGTAGCATCCTCTTATTTCCTTTGTAAAGCAAAATGGAAAGACCACTGAAAAACGAGGCTCTTCACTTCTAATAAAAAAATTACATATCATTTAAACTAATAAAATTCTCTTTAGTGTGTGGTGTTTTTTTTTTTTTTTGAGGAAGATTAGCCCTGAGCTAACATCTGCCACCAATCCTCCTCTTTTTGCTGAGAAAGATTGGTCCTGAGCTAACATCCGTGCCCATCTTCCTCCACATTATATGTGAGACGCCTGCCACCGCATGGCTTGATAAGTGGTGCATAAGTCTGCACCTGTGATCTGAACCAGCGAACCCCAGGCTGCTGAAGCGGAACATGTGAACTTAACCGCTGGGCTACTGGGCTGGCCACCCAAAAATTCCCTTTAGTGTTTTGAAGTGTGCTTGCGAAGTTGCTGGCAAAACCTTGGGAGGTGGCAGGAGAGGAGAGACCGCCTCTTCCTTCAGCCACCCAGACGGACATACACATCCTTTACCCCCTCCATACTTTCTCTTATTCTCAGGCATCCTCATGCCACCAGTTAGCACCGCCCTCTGTACACTCTGCTTAAACAGTGGCATTAGGAACCAGAATTGAGTTCTGACACTAAATTCTATTTACTGACACTAAAACACAAATGCCACAGGATACCAGTTGGGAAAGTGAAGTAGACAGTCATTTAAAAGCTCCAAGGTGGGGCTGGCCCCATGGACGAGTAGTTAAGTTTGCACGCCCCGCTTCGGCGGCCCAGGGTTTCGCCAGTTTGGATCCTGGGCATAGACATGGTACCGTTCATCAGGCCATGCTGAGGCGGCATCCCACATGCCACAACTCGAAGGACCCACATCTAAAAATAAGCAACTATGTACTGGGGGGCTTTGGGGAGAAAAAGGAAAACAAAACAAAAGCACCATGGTACCTTACTTAGCACATGACATAAGGCCTCATGAGAGTGTAAGTGAGACACTTGTGTATAAAGATAAAATATTTTATTGTTTCTTCCAGAGAAGCAATCATGGGTATGTAGCACCATATCATACCTTTCAACATGTTATGGTAAAACTATTTAAAGTTCTTTTTTTTTTCCTAGTTTAAGAATATATAACCCTTTCTTTCATGAATTAATCCATTTTATATGAAAATGAATGCTCCTTCCTATCCCCAGTCTCTCACCAACTGGTTATCAGATTCATATGGCTCATTTCTGCAACAGAAAACACATGAATGTCTTTACTTTGACAGCTAAGCTCTCATGCAGTGTTTCCCAAACTTCAATGTGCGTCAGAAGCACCTGGAGGACAGATTGCTCGACCCACCCCCAGAGCTTCTGATCCAACAGGTCTGGTGTGAGGCCCACAGATTTGCACTTCCAACAAGTTCCCAGGTGATGTTGATGCTGCTGGCCCAGGGACCACATTTTGAGAAACACTGAACTAATACTTGGGAACTCTGTGATCTGGGCTTTATTTTTAACATACTACAGAGAATGTCTTTATTTGTCCATTTTTGTGTGAGGCAGGCAGAGGGAGAAAGTCTGACGATCAGATTCCTACCCCCATTCCTTTGGCTTGTCCCAGCTCATCCCACCTGATTCCTGTCTTGTGTGACCCGTATCATGATCCAGTCTAGCAGACAAAGAGCACAAAAGGCAATGGACAGTAAGAATGAAAGAGACGACCCTTTGCTGCCACCCTTTTCTTTTTCCATAATCATAAATACTACCCAAGTAGTACTTTGATTGAAGGAGCAAGAGATTTACTCATGCTATAATTTAGAAAGGGCAAACGGGTTCTTTAGGGTATTCAAAAGTAAATACTATTTTTTTGTAAAAATTAGTTTTCAAACAAGTGATGATAGGAACCCAGGGTGTTTAGAAAGTTTCTGATTGTCTGGAGACCTGGATTCAAGATCAGACTCTACCACCTAACAGCAGGTCTCTTAGCTGTTCTAAGTCTCAGTTTACGAGGCTTTAGAAAGGAAAGAAACTTATCCCAGAAGTTGTAACAATGACTAAACAGGATAAGGTGTAGGAAAAACTTTTCAAACTGTAAAGTAAATACAAAGTATTATTATTCAAGTGTTTTTAAAATATCAGTGGAAAGGTTCTAACAATCTTCAGGGAAGGAGCTGATAAAAGAATTATGGCTTAGGCAGGGTAGAAGACTGGTATTCTCCATACCAGACGCCATACAGGCTGGAGAGGCAGCGGTGATCAGCAGTTCTGGACCATGGGCAGCGGGGACTCTATAGAGCAGAGGGTCCTATCTCTGTGCATAAATTTTGTTCCAAATCATAGTATTAGGAAATGATATATCAGGATTAGACTTGAAGCAACATTACTGGGGGGAAAAATACTTCATGACAGCTTAGAGAGACCCTAGCAATTCTCAAATATATATAAGGGCTTTAAAATAATGAGTTTCCTTATGCTATTTTGTGGCTTTTCTAATTTTTAGCTTTGTTTGGTTGTAATCATAAACCTTACTATAATTTTCCAGCTATTCTAGACTATAATTTGACAAAGCAGAAAACAGTAAAAAATTGACATAAGCTAGAAAAAAATCTGAGAAAAATAAGTTTAAGACTAATAAGTTAATTAATAACCTAAAAAACTTCTGAAGCTGGGGGTGTCTTGATAGCTGACAGCCTAATAGCTCAGACACACTTCTCCACATTACCCCCCTCCTTCCAACTGTTTTTATGAAATAAGAATACGTTTCTACTCTACAAACTAATATCTAGCTTCCTTTCTCTACAAACACGTAGTTTCGGTGGGGTTTGGTGGTTGGAGCATGGGGTTTGGAGCAGATACCCACGATCAATTCCTGTTCCTGTTGGTTTCTAGCGGGGTGATTCTAGGGAAGTTACTTATACCTTGGCCTCAATTTCCTCATCTGTAAAATGGGAACTAAAATACTTATTTGCAGAATTGCTGTAAGAGTTAGAGCTGATATATGTAAAGTATCTGTATTTAAAAATGATGGTGATAATGACAGCAGCCAACATTTGCTGGGTACTTACTCTGTGTCAGGCACTATTCTAAGCAGTTTACATGGATTACTTCATATAATCCTCATGATAGTCCTATAAGATAAATATTATCATCTGCCTTTTATAGATGAGAAAACTGAAGCACAGAAAGCCATCAGGTGCCAGATCTAGTATTTGAACCGAGGCAGTGTGATGCTAGAGTCCTTGTCCTTTACTACCTTCCACAACCTCAATGGCAGCTACTGCTCCTGTTTCTGTTTAGACTGAAGTCTAGCTTATATGAAATGGAATCTATAAAAGGAGACAACACAAAGCTAGAAGTAATGCCTGACTAAAGGTTAAGCTAGGGTCTGTGGTGTCCTTAAAGATGTTCTCTGAGAAAAAGGGAGGCTCTGAGGAGGTCCCTTGCCAAAACAAGACATTCAAAGTCTTGGGCAGAAAATTCCCATTACCTTAAGTGACTCATACTCCAGTTCTGCACCTCTAATTTGCGGTCTTTCTTCTTCCTAGGGAAAATATAAAGTTAAAAACTTTATAAATAAGTAGTTATGTTTTAATTGTCACATTTTTTCTCTTAGAATATTTACTTGCTTTCCAGAAAATGGTGAGGAAAGGTTAGCCCTCACTACCTGAACCAAATGCTGCTTGGTTAACGTACTTCTGGACCGGGTTCCCCTTAGAGAAGAGACTGCAGAACTGCACATAAAGTCCCAGCCTCCAGCTCAGGTAGCCCGTGGCCCTCGTATGGGACAGCACTGCGCACCTTGGCCTTGCTGCGGAGCACCTGCTCCTCCTTGCGGTCCAGCTCATCCTGCATCACCTGCTTCTCCTGCTCCAGCTCTGTGACCCGCTTCTGGAGCTTGAGGAACAATGACATGTCCAGAGGCACCTTCTTCTCGCTTGGCTCCTAGACCCCAGAAAACAAGACATTCAAGACGATCCACAAGATGTACAAGCTAATGAGAAAATGATAAACGGCCCAACAAAAAAATAGGCAAACATATAGAAGAAATATGAATGATCAAAGAATAGTCAAACAACATGCTCAGTTTGGCAAATAAGTGAAGAAATGCAAATTCAACAACAGTAAGGTGTTACTTTTCCCTCATCAGATTGGCAAACACCGAAAAGATTAATAATCTCATGTGTTACTAACAATGTCTTACGTGACACTGGTGGAAGTATAAGTAGGCCTTTTAAAAGGCCAAGTTATTAGCTGCATTTATTAAAATTTAAATGTGTATACTCTTTAACCTAGCAATCTATGTTTAAGAATTAATCCTACAGAAATAGCTACACAAGTACACAAAAATACATGGAAAAAAATGTTCATTGCAGCATTTTTTATAAACGCAAAAAACTGGAAAGAAACTAAATGTCAGTCAATAGGAGAGCTGCTTAAATAAATTACGGTATAGCCAAACTATGAAATATTTTATAGCTGTTAAAAAGAATAAAGTAGATTTATATGAGTACATAAGTTCTAGATAAAAGACAAGTTGCAGGACAGTATTTATATTATGATCTTATTTTTGTTAAAAAACCAAATATATGTGGCTTTTAAATATACCTAATACAAGTATACAAAATGTAGAAAGCCATCAATGGTTATCTTGGAGAATGGGAGGTACTATGGGAAAGTTTCATCTTCTATTTTACACTTTTCTGTATTTGAATTGTTTACAATGAGCATGCATTACTTTTGTAATCAGGAAAAATGATTTTTGAAAAGGTGAAGTGCCAGCATAAATATATATATATTTTGATATATTGGGACCAGAGAGAAAAGTGAAAAACCAAAACATATATAGCCCTTAAGAAGCTGAAGGATAACCTAGTAGCATTTTAAAAATATTTCACTTGGTTCTAACACAGAACCACAGTGAGAACTACTAGAATAAACAAAGTTACACTAAAGAAAGCTAAGCAGATGGAAACATCTAACCACCATCATAGAAGTTCAGAGAATGCCTTAATTGTCCTACCTTGTTTACTTCGAGTTGGAACTTTTAATGAGGTGAGAAGAGAAAGAACTGTAGCATTACATTTAATGGAGAGGATAAAGAGTCTCTTTTTGTTAGAGAGAGAACAGTAACATTAACTTAGTTACTTAAATGGTCACGGTATAATTCTTAACTGATTAGCAGGTCTCATATTTCTAATTGTCAAGTTTTAAAAGGAATGTTTTTTCTGATATAAAAGCAAAGCAAGCTTTTATAGAGAATTTAGGAAATAAGAAAGGTACAAAGAAGAAAAACACAGGCATAATCTCATATCCAGAAAAAATCCACAATTTTTGTTCAGTCTTTCTTCTATAAAGATTGTAAGAGTATTTTTCATTATAATTTTGTATTGTCTTTTAAACTTAGTATATTACAGTTGTTTGCCAGGTTTACAATACGATATTTGAAATCATAATTTAAATGGTTTTATTAACATGAGTACCATAATTTGCTTAGCTATTACCTTACTGATCAGTATTGAGGTTTCTAATTTTTTGCTATTGAAATATACTAAAATAAACATCCTAGTACATAAATATCTAAACATTAACATCTTCAAGTCTGCTAAATTAGTTGGGCCAGTTTATGCTTCCATCAGCAACCACACAACCTTGCCTTGAACAGGAATGACTTAAGTTATTAAAAAAAAATTGGCTCAGTCGATAGACCAAAAAGCGGTATTTCGTTGTCGTTTTAATTTACATTTCTTTGCCTTTTGATGAGGTTGAATAATTTTTGTATTCATTAGCTATCTTTGGTCTTTTGTGAATTCTTAGTAGTGCCAAGTTCAGTATTATTCCAGTTCTAAAAAAACACCAAAGAAGAATCAATTAAACCAAGAGGTGGGGCATATGTAGGCTGTCATTCATTTATCCACAAACTAGTTAGACCTGACTTTTTCTTACTGCTCAACAGTAAGAGGAAGTTGAGGTATCTGATCTTCACCACAAAATCTGTCCTGACCTAGCGGAACAGAGAGGACATCCTGCCTGAACACAAAATTACTACAGAATTTTATTCACATAAAAACTTATTTCTATACATCCCCAAAATACTTATATTTGAGCTTATTTACAACGTAAACATTCCATCTTATGTATTTTTAATGTTTGTTTATCTAAAACTGATGTCACTGAAATTTTGAATTTTTTTTTAAATCTATAATAAAAGCTTTCACCCCATGAATGAATATAATACTTCATTCATTTTACCTAAAATGTCAGCATTTGGGAATCATTCCTCTCACCCTTGAATGAGCATTTTTGTTTAAAAGGAATCCTCCTATTAAAATGGGATGGGGGCACTCTTTCGCTATCAGCTAATACTACATAAAGAATTAGTTGATTGCTAGATAAGAACAAATTCTATAGATAGGAATATTAAAACAGGAGATGGAAGAACACAAAAAATAACATTTGACAACTGCAAAATTGCTTGAGGCATAATGATTGGTAATTATTTAAGAGTGCATAGGATGTTGCCCATTCTTATCCCTAATGACACATCTGATTAAAGAGATAGTATTTGTCCTCTCTATACCACATGAGCAAGAAGGAAGATTGGGTCATCTGGCTCAGAGAAGTTTTTGGGGTTTTGTTTTGCTTTCCTTCCTTAGTAAGGATTTTTGTCATCGAGGGCTTTTCCAAGAGAGGTGAAGCTTTGAAACTGACCTAAAAAATAACAAGTTTCTTATCTGAGGAAAATCAGGAAGATAACAGAATTTATTCACAAAATTACCACTACAGGCCTGGCAGTCATTCTGGAATCACTGCTAACAATAGCTGAGAAAGTTACAGTGACTCTCTACCTGGGCTGACAGGTATGAGGAAAATCAGGAACAGGAGCAGAACTGGGATAATTAGTCAATGGCTAGTAAGAAAGGTGCTGGCAGGGCAGGGAGAAGCAATGGTTCCAAAAAAATGTAACCCCAGACTAGGAAGATGCTGGAATGTGGGAGGGCTGCAAAGCAAGCGGAGCTGTAGGTGAGTTCTCCAGAGAGAAACAGCAATGGAGGTGCCATCATGACATGTGAACAGCAAATCACAAGTTTGGCAAAGCTAGAAAGACATTAATTCTTTTTTATATCAAATTTTGTTGTTATTACATGAGGTTGGAAACGGTGTTCCAAAACAGCTGAAAGACCCCTCTCCATCTATTTTAATTTTTAAAAAAATCAATTCATTAAGAAGGATGGGCCCATTATTTTCCCAGCACCAGATTCTAAAAGAGCTACTTGGGGATATTACACATAGGAGTTGAAAGTTTTCCTTTAGTTTGTTAGGAGCAATTTGTAAATCTGGCCATTACAGAGGTAGTTGCAGTAAGAAATGCAAACCTGGAGTCACAAGTAATTGGAAGTACAAATTCACAGCCATAGTCTTAGTCTGATACTTTTCTCCTGTCTCCCTTCCCTTCTGATAATCAATCTCTCTTTTTCTACTACCAGTTGTATAGATTTCCAACTTTCTGATCCTGACCACAACCAGTCAGAATGGTAGCATGGTCACTGTTTATTACATCAAAAACACTTATTTCTTGAACACTTACAATGTATTGAACACTGTTGCATGTGTTTTACAAGAATTAACTCATTTAATTTTCAAAATATCACTATAAAGTAAGATAATAATAGCATCATCACCTCACAGATGAGGAAACTGAGGCACAGAGAGATTGAAACTGAGGTTATGGAGTCAGTCCCAGGGAGGAGAGTTACTGTAGCCTGTTTCATGGTAAAGACAGCACTCCTAACCAAGGCCACCCACATTTCAGATGATGTACGGAGTCACAGGGAACAAGCATGGCTAGTTCAGTGGAAAGCCTCCCCCATCACTGAAAGAAGACTTCCAGGGGCATGAATTATTGCTTCTGGCCAGTGCAAGTGGAGGGCAGTACACAATACTCCAAGATCTGTCTATGATTTGTGGAGCACAATTCATATGTCATCATTTAAAAGAGACGAGAAAAATCTAAATCTCACTCTAATCTTCCTCTTAACGTGAGAAAACATTTGGCAGAAAACAGATGACAATTAGAAACAAAAAGGTTACCCTTCCCCTCAAATCTGTGAGAATTTAGAGAAAACTTGAAAAGAGTAGAGACCCTGACAAATACTGTTACTAGTAAAAATTAGGTAAAGCATATAAAAGTTTTTGACTTTAAAAATTTAATGTCATCAATCAAAACTACCAACAAGAGGCCTCTTTGCTCTGAGTTCAAAACAAAATAATTTGCAGCAAACACACCCTTTTTGTCATAGCTTTCCCCCTCCTGTGCAGGAGCTGCCCCTGCAGTGTCACGCTGAAGCTGACAGTTTGTAAACATACCTCCCTCAGACTCCTGGAAGGGAGTACTCCCATTAAGACCAACAGGATGCAATCCTAAAATCTTCATACCCCCTAGAGGCTCAGAAGTCGTAATTTTTAAATCTTCAAAGTCTAATGTGGTGGTAGTTTATAAAGATTGCCACCACCGATTCCTCCCAATACAGATGCCTTTCCTCCCATCAAGAGATGGAGTCTACTCCTCTCCACTTGCATCTGGGCTTGCCTTGTCATTTCCTTGGACCATAGAATGTGGCAGAATTGATGCTGTGCCAGTTCTGGGCCTGGCCCTAAGAGGCCTGGCATCTTTTGCTCTTGCACTTTTAGAGCCCACTGCTTGGGCCCAGGGCAGGCCACACCAAAATATCTCACAATAGCATATTGATGATTTTGAATTAAGTTACTTGAGAAGCACTAAGGGCATACTGACCCTCCTGTCTGTTCCCCCGACAGCAGGAAGTAAATCTCCCGTGTGAAAGGTGCTCTCCTGCATCCTCATCACCAGAGCTGGGGGCTCAGGGCCGAGAATCCTGCAACAAACCTCGCTAATTTACCACCTCAAGCCTAAACTCCTCACTATTTCCTTACGTATCCCAAACCTAAGTTTCTTTGTCCTGTCATTTCTTCACAAATTTATTGTTTCTTTGTGTAAAAGACACTTACAGTCTGCTTTGTTTATTCTCCAAGCATTATTTCTCTATTATTTTCAGTATTTATGTATTAAACTGGGTTTCTCTCCTGTTAATCTGGTCTTCTGTGAATTTTATTATTAATCCAGTCATAAGAATACACGAAGGGCAGAAAGGGGATTGTCCCCAGCCCCAACACCACTCACCATGCTCCTGAAGAGAGGTCACATGGAGAGGTCCAAGGAAGAGAACTTAGGCAGCCCAGCTGACTGCAGGGAGATGCCCCAACCAACACCATACAGGGCAGAACTGCCCGGTCAAAACCCAAAGAATTGTGAGCAATAACAAATTGCTGTCGTTTGAAACCACTAAAGTTTGGGAAGGTTTGTTGCACAGCAAGAGACAACTGGAACAACCTCTATCCTGCTATATACTGGCCATGCTGCTGTATCAATGGTCTCCAGTCTAATGTTGGCTATGGACAGAAATGGAACTGGAGAACTGCAGTACAGAATCCCTGGGTGAGAGGAGGCAGAGCACGGAGCTCCAAGCAGACAAGCCCCAGTTAAAATACTGGCTCGGCCACTTACAAGCTGGGACCTTGGACAGGTAACTTTGCCTTCTTGTATGTACGATTCCAACTATATGACATTCCAACTACAGGATGTTTTTCTTTAAAATGAACAGGATGAGATAGCAGACACTTTTCATTCCTAAGGAAAACTAAGACAAGAAGGGAAAGAATCATTTGACTTTTTTCAGCTGTTCTGTCAGAAGCAGTCTATTTCTGACTTGGCCATTTTCTCAGAATATGATACAAAAATAGAAGAGTTGTGCCTGAATTACCCATTACTGAAACTAATATCATATTTGAAAAGAAGATCTGAGAATAGGTTTGGGAACAATCTAACTTAAAGTCACTGTACTCTTCGAGTTACAGTAATATATCATTTTGGTTTCATACCACATAACACAAAACACTAAGGCAGATTTATAAGCTATTTTTCATGCATTTTGGGGGAAGAAAATTACATTGGTAAAAACTGTCAGCAAACAGAGGCAGTGCTTTTGTTAAACTCTTGGGCATTGGTATTTACAATATTCAAGGACAAAGGCTTACTTTTTAAATAATTACCTCAGTCTGAAATAAATTCATGACAGGCTGTGTTTTTTGTACACAGAATATGTTAAGGTGTAAAACGGAATTACAAAAGGGAAAATCTGGTCATTAAAATTACATTAAAAATTAAAACTAAAATGTCTATTGACAAAATCTATATGCAATAACTATGTATGTACACAGTTAACTAAGCACCTGTAAGTCACTTATGAAGAATAAACAGTTCAAAACAAATGTTACATGGGCAAATAGAGTCCACTCGGCAATGGAATTGTTCTCTGTTAACAACAGCACGGTCACATCCTACTTTTAGTGATAGGCATACCTCTGTCCTTGATGGAATGTCTTCAGTTTCCGTAATTTCAGAGCTAAAGGTGTATTCAGACTCATTGCTGCTGTGGGTGGAGTCTGTTCTCTTGTGTCCAGGCTTAGGCACGTTCTGCAAGGCAAATAAACTGGGTATGATTAACACAACGTAAATAAGCTAGGTATAGTTAAGACAGTGCCCACCTTAACTTGGTTCTAATCCTCACTCTCTGACTTGCTTATCGCAGGCCCAAATTATCTGTTCCATGTTGTCTTGACCAAACCTTTACAAAAGGGTCACCTTCTGAGCTCCACAAAGAAAGGGAAAGATGGACCAACAGGGCATGACAAGAACAGTCGCAAAACCAAATGCTCAAAGGAAAACCATCTGTGATAATTCGCAGAGTCCCCTTCAGGTTTTTAAAGTTGTGACAGTCACACCGAGTGAAGCACAGGAATGAGGCCTCAGCATCCAAGCAATGACTTTAGTATTGCAATCAATAAAACTCACCAAAATGTTCATAAGATGTGTTTAATCACAGCATAATCATTTTACTGCACTGTACTTGGGCATAAACGATAAAAAAAAAAAAGAGGGGGGTTCTACAGAGGCAACATTAATTTCTGTCACTTTTATGCATGAAGTTGACTCTCTGGAGTCAGCAGTGGGAAGGATGAGCAGTGCAGGAGAGGTAGGAAAGCTGCTCTAGGAATCCTCTGAAGATGCCTGGGTTATTAATTCAAGGGTTCCAAGCGGCACTTTTACAACATGTGGTACCTATGAAAATAGTTCAGAAAGTTTGTGGGGAATAGGAAAGTTAAGCAATTCCAATCCCTTCCTTTCTGTAGAAGGGGTTAAAGAATGATTTGAAAGAAAAAGGAATAAAAAGGCTGGGTCTGCTGGGTCTGTGCCCCTCACTCTGAGGGTGCCCCCAGAAGAGGTGGAGAGGTTCAGTGGCCTGGATCTCACACGGTTACACATCCTGAGAGCTTTACAGAGGCCCCTGAGAGCTTTCAGATCTGTCCAATTTCCTTTACTCCTTCCCCTAGCTGCAGGAAAAGAGGCAGAAGCCCCAAGGAGCGTCTTTGCCTCTTTCCTTCCAACATCCAGGCTTATAGAGAGCAGACCAATCAGTGCAACCAAAGGGAAGCCAGCATCTAGGGGCAGCTGAAAGTCTCCCAGGCCAGCCCAACCTATTCTCCAGTGCATAGGGAAGACCCAAGAACACCGGAAACTCTGACACCATCTAGCAGCTGGGGTGCACACTAAAGGGGAGCCTTGCCACACACACAGTCAAATGCACTCAGGTTTCTCTCTGTTTATGTACACAAGTACTCGTCCTGAGAGTTCCTAGCCCAAGCCAAGAGTTGTACGGGATGGTGTTTATTTAATAAATTGGTGTGTCACTAAGAAAAACAGGTCCATGAAATGCTAGGACAAAGATTTTTAATAAGCTTATTAAAGATGAGTGAGACCCCTATTTTCCCACATGTATGTATTATAAAACAATGAATACCTTAAGGTATGAATAGAAGCAAACTGTATATTTGCTATTTAATGTAACTTTTGGATATAGAGAAGTAGTTGAGTGCTCTGGGTCTGAAATAGGAGAGAACTGGGTAGGAGTCTCAGCTTTGCCACTTACTTGTCCCTTACCCAACTTCTCCAGGCCTCACTTACATTATCGGGGAAAAAGGAGATATTATTATTTACCTCATAGCGTTTATGTGAGGATTAAATAAGAGAGTGCAAGCAAAGAGTTTAGTGCAGTGCCTGGCATGTAACAAACATTCAATCAATGTTCACTGATGCTGCTATAGTTGTTAGGACCCTGAAGTGATTAACTCCCTTGTTGGTGGCCTTTCAGTTCTCCAAGTTTTTAGTCCATACACCATTTAATTACAAGGACAAACATTTGACTTGATCATCACATTCTCCTTCAAGACCTGCTTCCTGCACCTCCTCTTCTCCTTATCTGTCATTTCTCCCATAATTCCTTCTTTTCTTGAATCTGTTTTACTCCTTTTGTCAAGATTAATGACCCCATTGTTGACATGGTGGATTGCTTCCTTACTCGGAATTAATTTATCTTCAAATACTTCACAAGCTGGGATTCCCCTGCCTCATTATCCTTTCATTGTTGGCTTGAAACTCCTTAGCCCCAGATCAGTCTTTTCTTCATTGACTCTGCCCTACAACTGAATGTTCCTGGAAAAAAAATCCTACAGCACTTCTTGGTACCAGGGCCAACAAATCTGGACCCTAGTAATCAGTGGAAATGTCTTTGGCCCATGTACCACATACATTACAGGAAGCCCTGATGCAGTCTATCAATTCCCCTCCCTAAAGTTTCCTGCCATCCATTTGAAGAGTCTATTTATTACAAATTGCTTCTTAGCATTGTGGCAGTGAGAGCTCCATTTGCAAAACAGTATAAGAAATATTACCCAAGTATCCATCTGTTAGTTTCAAAATTCCATCTAAACATTAAAATAAGATATTGCTATTAATATTTTAATTAGTCCTAAATTATAAAGGCAAATTTTTTATTCTCTGCAATTCTCAGCAAACATTTTCTGCAAAGACTGTGATCTTGATTGCATCTAGAGCTAGGAAGTGAGACCTATGGAAGAGCTGAGTGAGAAGCAAGCAATTTCTGATCTTTCCTCCGCTATTTTCCCTTTTTCCTCTTCTGACCATTTTCATACCCAAGAGGAATGACAATGAGTCACAGGCATACAATGGAGAGGATTATAGGCTGAGAAATAAAAAAATCAAGTGACTAAACTACCCCTGGAACTTGGTTCCATGCTTCTTTTTCCACAGCACTGCTGAGAACAGAATGGATAGCAGGTAGACTTGCTCAGAGGAAGGGACAGCCCTGTTAAGTTCCTGGAGGATGGCCAGTGCTAGAGGGTCTTTTCTAGATATGGCTACCTCTCTGACTAAAGAGACCCATTAACCTCTTAGATATCTCTGGAAAGTGGTCAGAGAGTGATATATACATGGCACATTCTTACTTCATTTTATTTTCTGAGGTTCACAAGGCACATATTATTAAAGAATTCAAGAAATTCTGTAGGAAAAAAATAATCTGTGTATCTCTGTTTAAAATGGCTGATTCACACATTTATTTGACCTCAATCGTTCCTTTTCCCAAAACCACTTCTTAACATCCCAAGTAACTAGTGGCCTCAGAAACCCACAATGGGATAGAAAGCTTAGCTCTAACCATAATGGAAGCATAGATTAACCATAAATGTTGGTGTGGTTATCTAGTAAATAGAATAAAAATACACCCAAGAACGGAACTCTGGGGAACATGATATTGAAAGATAGAGGAAAAGGACTCTAGAGAAAGCTAAGAATGAGAGAATGTGAAAGAGGAGAGGTCTCAACATGGCCAACACAGCAGGGAGCTCAAGGAAGACAAGATCCTTCTGATGAGTCAATTATACGGATAATGGTGACCTCCTCCTACTTCTGATTTCCCTGTCACATATAAATCAGGGCTGAGTAGTCAGGTGTGAAATAATAATTCAACTGTGGGATTTAAATTAGCTTTTTAACCTCTCTGAGACTAGGTTTTCTCATCTGCAAAGTGACAAATTTATTTCACTTCTTTTGTGTTACATAATCTCTTCTATTTTGACTTTTTAAATGTCACATTTTAAAGAACTTTGTCAAACGCTCCAGAAAGAAGCAAACTTTGAAGCAAATACTCTACCCCACAGATATCAAATTATCTTGTTTTTTATAAAAGATATTTCAGAGCATTTCTGGTCATTTGTACCAGAAAGTTACCTTTAAGGCTGATACTTGTAGGGAACAAGAGAGCTAGGGAACTCTTTGTTTCCTGATAGCAGGATAAATAGAATAGGAATGGTGTGCAGAACTATTAACAGCACAAAAGGGACATTGGCAGATGAAGAAGAGTCCTTGAAAGAGATAAGACAATTTCTTACAAATAGAGGCTAAATTTTCTTTTTGTAGGAATATATCTTTGAAATTAAAATCAAAACCAGCGGAGGAAATACTCAATTACATAAATATTTGCTTTATATGCGAATTTTACATTAAGACACTAAATACATAAAACAAAGTCCAGCTATATTGACTTTATGCTATCTGACAGTCCAGTCTTTAAAGTGACTTTACAACATATTTATGAATAAAGTTATCTGATTTCTGGGATTTGCTTTAAGACAATCTAATCCCTTGGATGGGGTGAGATGGAGGGGTAGAACCAGGGGTAGAAATGTGTTGACCATTCTGGAACTGGATGATGAGTACACGGGGCACACAGGGGTTCATTCTACTAGTCTGTATGTTTAAAATTTTTCATTTAAAAAAAGCAAAAATGTTTGACTCACCACCATCAGAGTCATCTCTTCCTTGAGGTCATCATACCGTTCTTCCAAGCGACTGAACTCATTCAGAAGGTTCTGATATCTCAGCCTTTCATCATTAAGATCAAGTTCCAGTTGTTTTGTTTCTTCTACCAACTTCTTCTCCATAGTCTCTGAAAGAAAGAAGACAGAAAAGCATATGAAAATGGCTCCACAGAATACAGAGTACAAACATGTACACTGAGCTCCAGCTTCTCTGCAAGGGGTTTTACTTGTAGCGCCACCATGGTCTATAAAGAGTAGCTTAGGGAATGTAGGCAAAGAGAACCTATCATGACCAAAACATGAAATAATTTATTAATAATAACAGCAATCACCTACTGAGTTCTTCCACGTACTACAGACTTAGTGCACTAGTTCATTCGCCGGGTATAGCACATCCTTGATAAACATCCACCAGTGATTGTCTAGTAAGTAAAGCATGTATTTTTCATTCCAATAGTATTCTGTTTCTGGCTATTCATAAAATTCTTTTGTCTAAATTAGTGTACTCTGTCAAATCAGAAAATCTCTCATGTCTCTGAGGGAATGGTGGTTTCTCAGTGGACCCAGGTGCCTTCTCCAAAGTCTCCCTCCGCTCATCTCAGCCCCGGATTCTATCTTATAGTTTCTGCACTCTGAACTCTCTCCCTGTCCTATTACTCCCAGTTTCTAACCAGATAGGATCCGCAGCCCCGGTCACCTGTGCTGTTTACTTCTTGGCCATCTCGTATGTGCTCCTCAGGGAACCCTGATCTTTCCATTTACCCACCGCACTTCACCCTTTCTGTTGCCAGTGGCTGCATTTGGCTAGGACATCATCTGGAGAGTGGAGGTTAACCCCTGACTGCAGATAAAGCAAAGTAAAAAAGCCTCAAATCTCATCTCTAAGTTTTAACTCAATGAACCAACCAGTCACATTTATAATATTAAGCTTCCTACCACTATTGGCCCATTTTCTTCTCATATTTTGTGGCGAAATCTTAATCTGCCCTGCCTGCTTCTATTGCTTCACCATTTCTTTCTCTGTCAGCACCATGAGGGCAAGGCTGCAAGTGTCTTGTCACAACTGCTTCCCTGGTTTCCCTATTGTAGGGCTTTAATCATTTCTAAATGAATGAATGAAAGAATGTCTTTTCTATAGAACATTCCATAAATTGCCTTTTTTTTCTTACCAGCTTGCAGAAGCTGCCCAAGGCTACCAACACACTTTCCCTAAGCAAATCCACTGTTATTTCTTTGCTTTTATTGTTCAGTTTCAAATGACATTTTATGTTTTCCCAGAAGTATTCTCATCATTCTGGATCCTTCCATCACATTCTGCATCCTAGCAGCCTTCTTTCCCTGTCTTCAGTGACTGCTTTCTCCTTCCTCTCCATATTTTCTTTCCTGGCTTCTTTTCTTCACCTTTTCTCTTACTTATGGTCATCCTATAAGGCTTAATTCTAGATTTTCTTTTCTTTCCTCTATATCCCTTTAATTGGGAGGGAGGGGGTGGTGTGGGGAAAAGCACAGAGGGTTCTCTTATCATCATAGCTTTAGTGGCTATCTTAAGGCTCATTTCTTTCTCTCTCTAATCTTTAATTTCAATTTGCTTTCAGAACATCTCTATCTGGAGGCCCTGGCTAACATCCAAATCTTAACATTCTAACAACTGATCTTATTAATTTGCCTCATATAAACAGGTATTTTTTCCCTCAATTTACTCATTACTAATAACATTATTGTTTTGATACCTCATCTCAAAACTTTAGAACATTTTTATTCCTTTTTTGAATACCATATCAAAAATGATTAACATTCTGTTGATTCTGGTCATATAATATAGCTTCACTCCAATCCATCTCTTCCTCTCCATCTCTACCATCATTTATTGTAGTTTAGATCCATATCTTCTTATCCCATGTTTATGGATATGTGGATTCCTTGTAAATTATCGTCATTCTAATCTAACGCACAAAAAGCATATGTAATAAATGTCACGTCTAATTAGTTATCTATTCAAAAAATTAAGAGTGTTTTTTTTCAGTTTGGTGGCAAAGAATGGCTGATCTTCGAGAATAATACCCATTGGTTTAGCAAAGACTAACCAAAAAATAATACACATACACACATTAGTTCAAGAATTCTTAGATCAATAGAAATCCTATAAGCCATAACCAGTGAGTCATGCATGCAGAACAATTTTTTTAAAATTACATATGATATTGACTAAACACGAGTTCACATTTGTACATAGAGACCAGATTTACAAGTTCATCAAGTAATTCAACCAAAACATTTAGAGCATTTGCCTGTTGGAACTTTGTAAATTTACTGATAACAGCCTCAACTTTTAAAAATATTTAAGCTCTAAGCAAAGTTGTAACTTATAAAACTTTGGTCCGAGGTTGGTCGGAGTGCAGTAGGTTGGGCCCACAATGAGCCTTACCTGTCATTTCCTTAGCCTGCTCCACGATAAGGTGATTGAGGGCCTCCTTTTCCTGCTTCAGCAAAGTATTTTCTTCCTTCAGATTTGATACCAGCTATAAAAGGAAACAATAAACTGGGATGGCTGCAGTAGACAGAGGAAGCCAGATACCGAGGATAAAGGCCACACGGCAGTCACCCCTTACTTCCACATCTCTGTGCCTCATTTCTTTGCCTAGATATGTCTAGTCATCTTTCAGACTTGGCTCACGCATTAACCCCCTCAGAGAGTCTTCCCGGAAATCCCCTCCAATTGGACATCTCTCCTCTGGGCTAGAACAGGACTCTGTATATGCCTCTTTATAGCCTTTATAAATGATTTACTTTTACTTCCCTAGTAGACTAGAAATTCCTGAAGGACAAAGATGATTGCTGGTGTTGTTTTACTTTGTACCTTGAGCATTTAGCAATTGCCTGGCACCTAGCAAGCATTTGCTCTTAAAACAAAGATAATCCTTCTCACCTCAACACTCTAACACAAGACTTATGTGTACCCACGATTCAACTCGAGAGATTAAGGAGGCTAAGAAAGATATGAAGGGTATTTTGGTTCTGGAAATTCACTGAAGACCTTCTAAAGCTCCCTATTTGTCCTGAGAAAGAGAATTTCCATTTCATCTCCTTTTAAGAGTTTTGCAAGGTTGCAAACTAGTCCTTTTATTCCACGTTTAAGCACTCACCTTACAATAGTGTGAATGCACTTAATGCCACAGAACTGTACACTTAAAAATGGTTAAAATGATAAATTTTGTTATATATATGTATATTTTACCACAGTTAAAAAAAAAAAAAGAATCGACTTTCTAGTTCCTGGTTGGATAAGGAGTCCCAGGAAGCAAAAATCAAAACCAAAAGTAACTTTGCAAAGTTCATGATTTACTCAGTTCACCCTTTGGAATAAAATGTGTGCTTGTGATGAGTACAATTGGAATTTCTTTCTCTATGCATAAATTCAAGGAACTCTTAAAATGACAGCTTTAATAATAAAGACAAAGTGTCAGGAGTTCAGAGACAGAGAAAGGGTCCCTGAAGACCAGCGCAGTTAGAGAACAACACTGCCACAGCAGAAGTCAATCCACAGGTGGCCCTTCTGCTGGTTCAGTCTCTTCCCTCCGTGCTGATATGGCCTTAACAACCACTTCAGTAGAAAGGCCCGAGTCCTCTACGCGCTCTTGAGAGAAGCTGCTCTTTGTCAGGCGTGTGCAACCAGTCACCTGTGGTGCTTTTTCAGAATACGCGTGCCTCGCCCACACTCCCAGAGCTTGGGCAGGTTTCTTTTTAAGAACTCTCCAGAAGATTCTGACACTCCTGGTTAAGAAGCACAGTTCTAGTGTCCTTTCTGGGCTCCTTGATCAGGCTGACTGGGAGTGTAGCTTTCCCGACCATAAAGCTGGCTATCACAGTGAAATTTTTCCATTTTTCCCCATTACCACACTCCATCCAAAAGAATTAATGGTAGTGTCTATAGCTATCCCTGTGTGAAGCAGAAGATAATGAAGTGAAAAGAAAGCAGAAATCTGAATTTGCTCATGTGCAGTATACCAGACTAGAAAGGTATGAACTTGACTTTGAAGAGGAAAAGAGAATACCCCTCCCAAGTTTAAACACTCTATAGATTCAGAGGGATCTTAAAAGCTTCCACGGACTCAGGTAACAGCGAAAAAAAAGATCTTAAATCTCAAGAGTATCCCTTTGAATGTATACTCGACTTCTGACAGAAGAAACTTGCTATGTTAAAATAACATATATAATGGCACTGCTGTTTCCATTTACAGAGACCAGATCCACTGGAAATATAGGAGGAATTATTTTATTAGGACCCTGAATATCATAGACGGATTTCAATTTTATTAGCTACCCTATCCTACCGGAACTGCATCTAGCTCCTTCTCAGGTTCTCTTTGCATATGCTGCTGTTGATGTTCAGAAGTCAGTACAGAAAAAGCATATTGGGATTCTTGCCAGTAGTTACAGCCATCAACTCTGCTTTCATTTAAAGATGATAACACTAGTAGAATCTCTGAAACTCGATTACTTTTTCCAGTAAGCCTTATGTTCAGGTACTTCTATTTTGTTTAAACAATACATCTCACTATTGCTTGAGAACCTTTGTGTTTTCTGTATTTAATAAAGTTCTGACATAAGTTACTACCTATTTGTAGTGTGGAAGCACTGACCAATCTGTAAGCATTTTGTTGTTGTTCTATCTGCATAGCAGCTCTTGGCTGCAACCAGTGTGCAGAAATTTGGATTCTCCCTCTTGAACTTCTTAACACAGCCTTCATGCAGGTTCCATAAAGATCTCTACTATCAAGCTACTGACAGTTCATTGTTGATTTGACTCTTAATCATGTTAACCCTACTGAAGAAAAGGAGTCTACACTCCATCCAGACCTACGCATTTAAAGAAAAACAGTGGATAGCAGGTAGTTGGCCATTAATTCTCTTCTTACAATACTGCTTTGCCTCTGTTCTTACTAGAGTCAAAAGGGTCTACTAAAACACCTACAGCTACTCATCCATCATGTAAGAGAAACGCTTGGGACACACTAGTAATGAATAGCAAACCAACTGGAATTTGTACTTCACCTTCAGTTGAAACCAATATTAAACTACTTGGGCCAGGTCAAGATGACAGCACATTTCCTTTGTGAAAAGAGTAGATGGGGATACAAACATTATTTCCTACCTGCTCAGTTTCTTGTTTGTATCTATCTGCACGTTCTTCAATGGATTTTTTCTCTGACTGAGTTTGTTCCAGGTCTTTCCGGAGCTTGGCAATTTCTTCCTGCAGACTGAGGACCCGTCCGGTGGCAATCTTTGCTTCTTCCTCACTTAGCTGAAGACGTTCTAAGTCATTTCGTAGTTTCTCAGTCTCAGAGTTGTATATTCCTTCCAGATTGGTCAGTTTCTCCATGAGGCATTTGTAGTCTTTGTTCTTTAAACACACACAGAAGTAACAAGTAAATATACACATCATCAAATGTATTTAATGAAAAATCATGCTTATTCATCATATTCATACTATATCATCACAGCACTGATACAGTATCTAACCAAAATACTAACCATAACATTTACAGTAACATAATCAATACCCTCTTAGTGACACAAAGAAAAGAGAAGAGGCACAATCATTTCTGTTTTACATGACAGGAAACATAGATGTGATTTTCTTATAGTCCCAAGGCAAGTTACTACAGTAAATTCTTAATTTCATGATTCTTAATCAAGAAATAGGAAAACCTATCCTTGCTTTTGAAAACAAATCAGTGTGTTACTAAAAGCCACGTGCTAGCCAGGTGATACATAAGAATGATAAAATGGCCTCAAAATCACAAGTATCTTACAAATCTCTTTGTTTACTATCTCAAAACTCTTCTTACCACCCAGAAAAACTTTCTGATGAATCCTATTTAATTCTGTTCTCTGTTTTCCTTTGCCCTCCTTAGTATTCATGTCTTACTAATTACCTTTATACCATTTGAATGTGCTAAAACATTACTTAGCAACTATCTCTAAGAAATCAAACTTTTATCTCTGTGAATATACTGTAGATTCCTCAGAAGCAGGGATATTTTCCTGCTTCTTTTGCTATTTCAATGCTAAACAACTCACCTGCTAAAGGAACATTACACTACATGCAAATGAATGATAGTGATGTACGAGCTCTATAAAGTCTAGACTACAATAGGACTCTCAGTCATAAAGGCTTGGAGTGCTGGTAAATCTGGCTGTGTTCTCAAAAATAATTTCCTGCCTTAGTCCTTGCAATTATAATCTTACCTCCGATCCTGTTACTATTTCCACACTCATTACTGTCATTATTATTTTACTTTTTTGCTAAGACTGAAAGGTAAAGTCAAGGGGAGACAATGCTGAAAATAAGCCTAGCGGATTTCTAGAAAGGCATGCTCCACTTCTAGGGCTCCCGTTTAAAACACACCTGCTCATCAACTTTGCGCTGCAGCTGCATGATCTTGTTCTCCATGCCAATGTGGAGCTTCTTATAGCGCTCCACGGATCGGGCCTCGATCTTGAGCTTTTTCAGCTCGCGCCTGGCCATCATCCGTCGGAAACAGCACTGAAGGTAGATAATGGCATGCATGCTCCTCTTGTAGTAAGTGCGAGCCAGCCAGCCCCGGACCCACTTCTGAATGATGACTGCTTTGTGCTCACGGAGTATCTGCAAGGGAGGGTAAGTGCAAGTAATGTCAGACCCTGGACTAGGCTCAAAGTTCAACTATATCAACCTATGTATGTCAGGCTGAGAATCCATACATCACGTAAAGGGAAAGATACAAAAATGGAAGCAACAATATGTTATGTGGATTGTACATATCACAAATATATGGAGGCACAAAATTATTTTAAAAGGTGATTTGAAAAGTAGGCTTTAAAAGGGGATTTGAGAAACATATATAAAAATGTGTTACATTCACATGTTAAATGTATGATTATAAGCAGAGTATACACGTAGAAGTTGTCTAAATAAAAGGCACCAGATGACTAAAAGGAAAACACTTTTTAAAAGAATGAAAAAATGCATTAGGTTTCTTATTGATATACGATTTCTGTTAGCAACTGGTGATCTACAAAATGAACAGAACTTGGCTCCCTGTAAACTATGTGCTATTAAAATAAAAATCTTACCCACCACCCTTACTGCTGATACCATCTCACTGTGCTTGAGGACAAGGGTATGACAAGTAAGCTGGCTGTAGAGGCCAACATTTGGGGCACCACACAGTTTCTTACTGACATTGATTTTTCCCCCCAAAACAAAAAAAATGACACTCTTGTTTGCCATATTTGAGGAATACCATTCTAGTGAGGATTCCCCATTGCTGTTTCAAATGTAGCAGGAATCCACTTACAGGATTCAAAGGTAGTAGGGATGGAGCTGTGAGAGGAAAACTATAAGTAAGATGAAGTCAAGTAAACTAATCTTAATTTTGATTTTATGTTGTATTTTCTTAAAAAAAATCATGATGGGGGCTGGCCCCGTGGCCGAGTGGTTAAGTTCGTGCGCTCCGCTGCAGGCGGCCCAGTGTTTCGTTGGTTCCAATCCTGGGTGCGGACATGGCACTGCTCATCAGACCACGCTGAGGCAGCGTCCCACATGCCACAACTAGAAGGACCCACAATGAAGAATATACAACTATGTACTGGGGGGCTTTGGGGAGAAAAAAGGAAAAAAATAAAATCTTAAAAAAAAAAAAAGAAATAGGTTTATAATTATCTAAAAAACAAAACAAAACATGATGTTCCCCTAAACTTATAAACTTATAACAAAAAAGTTGCCTTATGAGATAAATTTTTTATCACTAACTACCATCAAGCAGAGATTGTGTAAACAATTTCCAGGAATGATGGAGAAGAAATTCTTGAATTTTAAGAAAGGTTAAACTAGCAAAACCTTGAGGTCCTACTAAGTTGATGACTTTATGAAGTAACTCTTGTATGATACAAATGATGTTTAAATGTATGCACTATCAAGTTCTTATTAGTGATTATTACCAATGGACACAATGAATCTCCTATGAAACTTTTTAAATGTCAAAATTTCTGAAACCATCTAAATACGTAGCAGTTTAATAAGATCATTAAAAGAATAGTTTCTATTTTTAGGTTATGTGGCTAAGAAAAACAGTGAAAAAAATGTGCCATTCTAGAGGATACATTTAAGAAATAAGTGGCTAAGTTTTAAACTATCAATACAAAATAAACATAGGTGTTTAGGACCCCTGAACAGTATCTTCAGCCAACTCCAGGGTGGCCCTTTGGCTGTGTTCCTAATGCTAAGGCAGCCTTCAGCTTCCACTAAGTGCAGTCACTGTGCATCACGCTGCAGCAGGTCAGGCATCCTGAGCTCTCACTGACCATCACAATCCCGAGGGAGCCCCTTGTCTTATCTGGATTAATAGTGACCAATTGGATAAGACTCAGTGAGGGCAAATTGAAGACTTGCAGACTTTAAAATCCAAGCAGCACACAGTGGGAAGGTTATTAATGCCAATTTTCCTATTCCATTTCCTTCTCTCCGTGTAACTTCAGACACTGGCCCATTTCTGTAATCTCAGTTGAATGGAAACAGCATATAATTAGAGCTTCCATTCTCAATCTCATTTCCATCAGTGAGTCAGAGAAATTAAATAACACCTGCTCTCCCTTTAAGATCCCCAACCCCCAAGAAGGGGAAACTTGGACCAGAAACACAGCTAGAAAGAGCACTAATGGGGTGCTATTGGCCTATACATGAGCTAGCCTCTAATCTGCCACCCCCACTGTGTCCAGTCACAGTGGGAGCTGAGCTGGCCAGAGACTGCTACTGCTAAACCAATGGCCTCAAAACCTAGTTCAGATGTTCCCAAGGAGAGTAGTGAGCAAAACAGGAGGGTAACCAGTTTGGCGTATCTAAACAGTCAAGTTTTATAAGGCTTTTCCCACCCCTGAAAGCTCATGCCTATAGAGAAAGAGCACCAGATATAAAGCAGGTGTGGGCAGAGAGAAAGACCTAGAGTAGATGTCTTCAAATTTTCTTCAAAACATAGCTATTAAATACGCTCATTCAAACTTTCTTTGTTGCCTAAAGTTACTTTAAAATAAGAAAGTAAAATAAATACATGAGTAGGGCCTAGGTCATGCCTATGCACTGCCTGTGATGAGAGCCATGACCTTCAAATCACTCTCTTGATGCTCCTGCTAACAGTGATGCCCATGGAGCTCTAAGATCCAGACTGTATTTCTGGCTTATTAGGAATACATCCTAAAAGACAGACTCAAAACTTTGCCAAAATGAGAGAAAAACCGTTCAGCAACTAGATCACATACTGTTAGGAGTGAGATTAAGATTATTCTGGTGACCCATTATCTATAGCCATGTTGATTATTGCTAGATATAAAGATTATTTGTCAAAAATTTCTGAAGCATTATATTCCAGTCAATACAACTTTAATTACATTAATGGTGTAACTTATTTCCTTCTCACCATGGTGAATTCTTCCAAGGTTGTTTCATTCTTGGAACAATCTTCTACCCATGAGTCATGTATTCTACCTCTTCACAGCTCATCATAATCGGCTGAATAAAGGGCCCCAAAGACATCAGACCCTAATCCCTGGAATCTGTAAATGCTATCCTGTTGGGGAAAAGGTCTTTGCAGATGTGATTAAGTTAAGGATTCTGAGATGGGGAGATTATCCTGGATTATCTGGATGGGCAAGTATTCTCATAAGAGACAGACAAAAGAAGCTAAACTAGACACACAGAGAAGGTGATGTGGAGACAGAGGCAGAGATTGAAGTGATGTGGCCAAAAACAAGGAACACTAGCAGCCACCAAAAGCTGGAAGAGGCAAGGAATGGACTCTCCCCTAGAGCTTCTGGAGCACGTGCAGCCTGCTGACACCTTGATTTTGGCTCAGTGACTTTGGACTTTTGGTCTCCAGAACTGTGAGAGAATAAGCTTCTGTTATTTTAAGCCACCCAATTGGTAGTAATTTATTACAGCAGCCACGGGAAACTAACATATTCACTTTTTTTCAAATTACATAGACAAGGGGAAAAAAAGGAGGTAAATTTTCTTTTTCCATTGTCTTGTTAATAAATATATGCACTTATTTAATATTTTAAAATATATTTCAATTGGTGGTTGTCTCCCTATGGCTCCTACATCCATATGAGCCCCTGTGGTACTGTGCACAGACGTGGAATTTGATTCATGTTAATAGAATGAATAAACAAAATTAAAAATAAAGCCTCACCTTGCGATACCTATTTCTGGCTAAGTAGCCTCGCAAATAAGACTGAAGAACGATAGTAGCAGTTCGTTTAATCTTGTACCTCTTGCGAACTATGTACATGCGCCAGTACTTCTGAATGATGGTTGCTGCCTTGGTTCTGCGCAGGAACTTAGCATAGCTGGCCAAAGAAAAGAGTGGTGCATTATCAGTAATCAGAAAAACCCAGGAATAGATTTTGTATAGACTTAAAGCACCAATATCTTCAGCATAATAAGTGGTACCTCCATTGTATTATTCTAATAATGTACATATTAAATCAACATTTATATTTCCTATATTTGTATAGCAATTTAGATTCCCCCAAATAGCTTTGCATTCATCATCTTTTTGAGCCTTCCCTAACCCTGAAAAGTGGGATGTCCCATATTTCCTGATTTTACAATGAAGAAAGTGAAGCTCATAAAGGTTCATGCTTTCTAGGGTGGTCCTCACTGTCCCAGGGTATGTCCCCTCACAGCAGACCAGCTATACACAGTAATGCCATACTTAGTTATCACCAGCTTTCTTAGATCTATCTCTCACTAATGTACAGATATTTCTTCTTAAACTATCTGTGTGTGTATAAGTTTTTTATCATTAATTCATTTCTACAGATATTTCTCAATTAAAATTATCCTACTAGGTAATCACACTGAAGTGTAATCTCTTCTGGACTTTCTCAATTAATTATTCCTGAAAACCCCTCAATGGAGTCATTATTAACTAGCTCATAGTCATAATTTTTTTAAATTTATAGATGATTTCTTCAAGCCCATATAGAAGTATAAAAAACAAAAAATACTGTGGCTATGAGTAGGCAGTAATTTGTCATTTTTTTTGAGGCTGTATATGAATCATTCATTCATAAGGGTAAGAGCAATTTCATTCTATTTAACTATCTTATGAGTTAATTTGTTTTTCCTTGAAACTAAGAGGAGGTGAGGCGTTACCTTCTCAGGTAGGGTGACCACTCAGAACTGTCCTTCGTTGTACCATGAATCAAAGGAGCTCTCTAATCTTAGGAGCCCGAGCCAGAGCGGACTGGTCCCCAGGAGACCTACCATCGGGCCTGGTAGCCGCGCACGTATCTCTGCACGGTGATGGCCGCCTTCCGCATGCGAAGGTACTTCTTCCGCAGCAGCCACCCTCGGATCGTCTTCTGGATCCGGATGCAGGCGGCTCTCAGCTTGTCCGCCCTCAGCTTTTCTAGATAGGCCACTTGACCGGCACGGAAAAAGATCTTTGTCTTTCCAAACTGGTATTTGTCCTTGTCCTATTTTTGGAAGAAATTGTATGCTCAGAAATAGAAATGATGACTCTATGAATGAAATTTTAAAAGAGAAAAAATATGTCTAAAAGCAGAATCAGTAAAGGGATGAATCTATTAGCTAAAACTTGGGCTACATCACAATTAACTAATGGAGCCAGATTTTTGATCCTATGCAAGTTAAGCAAATAGAAGGGATTTTAAGGAAAACTGCAGTTTAAGAGTTATTTTCCAGAATTATTCTACCTGGAATTATTATCTGAGGCCAAAAACTTGGTTGTGGGTTATAAGCAGCTATTATTTGCTCGTTTGTATTTTAAATATCTCAAGGAAATGGAGATGGTGACACTCCCTCTGACTGACCCAGGCTGTAAGGGTTACATCAGGCTGTATATTCCGTGAGAAAGCTGAAGGGACAAAAACACCAGTGTGAAGAATAAGGCAGGGAGTAATGCACATAAAATAAAAATTAAAAAAGAAAAAACCTTGCATATTCATATTAAGAGTTAAGTTTCTCAGCAGTTATCTCTTGGCTTTATCAACAGTATCTGAAAATAAACAAACTCCTATAAATGCACTTAAAATGCTTCTAAAATTTCAAAACTCCTTTTATAAAAATATAATCATTTATATTGCTCATTGACTTTTGATCATAGAGTTGAGCAGTAAACACAGATATGCATGCTATTTTTGCTCTATTACACTGTGATCCACCTTATCTAAAAGCATGCAAGTTAATAACCATTCTCATACCAAAAGAAGAGTGGAATTTATTTATAATAATCACTACTGTGATCTGAAATTCTAAGCGAAAACAGAGAAAATCACTTTTCACTGTAAGCAGATATCTCCTATCTTGTACATGAAATGGGAAAATCAGGAATGTCCATATATGTCTAAAATATATAAAATCATTTCAATTTAAATCAATCAAGTTTACACAGGAAGCCTAGCTGGAGAAACAGAAAGAGCTAGAAAGTGGTTCCCTCTCCCTGACCCCTCTCTGCTTCCCCGACTCCACCCCACACCAACCCTGCACTTGTCTATCTTGTAGCCCGTACATCTGGCCGGCAAAGCCCTGGACCAGGCCTGGGGTGGTCTGGGTGAGGAGGCCAGGCGGAGGACAGTCCCTACTTTCTGCTCCACGTTCCCATCGGAACCCAGGTTAGAAAGGAATTGGGCCAAACTCAAAAAGCACCAGATTATTTTACACATTACTAAGTGGCCTTAGTGCTTTCAAAGGAAAAACATTTATTACCAAAGAAGAGATTCTACATTTAGTTAATAGCTAGTAATTATGACTAATTACCTCAAAGTGAGGTAATCCATCCAGACTAGTGTCAAACAAGTGAAAATATTTTGTAAAAAACCTTTCAGGAATCAAATTCTCCGTGACCTGGATCAGGCGTTCTCAAAGTGTAGTCCTCAGATCAGCATCAGCACCACCTGGGAACTTGTTAGAAATGCAAACTCCTAGCCCCACCCCCACCTACTGAATTGGGTGGGGCCCAGCAATCTGTTTTAGCAGGCCCTCCAGGTGACTGACGGATTCTAAAGTTTGAGCACTCCTTGGCTTGGAAAGCAAGACTCCCCAAACACCAACCTATACTTCCTAACCGTTTCTCCACCGTCCCACACAGCAATCTTGCACTGCAAAAACTACTTTACTGTTTTCTGAGCAAACTCTATGCTTTCCCACTTCTTCACACCTTGCTCCCTGTTAGAATATTCTTCCATTTTTATACAATCTAACCCATTCTTCAGGGTCTGACTCAAAACACACGTCTACTGTGAAATCATTCCTCCTTCCCATATTGGATGTGGCTTTGCCTTTCTCAGATTTCTTGTCTCATTCACTCAGCATTGGTAGACACTAAAGTATATTATATTTATCTTTAAAATGCATTAAATTCCAAGAGAGACTATGTTAGAAGACTTATTTTTTCTGAATCACACAGCATCTGGCCCTGTGTCTTCTCTAAGTACTAGGTGAATTTTTACTGCTAATGATCAAACTCTAGGAAGAATGTGTCTCAAGTCTGGGTCCAGGCCTCGCCAGAGTGGACCATCATCCTCACTAGTCCCGGCATCCTAAATACAGTGAGGTTCGATCTCCAAGACAGTGTGCCCCTCCACCACACACCCCCAAATAATCTGGATTAGTGGTATTTGGATGTGCCCAGGGCTTTCAAAGGTTACAATCACAAGGGCTTTGGCCAATATCTGTTCAGATAAAGGTAAGTGAACATCTTCCTTACCAGGATCAGTTTCTCCAATACATTCTTGCACGTTTGCTTCCTGTCACTCAGCACATCTTTTTGCTTCATTAGGACACGGTAGCGGCTGAAAAACTCTTGGTAAGTCCACCTACCAAGAGAACCTCACGTCAGCTTACGGAAAGAAGTAGGAACCTCTCCCATCAGGATCCTTATATTTGAAAACTGCTAGGCTCACCGCGAGGGGAATCCCGCTGCGCTGATTCGGATGGTTTCCAGGACACCACACGCTCTCAGCTGCTGCACTGCCCTCTTCTCATCAAACCTACACATAAAAGTAAAAATCATTAATACACAAAGAAGCCTGGCTGTAGCCACAAATTACTCTGCTCAGTCCAAAGATTAAATTCTTTTGCAAAGAAGCAAATGAATAAATTAGAAAAGAAAGCATTCGAAAGTATGAGCAGTGATCAAAATGGAAAACTTAATGTGGGAGTCAGGAGGGACAATCAGCAGTAAAAGTAAACAGCCACAAACATTATCTGTGGGTCATACCACAAACTCATAAGAAAATATCACTAAGCGTATTTAAACAAAAAAACTCCCCTGCACTTTGCCCATAGTCACTACATGGCTTGGCCTGACTGTTCTGATAATTCTTTAGCTCACCATACATAGCTCCCCTGGAATAGACTGGCCAGCCCTGCAGGCTTCTTTAACAAGAAGGACAAATTAAATATGCCCCATTCGGTTATTAAAAAAAAAATAATAATTAAGTGTTCTAAAAGCTATTCAACTCAGTGTGTACATACTAAGCATTTATAGTGTCCACATCAATGAAAAATAGTTTCATTTTCTGTTACATTTTATATCCTTTATGTTTATTTCACTCTAGACAAATGGCATCTTAATGTTAAAGTGACACTAAAGGAGAGAGCAGCAAGGCCTGCCCCTTGCCGGATGATCACTCCTCTTACCCTCTAGTTAAGCCCTGACTGGCCTATCCAAGTTTTCTGCTGCGCTATCTTCTCAGGTGTTCCGTTGGTGGTGGGAGATGGGGTTGGCAGGCAATGGCTCCTAGGGCTGTCCAGGAGAGTGGCCCAAAGCTTGGCAGCTTCTTCCTGCCTCCTACTTCCTCCAGAAAGGGCTTCTTGGCAACGCGGAGGATCTAACAGTCTTTCAGAACTGCCCTGCAGTCTGAGACAGAATCTCGGGAGGGTAGGAGTGGCAGGGCTGGAGGGAAACGAGCTCTCATATACTGTGGAGTGGGAGTTCTTACAACCTTAGGGAAATGTGCCTAGTCTTTGACCCCCAAATTCCACTTCGAGAAACACATTATCCTAAGGAGATAATCATGCAAATATACAAAAATGTTTGGCAAAAGATGTTTATCACAGCATTGGTGGAATAACCTACATGCATATCAACAGGGAAAAATTTAAATAAATGATGGGATATCTATATGATGGGATACTACATAGCCATCAAAATGATGATGTGGATTTTTATTTACTAACATAGAAAGCATCCATAATTTATTAAGTCAAAAGCACATACAAAACTGCAATCACAGCATGAGCCCCTCCCACTTGCTAAAGTCTCTCTCTTTCTCACACACGGAGCAAGGAAGGAAGGGATGTTGGTTGGTCAAGAAGGATCTATGCCAGTTAATACCAGTTATCTCTCTGGGTATGATGGATGCTTTTTTATTTATATTCATACTATTCTTTATTTTCTAAAAGCTGTTTTTACAATGTGCATGTATTACTTTTAAAATTAGAGAGATATTTCCATTTTGAAAAAAAACTCCAAAAAGATTCATTCTCCCCTCAGGCATGGTATTTGAAGCAGGACAAGATGTTGGTAACAGGAGACATTCTCTGATGTTTCAACAGGTGGAAGGTAGCAGGGATACTGCGAGTCTTCGCCAAAGCAGCCTCATCCCACTCAGCCCTGGGTGTAACTAGCACCCAAACCAACAAAAGCCCAGAAAGATCTTGAACTGAAGTAAATTCAAAATAGAAAACAGAACTAGGAACGCCTGGTTGACCTCAACTTTTAAAATCTTTGGAAGGCCAATTGCTACTTTGTTCTCACATTGTCAAGAGGGAACAAAAATCGAAAAAATTCTGTTAACTAGTAGTTTCCCTCTACAAGACATGAAGATTCACCCCAGTATTTTAGCCTTCTGTTGGTTTGGTAGTCCTTATGAGAGCTGGACCCTTTTAATCAGTAGTTGAGAAACACTCACGTGAATGGGAACTTGAAGTCATTAGGCTTAATGCAGCGGACGTAGTGAGGGGTAGTGGCGTTCAGGGTCTCCATAAGCAGGTGAAGGGAGTTTCGGAACTGCATGAAAAAGAGCAGAAAGGGGCAGCAACGTTTTGTCAAAGTCAAAGATGATGTAAAACAATTTAAAATTTTCTTCCAATGACACTAGTGGAGATGACTTTGCCACCTATGAACCTGACCCACCCTCAGAAGGGGAGCTGCTACTAAACAAGAATGCTAGGGCTTTAGGTTAAAATTGGCTTCAACTGTACCATTTACATGCTTCCTCTGCTAAATATACATTTGCTCTCCTCCCACCACTTTTCCCCACCCCTGCCCCCTTTTTTTACAGAGTTTATTTTTCAGAGCAATTTTAGGTTTACAGCAAAAGTGAACAGAAGGTACAGGGACTTCCCCCACACCCCTGCCCCCACTCAGGCACAGCCTCCCCCATTATCAACATCCCCCACCAGAGCAGTACCTTTGTAACCACTGATGTACCTACTTTGACACAACATTATCACCCAAAGTCCACCATTTGCATTAGAATTCACTCTTCCCACACTCCTTTTAATACAGGTTTCTGTAGCTTTCTGTTGTGAGCTCAGAATTTTCACTAAAAATATAACCTCGTTTTAAGGATACTAAGGCCATTTAATCATGTACAGTGGGAATTTTGCTCTAAAACACTGAAAAAAGTAGCAGATGACTTAAGGGTCTAGGAAATGAGTGGGAGGAAAGAGTACAGCCAGGGTGGGGTTTCCATTAAGGACATGGAATCGGGACTGGAGGCCTTGGACCTGTGTCAGGCCCTGCTTCCTATCTGCACCTGGCACAGGGTCCCACACACAGGAAGACAAGCTGACTTGCACTCAGCCTTCTGTCCAAAGCTCCAACACTGGTGCGGGGGCTAAGCACGTGTGTAGTGTTTCCAACTTCCCACAGAGCCCAAGCCATCAAAGAAAGGAGAGGGCACCCTTCCTGCACTGAAGAAGCTGCCGCTCTGCACAAATCCAGAGATGGAACAATCAGACCACAAAACAAAGGTGGCAGTGGTCTGTGAGGGAGGATACACACTAGAAGAATTAAGATGTAGAGAAAACTATTTGGGGCAAGGCTTAAGCAGAGTCACGGAGAGAAGAGTAAGAGTGTACGGTGTCACCTGTTCTCACAGCAAAAGCTCTAGCCTCCCCCGACTTGGGAGGCTGACAAGGAAGACCTGAGGCTTCGGCCAGGCCTGCGGGGAAGCAGCGCCCAGCAGCAGCTCCTGAACTCACCTGGTGCCCCACTGTCTTCTTGTGCTCTTTGGCCATCTGGCCTGGTCTGCCTTTGGTGGGCTTTACAGGAGTGCGGGTGAGGGGCGTGCGCCCTGAAGAGGTGGCTGAGGTTGGACTGATGGCCTTCTCATCATCTTGAAACAATTCTGGTAGCATCTTAAACTGAGTCAGAAACAGTAAAAGGAAATGACACTCTACACCCAAACTCAAACGTAAACCTTCGCAGAAACATTATGAAGATTTGCAGTCCATAGTGATTCCCTTCCCTTCAGAGTCACATGCCAGAAGTAATCAATATCTGTGTTGGAAGCCAAAAATATGAGAGGAAAGTGACATAAATGCTACAAAAATATAGGTGGAAAAGTGCAATAATTCTACAACTATGTTTGGGGGAAACAAAATCAAAACTACTCCACTAAGACTTTAACTCCTAATCCACAGGAAATGGCCACTCTAAACATATTACTGGTTTTGAACTATAATTATTATATGAGCAAAATACTAATTGGAAGTCCTATCTTATTACCTCAGTTCCACAAAACGTTTTATCATCATGCTTCATTTGTCTACCCACTAACTTAAATGGGGAGCGCCGGCTAAAAGCTATCACTGAAAACCTCAGCAGGCAGGGTGTTATGAGCTAGTTCCACAATATTATAAGATTAAAAAATAACTGTGAAGTAATAATAATTTTTAGAAAACAATTTGGATTATAGGAAAACGTGTAAAAACCCTACCTTTATCCTATAATCTTTTATATTTGTTTTCAAGGGATTTATAACTAGATTGCATAATTCCTATAATCAATTTTGTGTTCTGCCAAGTTAGTAATATGAAAGACTATTAAAAGATCTGGTACTATTTAATAAGAGGGTGGATGGTATTAGTCAACATGGTTGGGAGAAATTTTACACAACAAAAGAGACTTCAACCTAATCCACAGGAACACTTCAATATGTGTACAATCTTTCCAACAGTGCCACATTCCATATAAATAAAATGAATCCTTCTTATGAGTCAAATTATAATTCAACTATCAATTATTTGTCTAATAATCTCAGAATATGACAAGAAATAATTTTCTTAGAATTCTTTCATTAAAAAATAAAATCCGACAATTTCACTTGCTCTTAGTGTGTGTAACAATCATAAAGATAATTTAGAAGATAATTCATGATGTATAATAACAAACTGTTATATACATAACACACCAAAAATGGTTGCTTGCTACATAAATGAATGTATCCCTTGCTTTACTGTATAAATAATATATTTTAGCTTGGCTGGCTATAAAGAGGAAAAAAGCATTTTATCATTATCTTGAATTACAATGTTAAAGCTGTGTTTCAAAGGGGAAAAATAAGAGTTCCAAATAGAGTTGATTTGAAAACTCAGCATGGGGTTAAGACGCTAGGCTATTCATTGACAGGCCAAGTACTCAAGAATTTTGTCTATGCTATTCTACCATTCTCAAATAAATTGCTAGCTTTACATTAGCGCTGCCTACCTAAACTTTGTTTTTCTCTCTTCTGTGTGAAATAGGTAACAGAGTTGGGCTGCAATATCATATTCACCACTAGGTGCTACAACTTAAATTAATATCTACACTATCTACCAGAAAACTGCTTAGTGTTCAAAGTTCAGAACACATACACATAGATATGCATATGCATGTGTGTGTAGCTTTCTCTTTACAGAAATTATAAATTAAAAATTCACTACATTGAGTTTTCTTAAAAAAAAAAAAGAGTACATTTTACATTGCTCTGTTAGAAACTGCTCTGCAATTTCTTCTTTAGGCAGTATTCCTGCTTTCTCACGGGCCATTTTTCTCAGACTTCTTTCCTGATTCTTCCTCAGGCCAGCATCGAAAAGTCAGAATGCCTCAAGACCCTGGCCTTACTCTCTACTATTTTTTATCTATTTCCTCTCCCTAAGCAATCTCATCCAGTCCCATTGCTTTCACTACCATCTAGTTCTAAAGACTACCAAATTTATATCCCTACTCTGACACTTCCCCTGACCTGCTGACTTTCATTTCCAACTTCATATACGATATGTCCACTTGACTATCTAACTGCCATCTTAGGCAAAACACGTCCAAGACAGAACTCTTCATCTTTCTCCAAAAGCCTGATCTTTCATAAGTCTTTACCTCAGTAAATGGCACCATCATCCATCCAGCGTCTCAGGCCGAAACCACAAAAGTCATCCTCAGTTTCTCCCATTCCCTCACTCTCCATACCCAATCCACCAAGACCTGTCAACTCTACCCACAAATTATACACTATCTCCACTGGTATAATCTCAGTATCTCAGTCTACCATCCCTCTCCCCTAGATCACTACTGCCCCATCTCCACCCACCCCAAGTATATGTCCACACAGCAGCATATCATTCCCCATATGAAAACCTTCCAGAGTTTCCACGGCAACAGGAGTAAAATCCACAGTCTCTATCACACTTCATTCCAGAAAGTGGCCCCTGTCTACTCATCCAACACAACCTATTCACCCACCATGCTCCAGTCACATTGGTCTTCTTTTTGGACCTCAACCAGGACCAGCTTATATAGTCTCAGTGCTCCTCACTTGCTCTTCCATCTGCCTTAACATGGCTGTCTCCCATTATTCAGGGTATAGCCTAAATGTCACTTCCTCAGAGAGCCTTCCCTGACCACCCCAGCTAACGTAGACCTCACCCCTGCCCAAGCTTAGTCACTCTCTACCTTGGTACCCTGTTTTAGTTTCTTTATAGCACTTACCACTTTATGACATGATATTATCTAAATATTTGATTAAGTGGTAATTGCCTAACTCCCCACAAGAGCAGGGACCTCTGCCTATCTCATTTATCTTGTTCACCTTGCTAAATTCCAAATTTTCTTAGGTCATTTATTGAAGAATTTATTCATTCCCCACTGACTGAGAATGCCAACTTTATTTAAAGAGAGAGAGACGTATAAACAGACAGATATATAAGTAGGTAGATATGCCTGGACATTCCATCTTGTTTCTTTGATCTTGTCTATTCTTAAGACAGGGTTTTGAAGTGCTTAACACTGAACTTATATGTCTAGGAAATAGCGTTAAAGAATACAGAAGAATCCAAGAAATAACTTCATGTAGATGTGGGAAATCATCTCGGTAACAACAACATTATTCACTAAGAGCTTTTTATGCACGAGTACTGTTCTAAGGGCTTAATACAACCTATTTAATCCTCATAACAACCCTTCAAAGTAGATACTACCATGATTCCATTTTATAGATGAGAGATCTGAGGCATAAACTCAGTAGATGAACTGTGCTTTCCCTCATCAATTAGCAACATGGAAAGTAGGGGTTATAACCCTTTTTAATGGTGTTCGGTAGAGTTGCAATTTAGTAATATCTAGTTGAGTTGCAATTTATTTATGTGCTTCCCGACATCAGATGTAGCAACAGAAGATTCCTTCGTGGTGGAAAAATATAAATTAAGAAAACTTATGTTGAGTTTATAATACCTTAATTCCTTCTCAGGTTGTAAATTTGACTCGAGACTGCAAAATTAAAAAAAAAAAAAAACCAGACAGAACACATATACACACAAACACAACCCCATGTTGTATTACCACAAAAATAATTCTATTCAAAACACATAACACAATTACACAATTATTAATCTTCTAAAATTAGTACTTCCAAGAGAACAAATCAACACTATGTTACACTTGCTTCCTATTAGGTGCAGAGGAATTAAAATCCAAAGTTCACACCCTCAGGTTGGGTCTCTGCTGACTGGGAGCAGGGGAGGCCTTTAAGCTATGCAACTCACACACTGTCCCCACTCCAACTGCAACAACCTACAAAGACTGGCAGGCTCTCCAAATGATTCCTCAGAACACATAGCTGCCTTCTGATAACTAAGGATCCACTAGCCAATCAGAAAACTTAAGTCAGAATAAAGACACAACTGATTATGGGTACCTGGAATGGGAACCTGTGAATGTTCTATTTAAGCTAAATTACTTAGGCAGAGTAGTCATACTAGAATTTCATGGTTTTCATCATTATTCATAAGTCAAAATGATTTATAATCCTTAAACGCATAATCCTCAGGGATTGGTATTAATGCCCAGTGGCTATGAAGATAAGCAAAAAATTGACTTTTCCTACAGATACGGGGAATCATTGTTTTATGAGGGTTAAAACTGTAATTTGGTTTTTACATGATCTTTCTATTATCAAAATAATTGAAAGTAAAAGTTTTTACTCCAAAAACAAGAGTTAAATGGTTCATATAATATTCCATTGAAGTTAAAAGGATTGTTTTAGAATAAACCAGAAAAACAAAAAGTGTCGGTCAGTAATCTAGAAGAATTCACATGAAAATTTTTAGCTTTTTACTGAATATTTGAATATTCACTTTGCTAAAATAAGTAACTGATTTCCTGGTTTGCTCCCTATAGGGTCAAAGTGAGCCGTGTTCCCATCCCCATCTTTTCATGATGAGAGTCAAAGAGTGGAGGTTGGGATCAACCTAAAAATCAATTTAGTATAGCCATTATAGCCCTTTGCAATCTGGAATATTCTTTTCCCTCTAGAAAGCAGTGCTTTGGGCCACATGTGAAACTGCACTCAGTGACCTAGAGATCAATCTCCATCTGGATGGAGTGCATAAGGCAGCGTCTCTAGCACATCCCTTCAAAATGACACAGCAAAAACCCCATTTTCTCTCATAGTCTCAGGCACATGAGAGTCTAGAACTGCTGTGAAGGCAATTATTTCACCTAAAACTGAAAGACAACACTACATAGTGGTTAAGAGCAGACTGAGCCAGACAGCCTGGGTTTTAATTTGGCTTGAAAACACACTAGCTATGAAGTCTCTGTGCCTCAGTTCCCTCATCTGTAAATAGGAGTAATGATAACATCACCTTAGTATAAGGATCAGGTGAGTTAACATTTCTAAGGCATTTAAAAAGGACCTGACACACAATAAGTGTTAAGTAGTTAATAAATTAAAAACTAACAGTAAGGCTGATTTTGTGAGAAAAATCATTATTATTGTTAAAAAGCTAATGCTTAAATAATTAACATTTTATTGAATATATCCTGACTGGAGAAAGCCTATCATGATTACCTTGCTTGATTTAAGAACTTTAATTTGTTCTTCAAAAACAGTGTCTTTATTCTTTTCCAGAAAGCCTTCACACTGGTATTCCACCTGAAAACACAAGGAAAAATCTCCTTAACTAATAAAACTTTTGAATAGATATTATCAGCAACAACAAAAATATTTCTTAGGTTCAGACTATATGACTGGCTCTCAGCAAAGTGGTATCATTAGTTTTAGTCTAAGAAACTAGTACCTTCTCGGTAAGAAGCACGTTAACTCTAGGGTAAAACTCTCCAAGTACTATGTTTCCTAGGGAACAGTGGTAGTGCTGATTAATTGCGGCCTAAAGGACCCTCCCAATTCCTGGGTAAGCAGACTCATAAGTTGATTCTCTTCTCCCATGCCAGCCAAAGAGAGCTCCTCCAAGGCTGACCCAAAGCATCTCCTTCTAACCTGGTTCGCCATCTGGCAGGAGTAAATCTCCTCTTGGGAGAGAAGAGATTGAAGCGGGAGGGAGGATCAGAAGGAATAAATGGCGTCTGACAGCGAGAAAGTTGAAGAGCTGACGATGGATGGAGGTGGAGGCTGGGTAAATACTGTACATTTGGTAAATGGAACTATTCAAGAATGGACTATTGCTGCCTCCAAAACAGCCATCCACCACTCAAGGGGCTTCCTATCTTGGACCAAGAAGCCCTTAGGTAGCCCTAAAGTCATTTCAAGCTTTCCAGCTGTGATTAAGGAGACTCAGAAAGCCCTCAGTTCCTGAAGGAGACTCTAGGAAGTTTACCCCAAAGCCTATCCCACAACTTTCTTGAAATGTCAATTTGTCTCCTGGCTCCTGATTTCCTGAGTAGACTACAGAACTTGTGAAGCAGCAAGTCTGCATGCATTGCTAGTGGGACCCGCAGAAGCAATCACAGAGGGTGATACAAGTCCACAGTCTCTATTCTGAAGCCCTTGGTGTCAGCTATGCTTTAGAACACAGAATTTTTCAGCAGAGCCTGAGGCAGCAATTTGCAATCAAATGCATTAACATTTCTACACTGAAATACGTAAATATCCAGCCTAACTGGGATAAATGAAGACTATAAGTAACCTCACGTTAGTTCAGGTCAGAGCTCACGTATAGTCACTAAACAAATCACGAAAAGACTTTCGGTTTTTGGAGTTTCTTGGATTTCAGAATTATAGATAGGGGATTGTAGACCCATATTTATTTCATAATATAATTCCATTTAGGTTAAAGGAAGAGAAAACCAACAAGCTAACACTTTCTGATAAGGCCTTAAAGAACATAAGCTTCAGCAAAGAAAACAATGTTAACTCTTGATTATTGATCTTTTTCCTCTTTGAACTTAAGTATTCAAAATGAAAAAAAGATAAAATTTTCTTACTTTGTCAGCAAAATGTTGGATGATGAAAGCTTTGTTTGATAGACGGGGCTTTTCAAAGAGTGCACATTTGTTCAAGTGCGTGTTGTACAACTTTTGGGCCCAAGTGTCATCTGTACCTTTAGGCATCTACATTCAGGGTTAAAAAGAAAGGAAGAAAACAAGGTGAATATTGTTCTGAGACTCTTCTGATGCATCAACCAAGAGACCACTTTTTGCTTCTCCTGACAAATTTTACATTCACTTTAGGAACTCATTCCTTCTACATTTCTCTCTTAGAGGCCCAAACCAGTTAGTAACAAAGAACAATGACAGACCTTCCCATGGGTGACTCAGTCCAATCTTTGGGCAACTCAATCTGCCTATACCAGGAGTCATCAAACAAATATTTGATTTGCTTTTAAAACAACAAAAGCCTCACGAATGAAGATGAAATATCATGACTATCATGTATTTTTTTTAAATTTGTTAAGTAAAGGTAACATTTGAACATAGTAAAATATTTATATAACTCAGAAAGGTATAAAAGGAAGAGTATTCTCCTTTTGCCGTTTCCAGCAACTTCTTTATCCTTCTGTCTTGAAAGGCAGGTACACAAATAGGATCATTCTGTAAACTCCTCTCATTTTTTTCTTCAGCATTCTTGTACTTATGGCTACTAGGTTGTTATTGATTTTTGTTATTATGAAAACTGCCACAATGACTTCTTATATATATATGCCTTGAATACTTTCGCAAGTATATTCATAGAGTGAATTCCCAGCAGTTCCACTGCTAGGTCAAAAGCTATGTGCATTTACAATTTTTTTTCTGCTTTTTCTCCCCAAATCCCCCAAGTACATAGTCGCATATTTTAGTTGTAGGTCCTTCTACTTGTGGCATGTGGGATGCTGCTTCAGCATGGCCTGATGAGTGGTGCCATATCGATGCCCAGGATCCGAACCGGTGAAACCGTGGGCCACCAAAGCGGAGTGCACGAACTTAACCACTTGGCCACGGGGCTGGCTCCCTGCATTTACAATTTTGATAACTATTGTCAAATTTCCTCTAAAATACCTTGAACTAACTCATGCCCTTTATAAGAGTATATATGTAATAAATATTCATTTGGTATTGCCAAATTTAAACTCGCCTATCTGATAGGTAAAAAGCAGTATCCCATTTTTGTTTTGATTTGCATTTTATTTAATTTCAAGTGAAGCTGAGCATCTTTTCCTTATATGTATTTTTAATATTGTAGGAAATCTAGATGCTTAGGAGGATAACATATGGTAAACTGTAACTTATGGCATATAAACTAAAGAGAAATTAAGAGAAAGGACAGATTATTTGTCTAAGATCACTCAGTTAGCCGTAAAGCTGGGGATCTGATATTTTTCCAACATGCTGCATCTTCAAATATTAAAGCTAAAACTCCCTCCCTCCCACATATATCAGTAAAAAAGAACAATGAGTCAATTTTTAAATTATAAATATTTAGAAATATTATTCAAAATATCTTTTGTACAATGTCTTGCATTTCTTTAAATATATCGTACCAGTGAACAAAAAGTACCAAACATAAGCATATTGTTAACAAAAGTGGCTGAAATTATTAGTAGTTATATCTAATGCCAATTTTCCACATAACTTAGAATCAGCTGAAATGAGAAGGAAAATTCTAGTTTCAATTGTATTTAACACCCTTTGGGTCTAGTGACCCTTCAGAATGCGAGTTAGGGTGACCCCTACTTGTTGCCACAATGGCACCTCATTGTACACTAATGATTCTCTGCTTAAACTCACTTACCTTCTCACCTTGATATATCTATTTTGATAGACTAAGTACATCGGAAAAACATACTTACCTTGCATTCCTCATCCAACAAATCTAGAATGCCCAGTTTAGATTCTATAAGATTAATGCAAGGCTGATTATCATAAAAATCTATGAGTGTCCATGGAATTTGTTCCTTCATATATTCCTCTTGTTCTAATTTGAAGACATGCTGAAGTGAAAAAGAAAAACACTAGCACCACTGGATCATTATCATAATAATGTTAGTTAAGAAACAACCTCTATAAAAAACGCTCTAAGAGGATACCAGCATAATTTGAGATAGTCCATGGCTTCCAGCAACAACAATCTCATGGGAGAAATGTGATTTACATACAGGGAACAATTAAGAAAGCAAATAAAAACTGCAGACAGTAAAACTTCAGCTATCTAGAATTCTTGTAAACAAATAAATCTAGGTATGTAAATGTTTTAAATAGCAGACAGTAAAACCTCAGCTATCTAGGATTCTTGTAAACAAATACATCTAGGTATGTAAATGTTTTAAATAGCTGATAAATGTGGCAGTCTTTTTGATACGCATACATCCAAAACTGCACTGTACCCTTTTTGGCCTCTTAAATTCTTGCACAGTGCTGCTAACACCATGGGCACAGAAATGCCTTAGCTAGCCTTGAACAACTATGCAGAGCAGATGCCCTCCTCACTACTGAACCATGCTTACAGCAATGCCTACAGCATAACAAAGTAATTCTCTTAAGGGACTGTGGTGTTGAAGTTCAGGTGCCTCAGAATTAGACAACAGTGTCTTTTGTGTTTGCCTTGATCATTCTCCACAGTCAGGGCATCTATGGTTTACTTTTCTGGATTCTACATCCAGTTCTGCGAGCAGCTGTAACCAGTACCAATCCATTGCTATTTCTGCTAAATGCTTCAGCCACCGTCCTCAACATGCTTCTAATCACCATTCACTCATTTAAGCAAAAATATGTATTGACTGTCTACTATGTGGCAGTCACTGCACACCATTAACAAAACAGACATGGGCTCTGCTCTCCTGGAGTTTGGAGACTATTGGGAGCAACAGACAGAAATAAAATAATCACAAAGAATATAATTACAAACTGTAATAATGTTACAGAGGAAAATAATGCGAGCTATGAGAGCACGAGTCCTCATCTAGTTTGTACACAGGGTGGTGAGGGATGGCTCCCCAGAGGAAGGGCTGCATGATCTGAGCTCTGCAGATGAATGGTAGTTAAGTTAGTCCAGGTGGGAAGGGCAATCCAACCACCGCTGCAGCTCCTGCTTCAGGCCGCCCAGCCAACGCAGCTACCCACAACTTCTAGTCTCTACGGATGCTGTCGACCTCTACTCATTTGTTGCTGGGGGTTTCTGCTTTCCTTTACTTGTCTCTTTTGTCTCCCTTGGTTCTCTGACACATCTTGCTACTGTTCTGGGAAGATTAGCCCTCTGTGGCTAAGACCAAACAACACATTTTCTAAGACCCAAAACCCCATGAAACTTAGGTGTCACCAAGATTTCTGATATACACTCTTCTCACGCACCTGGAACTTTCCCGCTTTATTCTATACTTATTAAAATGCCACTCTTGGCTCATTTGCAGCATTTACAGTCTAACTAGCTGCAATAAGCTTTAGTTAAAAAAATGGTTATGGTATGAATACTGATGTCATGCTAATCAGAAAGCAAATTTTTTCTGTTCTTTTGATCAATGACAAGGCAAATAGGGCACCATGTGTAAGCAAGATGTTCTAACTGCTGGTACCAATATTTTCCAAAACAATGAGCTCTGTCTTTTTTTAATTCATTAATGTACATACAGTCTCCACATTGACCACAGAAACACTGCTCCAGACTTTAAATAGAGCTTGTTTCTCACACGCATCTCTATGTCTAGTTTAGAAAAATCCATGAGACCTCAAAAATTTTGGATGCTCAATTGTCAAAAAGACAATGTGGGCATGAGGTTCAATATGGCAAGAGATCCTTGGTCTATACGGTAATGCCTCCAAGCACCAAACATGCCAATCACCATGATTCCCCTGCCCACTGCCCCACTCACAGCCCCTGCTGAGGGAGGGGCCCAAAGAAGCCAAGTTCTTTACTGTGAGGCTCCACATTCCTAGTCACAACTAGTCAATTGCCAGAGATCTCTGATGAAAACATGAACTGGGTTAATCAAATTCTCTTTCTCAAGTATAGGAATTGGGGAAACAGGCAACTAACAGTGGAAGCTGAAGCTGAAAGAAGTCAAGATGAATGGGAGCTAAGCAAGTTAAGAGGATGGAGGAGTATTCCAACCACTGCTGAGTCCACAGGAAGTTTGAAGTGAGGAAGCAGAAACCTTCAGAAAATACATACAGAATAGAAGGAAAGAATACGCCATGTGATAGTAAGACGGAGTGCAGCAGTTGTGCAGAAAGAAGCTAACATGCAGTATGGGGGGCGTGTGTGTGTAGGAGAGACAGACGGACAGACAGACAGACAGAGAAGGAGAAACAGACGAGTAGAGACAGAAAGAGAAACAAGAGAGTCAGAAACACACATGCAGACGCATGAGGCCCTTGAGAAATAGACAAACTAGCCACTCGCTAAGGAATGCATTGGTTCCTTATATTTCCAGTCACCTTGTGCCAAAATATGCTAGGAAAGAGCAGAAGGCTGCGGCACTGATTAAAGTGCTAAGACACTCAGAAAAATTCTTGAAAAGTTAATGCTCAGTTTAGTCTCTGATGGTTTTTATTAATGTTCCTTATGTAGAGATGAAAAATATACCAATCACATTCTCCTGGAAACAGTCATAAGCCTAAGGTTATAAGACGACCTCTACAATATTTCACTGCGTTAAGTTGCTTAATTTGCTAAATATAGATGATCCAAGTTTTTATCAAAGTATATGCAATATTTAAAAGAAAATCAATCAGTCTAAAAGTTTTATGATGACAAGCAACAATGCCTTGTCTCATCCCTCCCCAATCCCAGCCTCACTCCCTGGAGGCACCATTTTAACTCCCTTAACCATTTCTTCTAGTATTTACCTCTAAAGAAGATGCTTATCAGCTATTTTTTGATTTACTCATTTGAAACATTATCTATTGATTTCTTGATAAGATAGATGAAGCTAAATTCACATACACCATGTCTCCACTGCTCCTCCCCTGTCCTCCCAATATTACTATTTTTATATGTTCTTTTGGTTTTTATTAATTTTGTAACTTAAGATAATCTCTTTAAACTTCTATTTTTTGTTTATCAACTATAGACTATACCACTTGACCCCTCTCATTATAAGATGAGGATATTAAGGGCTCTTTTCCTGTCCTTCAGCTGTCTTCTCCTCCATCTTCCAATTCCTTATCAGTGACTCATTTTTAATATTCTCTTTCATCGATACTAATAACCACCCCAATCCTGCAGTTAGAACTGTGACTAGCATGTGGTGAGCACTTTACATATCCCAATTCATTTAATCCATACAACAATATGCAGTAAGTACTATTATTATCCCCATCATACAGATGAGGAGACGAAGGCCCAGGAAGGTCAATTAATGTGCCCAAGGCCCCCTGGATGATCAATGTAGAGTGGGATTCCAACCCAACCAGTTCACCTTGGGGGTCTGTGCTCTTCGCTATTACAGTCTGCTGCCTCTCATTAGGCACCTTCAAATCCCCCAACACCATGATAATGCTCTAAGATATTCGATATTACTACTTCACAAGAGCCACTCTCAAAATATTCACATTGCCATTGTCTCGGTGAATGTCTCAGACTGTTGAAAAGAGAATATATAAAATAGAATATGTATTTTCTAGATATAAAATCATGTTGTCTGCAAAGAGTGATAGTTTCACTTCTTCTTTTCCAATGTAGATCCCTTTTACTTCTTTTTCTTGCCTGATTGCTCTGGCTAGGACTTCCAATACTATGTTAAATAAGAGTGGTGACAGTGGGCATCCTTGTCTGGTTCCTGTTCTTAGAGGGATAGCTTTCAGTTGTTCTCCATTGAGAATGATATTTGCTGTGGGTTTGTCATATATGGCCTTTATTATGTTGAGGTATTTTCCTTCTATACCCATTTTATTTAGAGTTTTTATCATAAATGGATGCTGTATCTTGTCAAATGCTTTCTCTGCATCTATTGAGATGATTATGTGATTTTTATTCTCCATTTTGTTAACGTGGTGTATCACGTTGATAGATTTGCGGATGTTGAACCATCTCTGATCCCCAGAATGAAACCCACTTGATCATGATGTATGATCTTTTTAATGTATTGTTGTATTTGATTTGCTAGAATTTTGTTGAGGATTTTTACATCGATGTTCATCAGTGATATTGGCCTGTAATTTTCTTTTTTTGTGTTGTCCTTGTTTGGTTTTGGTATCAGGATAATGTTTGCTTCGTAGAAGGAGTTAGGAAGCCTCCCCTCCTCTTCAATTTTTTGGAAGAGTTTGAGAAGGATAGGTATTAAGTCTTCTTTGAATGTTTGGTAGAATTCACCAGGGAAGCCATCTGGTCCTGGACCTTTATTTTTTGGGAGGTTTTTAATTGCTGTTTTGATCTCCTTACTGGTGATCGGTCTATTCAAATTTTCTATATCTTCTTGGTCCAGTTTTGGAAGGGTGTATGTTTCTAAGAATTTATCCATTTCTTCTAGATTATCCAATTTGTTGGCATATAGCTTTTCATAGTATTCTCTTATTATCTTTTGTATTTCTGAGGTGTCTGTTGTAATTTCTCCTCTTTCATTTATGATTTTATTTATTTGAGCCTTCTCAAGAATACAATCCCATTTACAATTGCAACAAAAAGAATAAAATACCTAGGAATAAACTTAACCAAAGAGGTGAAAGATCTGTACACTGAAAACTATAAAACATTGTTGAAAGAAATCGAAGAAGACACAAAGAAATGGAAAGATATTCCATGCTCTTGGATTGGAAGAATTAACATTGTTAAAATGTCCATACTTCCTAAAGCAATCTATAGATTCAACGCAATCCCTATCAAAGTTCCAACAACATTTTTTACAGAAATAGAACAAAGAATCCTAAAATTTATATGAAACAACAAAAGACCCCGAATAGCCAACGGATTCCTGAGAAAAAAGAACAAAGCTGGAGGTATCACAGTCCCTGATTTCAAAATATACTACAAAGGCACAGTAACCAAAACAGCATGGTACAAAAACAGACACACAGATCAATGGAACAGAATCGAGAGCCCAGAAGTAAACCCACACGTTTATGGACAGCTAATATTCGACAAGGGAGCCAAGAGCATACAATGGAGAAAGGAGAGTCTCTTCAATAAACGGTGTTGGGAAAACTGGACAGCCACATGCAAAAGAATGAAAGTAGACCATTCCCTTACACCATGCACAAAAATCAACGCAAAATGGATTAAAGACTTGAATGTAAGATCCAAAACCATGAGACTTCTGGACGAAAACATAGGCAGTACGCTCTATGACATTGGTCTGAGCAGCATATTTTCAAGTCCCATGTCTCACCGGGCAAGGGAAACAAACGAAAAAATGAACAAATGGGACTACGTCAAACTAAAAAGCTTCTGCACAGCAAAGGAAACCATCAACAAAACGAAAAGACAACCTAACAATTGGGAGAAGATACTTGCAAACCACATATCAGATAAGGGGTTAATATCCAAAATATACAAAGAACTCATACAGCTCAACAACAAAAACACCAACAATCCAATTAGAAAATGGGCAAAAGATCTGAACAGAGATTTCTCCAAAGAAGATGTACAGATGGCCAACAGGCATATGAAAAGATGCTCAACATCATTAGCTATCAGGGAAATGCAAATGAAAACTACAATGAGGTACCACCTCACTCCAGTCAGAATGGCTATAATTAACAAGACAGGAAACAACAAGTGTTGGAGAGGGTGTGGAGAGAAGGGAACCCTTGTTCACTGCTGGTGGCAGTGCAAACTGGTGCAGCCACTATGGAAAGCAGTTTGGAGTACCCTCAGAAAATTAAGGATAGATCTACCATATGATCCAGCTATTTCACTGCTGGGTATTTATCCAAAGAACTTGAAAACACAAAGGCATAAAGATACTTGCACCCCTATGTTCACTGCGGCATTATACACAATAGCCAAGACGTGGAAGCAACCTAGGTGCCCATCAAAGGACGAATGGATAAAGAAGATGTGGTATTTATACACAATGGACTACTACTCAGCCATAAGAAATGACGAAATCCGGCCATTTGTGACAACATGGATGGACCTTGAGGGTATTATGCTGAGTGAAATAAGTCAGAGGGAGAAAGTCAAATACCATATGATCTCACTCATAAGTAGAAGATAAAAACGACAAAAAAAAACACATAGCATTGGAGATTGGACTGGTGGTTACCATTGGGGAAGGGGGGAGGGGGAGGGCAAAAGGGGTGATTAGGGTCACATGTGAGGGGATGCACTATAATTAGTGTTCGGGTGGTGAACATGATGTAATGCATACAGAATTCGAAATATGATGTACATCTGAAAAAAATAAAAATTAAAAAAATAAAAATAAATAAAATAGAATCTGTAAAATTTATGTAGAAAAGAGAATATGTTCTGATTTTTCGTTCTGATATCTTGCTAATACAGCAAGTAAGAGTTAAGATAGTCATAACTTCACATATAATTAGCCTCAGGAACAAGAAACTGAAGGACATCTCTGGGCTCAAAGCTTCATACTCCCTATGTTACTACCTAACACACTACCTGCTTCCCTCACTCACTTTATTTGGACCAAATTTTCACTTATTATCAGACAGCAATCCAAGGATGACCTTGAATCCTATCTGGACCACAAACATTTTTCTAATGTTGTATCATTTATTAATCATACGTTCCTCATCAGTTTACCTGTTCTAAACCCCAGAAAATAACTGTAATTCACAACTTCACTTCAGGAACCACATTTTAAACATAGACTAGAAATTCAAGAGAATAATTTAGAGCAGAATATTATTCAAGGAAGAAAATTCTTACCATATTGAATTGTTGCTGCAGTTTTTCATTTGCATAATTTATGCAAAACTGTTCAAAACTATTTATCTCAAATGTTTCAAATCTGTAAGACCAAAAATAATATGGGAAGGGGAGAAAAAAGAACAAAAAACTTCTTAGAAGAGAGATTTTTTTTAAAGGTTCCAGAGTCAGAGGTGTTCAATAGTATGAGTTTTTGAGGGCTAATTCATCCCCAAGTAGGGAACAATCAGAATTATGACAAAGCCATTGCTCTTGTCAATTCACAGATTCACAGTGTCTACACACACATAGAAGGGAATTGGAATAGTCTCTGCTATCTCATAGCTCCTTTGAAAAATTGAACCAGATAATGAAATATTAGGCATCAAAGAAGCACAAATGTACAGTTAGGGTCTTAACAGCTAAAGAAGGGTACCCAGAGAAGGGAAACTAGCAAATGAAATTAGATTTTTAGAAATTCTCCTCTAATCTCCCTTCTCCTCACCAGTAAGAGATAGAATCAAATACCCACTTAGAGTTACAACATAATCTCTGGGAAGAAATGTTCTTTGGCAGACCACTACACCAAATATACGTACCCATAAATGTCCAGCACGCCAATAAAAGAGTGCTGTTTGACAGCAGAATGGAGAGCTTGATTGACATGATCTACAATCCAGCTAAAGAGCTTGGCATAGATGTGCTTGGCCAAAGCATCACGGGCATTTGTGGCCTGCAGCTTGGAGATGGGCTTGATGTATGTCTCTGTGGCAGTAGCCAGCTTCCGATGGCAGAGCCAGTGACACATCTCCTCATAGTCCACACCCATGAGGTCACAGAAGATGCTGAGAGGTTCATGCTTGGGCTGCCAGAAGAGAATGGGTTATTTCCTATGATCAGATCAATCAAATAAGAATTTACCGAAAAATACTAAGAAAGAGGTAACAAACAAAACCCACCAATTTCTTTGTTATAACAAACACCAAGATCACTTGAAGCTGATCAATGACTATAACCACAATCTTCTATCAAACCAGCATCAAGGCAGCATTTTGCAATCTCTTCTAGGGCTCACTTCAAAAATTACCTCTTCCTTTGTCTCTTCATAGTATTTGTTTATATCTCTCTTTTGGCACATTCATTTAGTTAGTTAATCAGAAAATCAGTCATCTTGTCAACAAATATTTACTGAGTGCCTGTTATATGGTAGTAAACAAAAATAGACATGGTCCCTGTCCTCCAAGAACTTACACTCACTAGGGGAAATGGATATTAATCAAATGACTGTCCCTTAAAATGTAAAATTACTCCAAAGGAGAAGGACACTACACTAAGATTCCCCGTAAGAGGAGTGTGCCCTATTCAGGGAGGCGGGAGACAGGTGCCTTGAGAAACGGAGCTGAGATCTGAAGGATGAGAAGGTGTCATCTCAGTGAAAGGGAGAGGAAAGGGTCTTCCAAGCTGAAGGAACAGATAGTATAAAAGTCCTGCAGTGGGAGGGAAACCAGCAACATGAGGCACTGAAGCTGAGTGAGAGAGAAAAGGGATGAGATGGAGCCAGAGACAGGTCTTTATCCTGAGAGCAACGGGAGGTCACTGAAGGGTTTTCAACAGATAACTCGACAGTTATTTGTGTGACTTCTTAGATTAGAATCTCTTTAACGACTTATGTATCTCTGCCTCCCCTACAACATCTTCCCTAGGTCTTGCATGAGTAGGCATTCAATAAACACTTGTTTAATTTAATCTATGTTAGTGTATTATATTTTCCAGAATCTTCACTCACATGTTTCAACTGAATCTGATAACATTCCTGGAGAATAGGCAGGGTGAACATTATCATCTCTAACTGACAAATGAGAAAATAAGATCCAAGAGAATAGCTTGTCAAAAATCACATGACCAGTTTATGTCAGAGTTGTCATTAGAAGCTGAGTCTCCTGACACTCTCATCCTCTGACCCTTCCCACTCACGTAGTCCCTTCTTTCTTTCATCTCCCCTCCTCCCAAGTAATCACCTCAGATACAAAGTGGCACCATTAGCAACAGCATGGTTCAATTCCCTTAAATAAGCAGCTTATTTCATTCATATATACACAAAGGGGACCAGTACCCTCTAAACATATTCTATTTGAATGGTGTTACCACATTGTTCTATGAGATCAAGGTTGTTAACTGTTTTGCTCAAATTTTCTATAACTTTATTAATTTTTGGACTTCGTCACCTACCAATAATTGAGAGAAGTCAATAATCTCTCACTGATAGATTTGTCTCTTTCTTCTTGTTGTTTCTGTTGATTTTTGCTTTATATATTTTGAGGCTACATCAATAAGTACATTCAGCTTTAGAACTATTACATCTTCCTGGTGAATAAAATCTCTCTCACTAACTAGTGACTTTATTTATCTCTAGTACTGCTTTTGGCCTCAAAGTCTATTTCGTCTGGTATCAATATAGCTCTGCCAGTTTTTTTCTGGCTATTGTGGTGTGTCTTTTCTAAACCTTTTATTTTCAAACTTTCTATACCTTAATGTTTTAGGAATGCTTCTTTCAAAAGTATATACCTGAATTCTTAAACCAGTCTAATGACCCACTTTAACTGAAAAGTTAGTCCATTTGTAACATTTATTTCTCTTATGTTGTGCCTTTTTTTGTCCCACTTTTTCTAAATTTTCCTCTCCCTTTCTTCTATATTTAGATTATTTTTTTTCAGTCCATTTTCCTCTCTATTAGTTTGAAAGGCTTACTTTCTGCTTCTATTTTTATAATAGAAGCATTAACTTGCATTAGTTAATTTAATGTAATTAACTAACTTCAAACACCCCATTCTCAGCCTATAACCTTTGTTATCCAGAACTTCTATCTTTTGGGGGGAGGAGGTGGGTCTGGTGATTCACTTCATTTTTTTAAACTTTTTATGTTGAACTAATTTTAGACTAATAGAAAAGTTGCAAGAATAGTACAAAGAATTCCCTTCACCCAGATTCTCTAAATATTAACATTTTACCATATTTGCTTATTTCTTTCTCTCTCACTCACACCCATATAAATACACATTATTTTTTCAGGACCTTTTGCGAATAACTAGTAAACATGATGCCTGTAGTCCTAAATATTCCAGTGTGTATTTCCTAAAAACCAAAGACATTATCTTACATAACTATGGTATAACGAACAAAATCAGAAAATTAGTAATGATACACAACCCTATAATCTAACCTGCAGATCTAATTCAGTTTTTGCTGATTGACCTAATCATGTCCCTGTGGAAAATAAAACAAAACAAAAAAAGAGAATCCTATGGTCCAGGATCCAACCTAGGTTCATGCATTGAATTTAGTTATCACGTTTCATTAGTCTCCTTTAATCTGAACAGTTCTTCACTCTTTTTGTCTTTTGCAACCTTGACATTTTTGAAGAGCATGTCCCTCCATTTGGGTCTGTGTGATGTTGCCGCATGATCAGATTTGGGTCATGCCTTTCGGGCAGAAATACCAGAGAAGGGAAGTGCCACTCTCCTGGGTGCGCCATATCAGAGTTATGTGATGCTGATTGGTCCCATTACTGGTCAGGTCAATTGTGGTCCCTTGGTTAAGGGAATGTCTGCCAGGTTTCTCCACTGTAAAGATAATTATCTTTCCCTTCCTAACTAATAAGTATTTTGTGGGGAGTTCTATCTTCTCCAGCCCCCTACACTATTCATTGTTATTATTGTTTTAATTAATCAAGTTTTATCTACATTTGCCCATACTTTACTAGTTTACTGATTCATCATTTCTTCTCACATTTTAGATCTTTTACTTTGGATCACTTTCCTTCTGCCTAAACTATGTCTTTTAATATTTCCTGTACTGAGGGTCCATTGGTGACAAATTCTCACAAGTTTCTATTTGTCTGAAAACACTTCTATTTTTCCCTTATTCTAGAAAGACATTTTTACTGGATATACAATTCTAAGATATAATTATTTACTCTAGTACACTGAAGATAGTAGTCTACTGTTTTCTGGCTCCTTCTGTTGCAGCTGGGAAGTGAGCTATCAGTTTATTGCTATTCTTCAAGAGTAATGTCTTATCTCTCCACCTGTTGTAAGATTTTTCTCTCTGCCTTTGGTATCATTACAGTCTGCCTATGGGTGGATTATTTTTATTTTGAGATTTTTTGGACTTTCCAAATCTGCGGTTTAGTGTCATTTTCACAAGTTCTGAAATTTGTTAGTAATTATCTCTTCAAACATTATGTCTGTTTCGTTACCTTTTATCTCTCCTTTAGGAATTCTTATTAGATTAAAATGAGATTTTACTACTGTATCCTTCATCTCCCTTAACTGTTGTTTTAAATGCTCCATCTCTGGGTCCTATCTTGCAATCTGGATAATTTGCTCACCTCTGTCTTCTAGCTCATTGGTTCTCTCCACAATTGTGTCAAATCTGCTTTAGTTTCTTTCAGCATTTTTAGTAGTTCAACTCTGGTATCTGTTATTTCACCTAGCTCCATCTATTTTGTTTCATTGTGGGATTTGTGATTTTTGACTGTGAGCCAGGATGTCTTGTAACTTTTCTCATTGGAGTCTATCCAGGCCTAGACTGAAGGTGGATGCTCCAAAGCAGATTTGCATTTGCTTCTGTTGGGCATCTAGGGCACTACCGATCTAGGACCAATTTAAGCTAAGTTTCTGTAGGTAGCTTTCTGGGACCATCTAGGAATTACGAAATCAGGCCGGGAGTTTGTGTAAGACTCAGTTCATTGTTATAAATTTTTAGGGAACTATTTTTTCCTCCTCTACTTAGCACCAAGCCTTGAGCCAGATTAACTTTGTTCTTCACTCTTGGAGTGGACAGTGGGCAAGTTTATTATTAGTTCCCCATTTAGGGTCTCAGCTTTAGGCAGGGCTTCCCCTATATGTTCCCCTGTTTATATGAGTCCTAGGCTTTGTCTTCTGCACCCCACTTGGCTATGAAAACCAAAGCTCAAGGTCGCTGGGTTCAGCAAATACCCTCAAGGTGAGTCCTAGCAACAGGGTTCTGCTTCGTTCTCTGAGTTCCTGTTTTCACTTAGTTTTTGGCCTCTGAATTCTCATGTATTTATCAAAAACATATTTTTAAGCATATTTGTCCAGGATGACGGTCAATCAGAGCACCTACTCCTAAACTGCTAGAAAAGAAAGTACTTTTCATTTTATAGATGAGGAAACTGAGGTTCAGAGAAGCTAAGCAACTCACTCAAAAACAGAGTGAGTAATAGTAAAGTTGGGGTTGAACCCAGGCAGAGACACTGGAAACATATATTTCAAAACTCAAGTCTAATTTACCCAAATTTATGTCACACAAATTAATCTACATGTAGATTTGCTAATACAACTTGAGTGTCTGAAGAGCGAAACATAAATCTCAAAATTGTTTCCAATTACAATTCTTGAGGAAGCAGGATGGGAAAAAATAATTATATTAAAACTTCCTCCATCTTAATAAAGTTAAAAAATATCTAATAAATATATATGTATATATATGTGTGTGTGTGTGATCAGCAAATACTGCAAATCACAAATGCTCAATGCTCAACGAGGACAATCTGGGACTGTCAGGTTTTGTTATAGTTCAAATGTTTCCACACATGAAATTGAGTTTTAATTCCCAGTGTGTAGTTATCAGTAAGTGTGGAAGATTATGTAAATCACAGTGAAAACACCATATCCCCCCCAGACATCTAGTTCCTCTTCCCAGGAGTAACCACTGCTAACAGTTTCTTGAATAATTTTTAAACCATATTACATCTCCACAGCAGAAGAAACAAATATCAATTCTTGGTATTTGTGCCATGGGCCAAAGGAACTCTTCCCTCTAGACTCACCCATCCAACTTTCACATCTAATATTTCCCTCCTGTTATACAGATCAGACAAGCACCAAGTTCTCTCCTGTCCCCTCCATACACACACACACAATCACTGTGCACCAGGAATTAGAATTCATATTTCTTTATTTTCAGTTCAAGAGTGTACTTTGGATAATAGATGTCTCTGATAATTATCTCTCTGATAATGTTGATAGAGAGACTTCAAACATATTGCTTTCATAAAGAACCAACAAAACTAAACACAATCAACTGCTATCACACTAAGCTTTTCTAAACTTACAGGTATTGTGCAGCTGTCTGAATCTCGAGACGTAAATCCAACATTGCCTAAGTGAAGGATTCCAGCAAGTATTCGGAAAATTCCCATCTGGTAAGATTCACTAATTCCTGAAACAACAGAGTAAATGAACAAGTGATTGATTTCAAAATAAGAGCTAAACATTATGGCAATTTTAAGCCTATTTTTAACTCCTGAATAGTGCAATATGCTGCACACATTACAATGTGTCGTAATTAACAACACTTTCATCTTTGTTGACATTAACACATAATGCAGTTTAGTGTCCTTGTTGAGAGCATGAGCTGTGGAGTAAGACAGACCTGGGCTCAAGGCCTGGCTCTGCTCCTGACTTGCCATCTCATGTGGGCAGGTAACTTCACTTGTACATGCTTCCATTTTCTCATTTGAGATATGCGAATAATAGTGACTATCTCAAAGGGTGTTTGTGAGCATCAAATGAGAAAATGCACTTAGTATACTTAAAACACCATGTGACACATGGTAAGTGCTAAATAAATTATCATCATCATTATCACACACTGGATTTAAGTATTTTAGTAATATTATTACCTTTTCTATTTTTCTCTACTCCAAATGCAAGTTGCAGCCCAATACGGCTGTTTTAAGTCAGATTATCTAATTACTTCTTCAACTACAGACCAAGTACAAGTCAAAGAGACCCCAAGATTACAAGTGTTCAGGCTAGTGTTGTACCCCTGCGTGACAAGTGAGTGTCCAAATGCAGCATTAGAGCAGGCCCTGAAGAATAAGACAGGATGAGAAAGCTGAGAGAACTTAGCTTTTTATCACATCTGGCTTCATTTTTCAATAAGGAAAGACTTTCCAGAATATTAGATATAATTGTTTGCAAGTAAAAATAGTAAAATTATTTCAAAATATGTTGTAGGGGAGGAAGAAACTTTCCTCTACCCTTCTAGGTCCTTCTGGCTGGTCTAAGAATTAAATTGACCAGACAGAAAAACAGGAGAAGATCAAACAAAGTTTAATAACATGTATACACAGGAGAAACCCAGGAAAACTGAGTAACCTGCTAAAATGGCCAAAGCATCCACGTTAAATATCACCTTCAGCTAAAGACAAAACAGGATGTTGGGGGTAGCAGTTTGGGACTTCAAAGGTGAGGAAGGCCATTCACATGGAGATAGAAAAGCAATGTTCGGTAAACAAATGTTTGCAACACCCTGCAAAGACAGTGGGACATCGGGAGGACTTTGATCAAATGGGCCTTGCTAGATTCCTCCCTGTCTACCATACCTAGTTCATATTATACTATAGTTATCTATGGTATTAGCTCCTTCCTGGATCAGGCCTTTTAAAATTCTTTTAGGCAGTTAGAAGGAAGATCAAAGTTTCTTCCTGACTCTAGTTCTTAAAAATAATCAAGCCAAAGAAACACAGTTTGGGGTAGCAAATTCTGCTTCCTACAATATAATCATATACAGGGTAATTGAGAGTTGATCTTATGATGAATGCTTTTGCCATCTTTGCATTACGTATTTTTCAAATTTGTAATTTTCTATTAACAAACAGATTTAGCCCTAGAAGTAAAGCAACGTTTTCAAACTTTAACATGCATATAAACCACTAATGGATCTTGTTAAAATGCAGATTTTGATTCACTAGGTCTGAGATCCTACATTTTTGCAAGCTCCACAGTGGTCCTGGATCATACTCTGATCAGCAATGCTTTTAAACTAAATTAACTCACCTCAGGGTACTCCTCAAAATACCAACATATGATTTTACAGTTACCCATATTCTGAGGTTTTCAAATAAATAATTCACCACTAAAAGTTGTATACCACTGTTCTAAAAGTTAATTTATTTAGATATAGACCCAATATTTTTTAAATCCTAAAAACAAGACAGTGACATCAGAGCCATTTCAAAAACAGAATAAACTACACGTAATACATTGTTTTGTCACCAAGCTAGTTCACCCACATTTCCCAGACACAAAAAGACTCCCCAAAGAACCCTACAAAATGTGAGTTTATACAGGAAGTCATTTCATTTAGCTCTAAGTTTCAAATTCTGTAAAAATTTAAGCAAACAGTTAGTTCTACTTCCTCTGATACCCTGAATGTGTTTTAAATAGCTTTATTGAGGGATAATTTGCATACCATAAAATTCACCTATTTTAAGTCTACAATTCAATGATTTTTAGTAAATTTACAAAGTTGTGCAACCATTACCACAATATAATTTTAGAATAGTTCCCATCACTGCAAAAAGAAACCTCATGCCCATTTGCTATCCAAATGTGTTTCATAAGGATTGTTAAATCTCCCAACGATACTCACCACTTAACACAAAGCTCAGCCAATATTCCAAACAAACTTCGCTTGAGTCACAAGGCTATTGCTCATCTGTCATGGTATAAATGTGCCCCTTTACCCCTTTCACCCTCCCTCCAGCCCCCTTTTGGTGGTGAACACAATGTAGTCTATACAGAAGTTGAAATACAATGATGTACCCCTAAAATTTATATAATGTTATAAATCAATGTTACCTCAATAAAAAAATAAATAAAATTGTGAACATTACATCTCTTTCTATATGACATATAAATGTCACAACTTCCACCAAATATAAGAGTTTCTACTTTTAGATAGATTTATTTGTTCCAGTTGCTTACCAAGCTAATACAAGATATTTTGTTTGCATTTTGGATTATTCAATTTAGTTCACGTAATAGAAAACTTTAGATTTGGGAAAAAAAAAAAGCTATTGCTCATAGGAGCCCAAGAATAAAATTACCTTACCTAGCAAAGTGCAGGCCTGCCTGGTATTTGCCATCTCCTTGGCATCATCCACTCCTTCAATCTCAGGACTGCCACCTTGCATCGTGTAATGAAAGTTATTTGCATCTCCTGCAGTTAAGGAAAATAAAGGATTTGCAGTCTGTGAAAAAATGTTGACATCTACCCTTATGCCCACTCTGAATTAGAGGCAATGAGAGCACAGTTAAGTGTATACAGCCTGGACTTCAGGTACCTGTGTTTTCAATTATATTTTAATATAAAACTCAAAATTAAATAACAGAGTAAACTGCCCATAGTTTATTTATCTTAATTGGTAAAATGAATAGTCCTCTCTTAAAGGTTTTACTCCAATCTACATGCTAAGTTAATTTCTTCAAACACTTTACTCCTCTCATCAGAAACCTCACAGGCCTCCATCACATAAACTCCTTTAAATTTTTTTTCTTTTAATAAAGGCAAATTTCAAACATACGAAAGTAGAGAGACTAGTACAATGAGCCTCTATGTGCTCATCCCCCATTTAAACAAGTATCAACTCAAGGCCAATCTTGTTTCATTTATACAGCCACTCACACCTTCTCCATCCCACGGGTTATCTTGAAGCCAGCTGCAGACCTTTTATCATTTCATCCATAATATTTCAGTATGAGATAGTCTCCTTTTAAACAAGTAAGCCTATGAACTCAGAAATTAACAGAAAACAATACCAACACAATAAATTTAATGCCATATTCATACCTAATCGCAGCATTTTAAATTCAGGTAACTTTGCTGAGGCACAAAGCTGATAGAAGATATGATAGTTTCTCTCCTCTTCTGCCTTTGAAATAAGAAGACTTTTCAATTACAGCATTTCAATCTAAAACTCAGAAAATTCAATCATGAAATAAAATTTTAATATTTAATTATCTGTTGGTACAATAAATTATCTTTTCCCAAATTTCCTAATACATGTTTATGATTATTAGATCTTATGACTTATTAGCTATATGCATATGTGTGAGTGTGTACCTGTTGGTCACATTCAACATAAAATAACTGATAGTAATCCTTTTTCAACTAGTGAACATCAACTAGTGATATATGGCATTCCCTAAAGAGATCATTGCCTTTGTGGAGAAGCTAAAACCATTTTTTGCAATACTCAATATTTTCTCACAGTACCTCTTAGATTCATGGTCTTCCTAATACTTTGAATAAAAAAGAATATCCCGTCTCTGCCAGTTTTAGTCTGGACCATCTACTGTGGCTGTTTGTAAGAAATCCACAAACGCACTACTTCATCTATACCATTTTAGCTTATATATTTTAACATCAATAAAAATATTTTATGAAGTAGAAAATAAATCATGTACAATTCTGAGATCATTCCTTAGTATTTCCTAAGAGTCTTTTCCCACATACGTACTTTAAAGACAGTTTTAATAATACTATTCATACAAAACTGAATCCTTATACTCTATCGTATCCTTGAATTCTGCACTGTATTCAGCTGACTAAAGAATAGTACAAGTAAGGCCAAGGTCAGGGTTGATGCTTCAAAGGAGCTGCTGTCTGATGAAGAATACCTATTACAAGGCACAGTAGACAGTAAACAAATTAACAATGTACCAACGATCACAACCACGATTAGGGGAGAGATCGGGTGGTCCAGAACACAGACAATAGAAAAGCAAGTGGTCTGCAGAAATGCTTGGGTCATCTTTGCACATGAAGGACAATATCAAGCATGCTCTGTTTGACTCATTTTGACATAGCAAACATCCTCAATATTATATAGCCCTGGGGGTTGGGGAACAACTAGAATTACTTCAATGTCTCTAGACAAGATAATAAGGATTAGGCCTTAATGTTTTGTCTTAAGCACTACTAGCCTCTGGTCACCATACTCACTTCACCTTTAATTGTTTGCCCATTAATCAAATTTGTACTGTTTAGAGTCAATCTTCTCTTATATCTAAATATAGTTCCCCCATTCTTTCTTCTGGTTACTAAACATTGTTTTTTCTTAAAACTATACAAGTATACATGTGTACATAGTGACAATGCTCTGTGTGTATCTGTATATGAGAACAATGGAGAAGGTGACTACTGCTTTACTATACAAACCAAGTATTATACTTTAAGTGGCCACAGATCAGGTACACTCCCAAAGCCAAAGCCAGGGTAGCTGCAGGCTGCCCAAACTCATGAGTCTCAGTATATCCCAGATACTTTCAAAGCCATAACAGACTTAGGCGACGGAAACTGTAGATTGGGCTACACGGCAGTGCCAGACGTATCTGAACCTCAAGGCAGGGGCAGCCAGGTAAGGGGCTGCAGAAAACCAATCTGACAGCATGTAGCGGGCCACCAGGAGCCCTATACTGGGAGTTTTCTAATGATAGGTCCACATTCTCTTAGCATCCTGTAAATACGTAAATGCATGCCTGCCAGTGTTGTAAATGTACAGTATTGCCCACTTGCAGATAAAAAAAGGACCAAAGGCATATATGTGAATGCAAATGCTGCAGAGATGCAAGAACAGAGTGTGTTCTTTGATAGTGGTCTGTAACTGGGTTGTGAAGATTTTTTAACCCTCATTATTCCATCCAAACAATATCATATTCTAAGAGAAGAGAAGGAAGGAAAGGGACAAGGATTATTTTTTTTGAACTTCATTCAAATTGTAACTCACTGAAGGCATAAACCAACGTCTTCCCTATCAATTGGGAAATATGAGAGACAAGACTAAACTAATGGCACCTCTTCTTAACTAAGCTTTTCCTAAAAGCATCTGTAAGAAAAAGTCAAAACCATTAAACCTAAACCAGAGCCCAGTCCCAAAGACGGTTAGTCTAATGGTTATTCCTCAGCCTCTGACAGTCCAAGGGTTGTTTGTGTAATATTGTCACAATATGCTCAAGAGTATCTGTAAATAAAATGCAAACCAGCAAGCATGAGCTCTGGAATTATATGGCAATCTAACACAAGTATATATGTATGCATGCCTGGCTTACCTGGAACACCACCCTGGATTTCTCTAAAAGGTAAGTTCTCATATTGGCACCAATGATTCGATATCTCTTATCAAAACCAATCTCAATATACTTCCCAAAACGGCTGCTATTATCATTCCTGGTTGTCTTAGCATTTCCAATTGACTGAGAAGCAAGGGAAAAAAATAAAATTTTAGAAGTGCAATTCATGACACGACATTTACAGAGTCTGTTCAGAGAAAGAAAGGACAGAGTAGAACATAAGAATTTTGCCCTTGCAGGCACAAGTGTATGCTTTGCCCACTGCACAACCACACAAATATATACTAATAGTTTGTTTGCTTGTTATTCTCACACAAATTATTTTCAGATACAGTAAACCTTAACCCAGCAGCTGGGAGGTTTTCATATACCATTTGTGGTATGTGAACACACCCATTCATACCAGCAAAGAAAGAGAAGGGATGGGACGGAGTGCTGCCAAGCCGCAGGCCCTCTTAGTTAAACATCAGGGTTTTGACTGCTTGAAAAACAGTCTGCTTTATGTAAATAAGCTGGTTATGACAAATTAACATTTTTCTGGGAAATGCTGCTCTGGTGTTCAGGGTCTCTTTAGCCAGAAGTTTCTATCATCTTATCTTGTGACAACAAAGGCCCAGTTGGACTACTTACTTGCAGAGTACTAATAATTACCCACTCAATTTAAAGCCATTTTCAGAAACCAGAGATAGTAAAATTTGCTTTGGATTTTGTATCTAACTTGTAAAACATCTACAGAATGCAGAGAATGTAACTTTCTACTAAATTTTTTATATAGTCTTAAAAATTAAAATGGCATATGTACTGCTTTCTGATTTAGGTAACATGCTTCTATAAATTTTTCTTGCAAGGCAAAGCAAAAACATGCTATAGTTAGAAAAGCAAGTGTTCACATAATGTATATATTAAACGTTTAATGAGATAATTTCATATAAGATTAATATCTTTTACTTGTGCAAAGCTTGTGACTATCACTATTAACATATTGAAACCACAGCAGAGAGAAAGATGTGAAAAAGTTCTGGAGTGTTTAAAAAGCAATACAAATATAAGTGATGAAAACAGTAGCAACACAGCCATAAAAGTTAACACAATAGATTGTCTGATCAATCAAAGAAAATCTATTTTCACTCTCTGAAATACAGGGCAGGCACTGTCCTATTTTGCTTTGGCAATGAGAACACTCCTATATTTCGGGTTAACATTTTAAGTGGTAAGAATGACTTGAAAGCTATCTTCCTAGCAAAACAACAGAGTGATCTAATGTAGCTTAAGATAATTTAACAATATAGACATTTACTCAGATATTCCCCTTCTTGATATTACAAAAAGCACAAAAAGTCTCCATATAGTCCCATTATCTTTATTTTGTTTAGAAAAAGAAATTAAAGATAAATGCACAGTTTTCTTTCAACACAACATTCTGTCAAAGAGCAGATGAAGGGTTTCATGAAGCAGCAGTTATTGAGTGCTTACCAGGCACTGTCCTAAGCACGTTCCCACCAGAAACTAAGCAAGCTGCGGAAGGGTGGTCCACATTTCTCCTCCCTCCCTGACTCGTATCCCACCTTCCATATGTCATCTCTCCCCATCCTATTCAGAGTGGGAGTCAGAGTGGCCAACCTGCCAAAACAATACTACACTCTGTGAGAAGAAGCCGTGAGCAGGCCAGGGTTGAAACAGACTCCTCTGTCTTTGAGTAACATAGAGCAAAGAATGGTAGAAGGAGCAAATGAAATAGAAGTCTGAAGATCTGGGTACCAGACCAGGTCCTACTACTAACTAGCCATCATTTAATCCTCTGAGGAGCATTAGTGCCCCAAGTGTAAATTGACTAGGATAGATGAGGATTCTTTTCAAAAGTAAAATTGCATGATTCTAAGCCTTGAATCTAATATGGAAAGAAGGTTCTATATACAAACAGTACCTTTTGTCCATTCCCCCAATTGCTTCCTGTGCCTTATAAGTTCTGTACTTACAACACCCTCCCTTAATAGTATTTTCCTTTCAATCAGCAAGAAATTGCTAAAGGAAAGGAGAAGTTTGTGGTCTTGATTTTACTGTTGACGTCAGTGAAATGTTGAGTGAGTTGCTCTTCTTTACTAAATGGAGACGAAAATCTTCAACTATGATTTTTGAGCATAAAAAAGAACTATTAAGACCCAATATGTCTCGAGAATCTTCCCTGTCCCCACTGTAGGATGTAAATTCCAGGAGAAAAAGTAAACGTCATCAAATAGAGCAAAAAAGAATCATTTCTCTGTACATCATCCGTATTTTGCAAAAGGAGACTGCTGAGGATGAGAAGTTTGCTTTCTAAAGGATAATGTGCAAATCCTCTTAGGCCCTGGGCTGTGATGCTAACTGTGTAGGATGCTCACTATTCAGTGAGGAGTTTCAGCAGATCACTGGAGACCTGGACATGCCTTTCTTGACATCACAGTAAATGTCTCTGATACAGAGACATAGTCTTAAGGCAGATTTAAAGCTACAAATTTTCTAGGCCACATATTCAGTATTTTACCTATGTTTTCTTCCTGTAACTGTAAACCCTTTGTCACCATTCTTCAGCCCCATATTCCATTTTAATCTTTCAAATTGAGATGCCTTCATTTGTAGTTGTTGAAAACTAGTTCTCTCTTTATCAAATTTTCTTACTCCAAATTCCTGTAGAGAAACTAAACCATAACATAGAAGGAAGTAGCTAAGCATAACTGATGACTTTATCTTTTTTGGTTCATCCTAGCAAACAGGGTAAATTCCTTATAATTGCATATTAAAAAGTAGTATCTGTGGCCCTTCCAAATTTTTAATATCACTCCTACTAACACAACTCATATTTGTGTAGCAGAAAAATCAATGTAGCTTTTTTTTTTGAAAGATAACATAGCAAGGTCATAAAATATTTCATTCAACTTGACATATTCCAGAAGGTTCATTCCAGACTTACATTATTATATGGTCTAGGCCTAGAAAAGATGAGATTCCCTGATGCCATCACAATCAACACTTTGGGATATTCTAACATTAGGGACTAAGAATGGCCTAAACTATTGCCAAATACCAAGAATTCGTTGTCATGACCAAAAACAGTCAAAATAATGGTAGGAAGTAAAATCCAGTTGTTTTCTGATCCAAAACCAAAATTTGGCTCTACAGATTATATTTTCCCAGTACTAACACTAGTGGCACCCACCAATATATGTGCAACTTAAATTCTTTCAGAACTTTAATATTTGCTCAAAATCTTTACTACTCTCTTTTGGCACAAACATCTGTTTCCTCCTGTCCATGCTTTTTCAGAAAACTTTCCCAGTTCTCTTTCTATAGTGCACCCAGCCCAGGAGGCCTCTTAACTTCCCCAGCATATCTTGCTCTCTCGATCCCAAGAACAGAAGCCCTGCTGCTCTAGGGGAAGCCCTGCAGGCACTGTAGGGCTGTGGGGGTGACGGCATTCTGCTCTGAAGTGTCACACACAGCACTGCAAACCAGGCACAGTTACCTCTGGACCGATTATTGCAAAAATCACTTGTACCACAGGTGCACCAGGCCAGTTTTAAACTCCATCTGTGTTTGGGTGACAAATAAGGTTTGACAAAGGAAAAAAACAGGAATAAAAAAAAATGCTGATTTGAATTTTTAATAAGGTTTGTTTCTGCATGTCCAAACTAATTTCTCTCCATTTAATGAGACTTATTTTTCTCCATTTAAAGGGACTACTTACAAAAACTAAAATCATATTGATAGACACATAATTCTCTAGTTACAAATCCTAAAATACTCAAATTCTCACACAAATAGGTCTGCTTTCTTTGGCATAAGCATTTCTACCTTGTATATATATTTCACTTCTGAAAGGAAATCTTTTCATAGTTCTTTCTTTCTCAAGAATTTAGTTATTGAATTACTTTTTCTAACCTAAGGCTCTGTGATGTGCTTGACAGAAATAAGAAAAATGTTTACAAGATCATGATTTAAGTTTATAGTTCAAATCTGGAAAAAAGTAAAAACTTATACCTAAACAAGTTGGACTAAGTACAGAAAATGGACAAAGGAATAACAAAACTCATTCATGCCTGAGCATAGTGAAGGCCGTGTTTTGCAAAGAGCTCAAATAAGATCTCGGGATTGGAAGGAAACGAGTAACTGATAGATCTAGTACCAGGAGCAATAGCTATGAATCAATCAACTAGGAGGAAAGACACTTTAAAAAGTGAAGTATCACTGCCAGCTGTTTAGAGGCAACAATTCAATGGTGGATTAAAAATGCAGGATTACGGAATAAAGTAGATTCCTCCATAGCTAGACTTTACAAAAATGTCTACCTTACTAAATTTTTACTTTTCCTAGATCTCTTACTAACATGTGGAAAAGTATTTTCCTACTTTTAGTGGCTGGGAGATCCCAGACTTTCTGACATGTGCTGTATCAATCAGTTTTTTGAGCACTACTCTTAACAAGAGAAAATAGTTAACAAGGCCAAGGCTGCTGCTGTCTTACCTCCATGATTGGGTTGGAGGCCAAGACCTTTTCCTCAACATTGGCTTCACTGGCAGAACCACTTACAGTTGCAAAGTACCGCATGGCATACTTAGCTGAGACTGTTTTTCCTGCCCCAGATTCTCCACTTACAATGATGGACTGATTTCGTTCATCTCTGTAAAACAAAGAAGAGTAACTGACAGTGCTGCCCACTTCTCAATATGATTAACATTATTCCCTCTATGTTCTCCTCAGTGAGGCAGGGTGAGTTTCTGCTGGTTCATACATGCAACAATGTGGGAAGGAACATAAGAATGGCATTTCCTAATAAAAATAACTACTTAAACTAACAATCAACAGAGAGGGAGAAGAAGATATCAAGCATTAAATTAGAGAGCATCACATCTAAGGATGAATGTGTAACAGAAGGTCTCTGACTTTTTGTGTACATATCTCAACCATATTATTTTACTCCTAGAGAATTATTTTGGCATATTACAGAACTGTTGTCAACCACCTCAAAAGAGAAAGGAGCCACAGCAAAGGAATTTAGAAGAAAATCCTATTTAATTAAAATTACAAACTGTCTATGAGCTAAGAGTCCATAAAGTAGTGGCTCCTACAAACTCCATCTTGTACTAAAGTATCCTCAATACCAGAGGAGAAATGGTTCATTTGTCGGCTGATTTGTTCAAATATGTCAGAACTCCAAGACTATCTACTATTACATCTTTAATTCATTCACACAATGACTCAAAAACTCTAAGTGATGAGCTTGCTCACAAGACTATCATTTCTTTGAGGATGTGGACCTATGTCATCTTTATCTTTAACATCCAGCACTTAGTCCAGATTCTGACACATCACAAATGCTCAAGAAATGAGTATTGATTGTAAGTAAATAGAACTTCAGTGAGTAACCTAGCCTAAGAATAAATCTCTCTACTTTGGCTATAATTCCTACTAGGACAGAAACAGGAAACTTCCACTTCCTGATATGAAACCAGCAGTCAGCTTTAATTCATCAAAATAATTGAACAACTACATAAAGACAGTATCATTTGTGCCCTTAATTTACAAAGAGACGAGATGACTTGAAAGGTTTTTAGTGGAACTATACTATAAGGCCACAAGACGGAGAGGTTACTTCACTAAAGAATATAATCTTTTTATCTTTTAAAAGAGATTTACTTATCCAACAAATATTTATCAAATACCTACTACATGCCATACATTGTGCTAAATACTAGGGATATAAGCTAAATAAGCCATGATCTGTGTCCTCAATGCAAGACAGACTAGTAATTCAAGATTATAATACACATGATGAGGCAATGAGAGGAGGAAGAGGTGATCAGGGAAGGCTTCCTGGAGATGATACCTGAGCAAGGTCAAGAAAGATGAGTAGGGAAAAGCAAGCAAGAGATGAGAAAGTTAGGAAGGGAACATTCCAGAGAGAAAACATAAATGAAGGCTCAGATACATGAGAAGTTAGGAAAGAGCAAATAATTCAGTTTGGTTGGAACATGGAGTAATGACAGATAAGGTTGCAGAGGTTAGCAAGAACTGGATCATAAAGGTCTTACATGAGATGTTGAAGCATTTGAAGTTTACCTAAAGGTCATGGAGTACCACTGCAGGGTTTTAAACAGAAAATAACACAATCCAATTAGTAAAATCACTCTGGCAGCAACGTGGAGTATGGGTGGCAAGGGGTCCAGATGAAAAACTATCACAGTCTGAACAAAGGTTGTGGTGGTCGTGACTGAGAGAAGCAGATGGGTTTAAGAGACACCGAAGTGGTGAAATCAACAGTAGTTGGCAATAAATTTCCAAAGTAGAAATTTAGGACTTTTCTAAGGAAAGGGTTCTTTTTCTTTGAGAAATGAGGGTCACTCCCTTAGTTGACAGACTTTGAAAAATACAATGGGAGTACCCAATTCAGGCCTGATTAAGTCCATTCACATCACACTACCAGGGCCACAGAGCAGCCTGTTCCTGACACTCTGATTTCTACATTGTGGGGAAAATCAGGAGGACCTAGATGACACACGAAGGAATGTTTAATTCACACAGTACAAGCTTGCATATAATCCCCACTTTTTACTCACCATGTCATTTCTTTTTTATTTGAATTTCTAGACTAAACTGGATACTCCCATTGCCTCTGTTCATTCATGGCTGATTTCAAAATAAATCACTCTAATAAAACAGTTGTCATTGTGGTGCCAATGTCCTTTCTTTTAGTCATTTAAAATGTCCTCAGAATTTATCTCTTTTGATGCATTAGTCAAAGGGACAGTATCAGCAGTCTTTGGATTCCTTTCTACAATATGATTAGAAAAATGATCTCGTCCTAGTTCCTGCATGATCAGCTCTATCACTACACCCTGTGTGAGAGCTAACGTGACAAAATTCTCCTAGAACTCCTTCCAAAAGCAAACAAGATGAGGAGGCTTCCACTAATCTGATGAAAAGAAAATATTAATGAGAATTGCTATCCTAAACTACACTGCCTTTGAAAAGCTACTTCACTCTTAATGACAAAATGTTGTATCAAAAAATATAAAAATTCATACCAATAGCCCTGTCCTATAATATGAGGAAGAAGAAAAATATTAAAAGCAGTAAGATCAAGGATTGTTCAAATGAATCCCAGAGATTTGTACAAATATACACATATACACACTGATGACAAGTGCAAGCCAGAGACCTTTTCTTTTCCTGGATTTAGGATCCTGGATCCATATGACCAACAGTTTTTAAATGTTTTTAAGGGACTTTATTATTTCTTATATTTCACTGACTTTTTGCAGAGGGGCTTGCCGTTTTTCCCAAGCCAAGCAGGGCATTCCAATATATAAATAAGTACCATTCTTCAGTTACATAAACTTCTCTGAATCCAGATTCTAGTGCTAGATCTGTCACTTCTGGCTTCACGGCTTTGAGCAACTGCACGACCTCTCTGCGTCACAGTTTCCTCATCTTTAAGATTAAATAGCATCCAACGTCTCTCTCAAATTCTAAAGTGCTATAAGCTAAAAGTCCAACTCTGGAGTTGATTTTTCAGATGTTACATTGGCCAGAGCCTGCACTCTAGGCCAGGGTAAAACTCTTGGGACCAAATACTATTGGAACAGGACAGGCGTACAGATACTCAAACGGTCTTGAATGGCTATATTTGAAATGAGCAACATTTCTTCTCTGGAGGACCCCTGAATCTGAGAATGCTAAAATCAATAAAGGGCTACAAAGAAAAAAATGTAAATAATCCATTCACCTGCTTTTAAATTAAGAACAGAAAATAAAAATCTTTATAAAATAAGAAAGTCTTTAAAATGTTTTTCAGTTCTATGTGGCCATAGAAAGAAATGTCAAAAAGACAGGACAAGAGCAGAAACAGGTAGACGGAGGGGGCCAAGTAGAGACACAGAAGGGAGAAGGATAATACATAATAAAGACCTACAAAGGGAAAAATAAGAAGAGTATGACAGAGATGAGGAGAAAACAGACAAAAACATCAGGGATAAAAATGTTATGGTTTCAAGGCGAATATCAGAGTCTACCCTCTTCTACTCATTTGCGCTGTGGGCTTTAGATTGTTGCATACATGTAAATAACTTATTATTCTTTGAAATTTTGATTGGCTGATCAGCCATTATTCATAATCCTTTGAATGCTCTTGTCCTTACATCACAAGAACATTAGTTCTTCTTTTGGGATGTAGATATCACTTCAAGGGGCTGATAAAACCAAGTTAAGGAACAGATATTCTCCACTCTTTGTCAAAGACTGATCAATCTGGAGCATCCTAAGGAGGCATGGACCAAAGATTTATGATTCTGGCTTGGCCAGTCCTCTTAAGGGCCTCCACAGTGTCCTAAATAGCCTGGGTAGTGGCTGTCTCGAAACAGAGGTGAGCTCTTCTGACCTGTTTCAGTCAGTGGTCGTTCCAGAGGCTATAATGTGACCTAAAAACCCCCACCTTAAAATACTGCTTCCTTCATTCATTCAATGCGTAATGAGCAGCCACAATGTGCCAAGCACTTTATGAAGACAAAAGACTCTAGGGTTATAGCTATTGAGAGAGACTGATGAGTATACAGTTAAAATACAGTGGAGTAATTGCTAGAAAAGAGGTTTATCCAGGATGCGATGAAAGCATGGAGGAAGGGTATGGAATTAGTGGGAGATGAGAGGAGGGGATGTCAAGAAATGTTTTCTAAAGGAGGTGACGCCTGAATTGACTCTGACATATTAGTTAGGAGAAAACTAGGTTGCATGGGAAGAAGGCGATGGGAATTAAACTATGTAGAGGCACCTGAAACCCAAGGAAAAAATTATTCAAGGACAGAATACCCACTCCGGGTTGATGAAAACCAGAGGTGTGACCTCTTAGTCTATGTTCCTTCTGTGGCCCTCAGTATATCTACTTAGTATCTGTATCTATTTGGTCTGTGCAGCTTTTCTTCATTTCATGTCTATTATGTTTTCATTTTCTACCAGGTGTATTATTTTATAGATTGTCCTTAACTTTACCCTTTAAAAAAAGTAATCTCTCTAGTTTTTCATGGTCATATTGAATACTATTCATACCTCCCAAGGCCATCAACTTGTCCTCTGCAAACTTACTGAGCACACTTTCCATTCACATCCAGGTCATTAATGAGGAAACTAAGTAACACCAGCCTCAGACCTGACTCATGTGGAACACAATTTAGTATATCCACTCATGTTGATGTTGACTCTCTGATAACCACCCACTGGGTGTTGCCATATACTGTAGTTAAATTACAAGCATCTAGGCCTAATTTTTAGCTTATAAGTGAACGTGTTCTTATGAAACAAAATCTAGAGTTTTACTTTTTCGCAAAAAGTCAATCTAAATTGTGTCTCCCTTATTTGATCCCTAACTAAAAAGATAAAATATTGCTAGTGTTATATGCTATCTTTCAAAGCTCTGTTTTTACTGTGGTGACTTAAAGATGTGGCTCCTCTTGAGACTCTAATCCCTCTCTCGTTAGAGAAGTGCTAAGTTTTTCTACATTATTATCACTCGTGAAAATCAAGCTGTCTGCTCTGTCTCTCTAAGGTTTCTGCTTTTGATCTATCCCAAAAAGAAAAGATTTAAACTCTAAAGTTGATACCAGACAGTGAGTTCAAAATGACAATATT